GGTCCAACCATACTCCAAATTCCCAATTCGAGGTCAGCCCTGATGGTTCCAAAAACGTAGCAGGCAGTATTGGTCTTTCAAATGCAAAAATTAGGCTTTATGTTCGCGAGTCTGCATCCAAATGGCGGGACATGGGTGCTGCGCGTCTGACGATATTACCGGTCTCCCCCGTCTCATCCCCACCAGGTTCTGCTGGTGCCGTTGGAACAGATGCTGAGACACCTTCTACGGAGTTTGCAAATGGGGAAATTAGGGGGTCTGATGGATTATCTTCATCTTCTCAACCGCCCACTGCTCCACCTCCGCCGCTCCTTTCAAACCATCAGCAAGAAAAGCGGATTCTCATACGTGGCAAGACGAATGGGGAGGAACTGCTCGATGTATGTCTTGATGAAAGCTGTTTTGAGCGGGTTGCTAGGACTGGCATTGCTGTTTCTGTCTGGGAAAGATATGACAGAGTGGCAAAGCAAGGAGGTGTGGTGAATGGGAGCTTCAGGGTTTATATGATCCAGATGAAGAGTGAGGCGGAGACTGCATATACATTTGGGTTGGTTGGGAAGTTGAGATACTAATTACATGATACTCTGTTGACTTTCGCATTTGGTGTCTGGAAGTTGATGGGAGGGGGGAGGTTATTATTACTGACTGATCTTCCGTTTTTGTTTGGTTTCTGAATGATTTCTGGTGTCATCATATGTTTGGTAATGGGGAAAGTGCGGATATACGGGGTTGCACACTTTCTTAAGATGCTTCAGCTGTGAAATGGCTAGTTTGCATTTGAGTGGTGTGTGTACCAAGTGTCTCGTGTTCCCTGTTTCATTCCCCCCATGCCACAATATGCAAGTCACCTTGTTGATTTTGGTTAATTTACAAGAAATGTTTATTCTCTCCTATTATGCACCAGCAAACCTGTTTCAATCAATTCTGTATATTCCTCGAGTATTTATTTTTGCATTCAGATAGCAATCTTAGAAGTCCAATCTGCCATGTTTTCAAAACGATTGAACAATCATCTCCTTGTATATGTCTATATCTGTAAGAAAGACTCTTAAGTTTAATCTCTATATATCTATCAGGTACTTCATCTGCATAGGTATAAATGTTGAGAGGTCTGGAGGTGAAAGCTCAAATAAAAATAAGGGGGTTGTCCAAATGTGAACAGAAGCAAGGAGTAATGACCATTTAAAACAAAAAAAAATTCAAAGCATCAAGGTCAACCAGTCAGTATTTACAAACTGTACAACTCAATTGCAATAGTGTTGCATCCATTCCTGTCGTACTCAACTCTTACAACTTTGAATTAGGAAAACAAAAATCATAACAGTGGTTATTGCGCAACTTGGTAAAACGCAAGCGAGGGTGAAAAATTGAGAAGCAACTCGACAAGAAATCATGTGGAGCTCTCAGGGGTCCCAGAAGACCCATGCTTTTTGAACACAAAACTTACTCCATTTCCTTCCTCTTTCAGCAAGGAGAGAAGAACATCGTCGTCGATATGAGCCTCGATGTCAGCTTTGTCTGCGCCAAAATTTCCCGAGGTTTGATGAGGCGATGGAGCGCGAAGGTGAGACGTATCAACGTGCGTGTATTGCATCAGTGAAGGAATTTTGGATTTTCCCTTCCTAGATTTGTTAGAAATCTTCCCACGCCCTTTCATCACGGCCCCTCCTGAAGATAGGGCTTGGAGCTGAGAAGCTTTTATCAACTTCGTGAAGTCGGTGGTAGCATCATCTGAGTCTGTCGATTCACTTTCGCTATGGTCAGATTTAGAAATATCAATTATGTGGCTCCCATTGGGATGCGAGGAAGTCTCTTGCCCCCCTCTACCATCACACTCGCAACCAAGGAGATCGTGTGTTTGGCACGTTGCTCCTTCATCAAGTCGAAATAAATCCCTCAACTCCTCACGGGAAAATTGCAAAACGCCACTTTTTTGATCCATCACGCTATTAGCCAACCCTATCTTGGTGACCTGTCTCTGCCAAATTTTCTCCTCCAGTGCGCCCTTTAGCAGAAATCGATAAATTCGACAGTGTCGCTTCTGACCATCACGATGTATCCGTGCCATGGCCTGCATATCCGTGGCTGGGTTCCAGTCGACGTCAAAGAGAACTAGCCGGCTGGCTCCGATAAGATTGAGACCTGTACCTCCAGCTTTGGCTGATAGCAGGAATGCAAAAACTGAAGTTGGGGATGAGCGATTGAAATCGTCGACCAGTGCCTGGCGTTTTGCGGCCGGGGTGGAGCCATCAAGGCGCAGAAATGGTAGGGATAGGGAAGTAAGAAGTTTTCCCAAGAGATCCAGAGTGGATGTGTAGTTCGAGATAAGCACAACTTTCTCGGAAGTTGTATGACGTATATTATGGAGTAGTTGATCAAGGACACGGATTTTACCACTCGAGGCGGGTGTGAGTCTTCGAGTAATACTGGAGGGGAGACTGGCAACCAGGGAACTAAGTGTGGAGGTAGAATCTTCATCGGAGCTTTTGGGGTTCAGGAGGGAAGGGCTATTGCATAGTTTTTTGAGAATGGTGATGAGTTGTAAAGCACTGTCAGAATTTCCCAAAGCGCATTGAAAGACAGGTGAGCTGAGAACATGGCGATATATATTTGCCTGAGAGGAGGTAGGGTTACAGAAGAGAACGTATTCGGTTTTCGGTGGTAGATAATTCGAGAGGAGGTCGGCAGTGCGTCGTAAAATGAATAAGGATGTAAGGCTTGCCAATTCTTCACTTCTTGCTTTTCCTTTCTCGATGTCCCTTTTCAGCGCACCAGGCTGTTGGCCCTTCACAATTGGCCCTTCAAATTGTTTCATGAACATTTTGAATGTCCCTAGAATTCCTGGGTTGACGAAGTCAACCATTGCGAAAAACTCCGTTAAGTCATTCTGGATTGGGGTTCCTGAAAGGATGACTCGTTTCGAGGTATTCAACGTCTGTATTGCTTGCGCACTCTTATTTTGTACAGTCCTCATTCGATGACCTTCGTCCGCAATGACGATATCAATACCAGAGCCTTTCGAGAGCTCTTCTTGCACTGTTCGGAGCCTTTCATAGCCGATAATCATGACACTGTAACTTTGGCCCATGGTGAAATCCGTAAGTCTGGTTCTTTTGGCATCAGCTACAAACACCCCAATGCGTTCATTCCCTAGCCACTTGCGAAATTCCTTTTTCCAGTTATCGATCAATGTCACAGGGCAGACTATTAGAGCCTTTTTGATAACTGGAGGTGCCTCATATATTGGGTTCTGTTTCAACAAGGTCCATATAAGCGCTATCGTCTGCAAAGTTTTGCCTAAACCCATTTCATCCGCGAGGATAGCCCCTTCACCATTGAAAGAGCGCATTCCCATTACACACTCATAAAGAAACCTAACACCCTCGCGTTGATGTTCCCGAAGGTGCTTGCCCAAAAGGGGGTCAAGGACGACGTCGACAATTTCTTTTCCTTTTGGTACTGATTCTGGCCGTCGCATGACCACCGCGCCAGGGAGCGAGGGGTTATGCCGTGGAATGGGCTTGCCATTCGGTTTCCGTACGAGTACAGTGCTTTCTTTCATGGGATTTTTGAAAGCACTCTTCATCGCAAGGCTTTTTGGCACAGCAGCGTTAAGGAGCTTCTTTGCTCCCCCGTCGTCTCCATGTTCGCGTTTAATTTTAGTCTTGGATGGCAGTCTAATCGTCCCATTCGTTGACATAGCAGAAGAAATGCGGGATATCCGTGCTGGATCTTTCCGGATTTCCGTATCGTCGTCGGCAGATATACTAGCGGGTAAAAGTTCAGCAATTCCCAGGAATGCTCGACCAGACATATACTCCTTCTTTGACATGACAGAATCAACCTCGACATCTTTTCCACCAACCGACAATGTTGATCCGGGCAGTAGTGGAGAAATAAACCTAATCCTCCCTAAATCCTTCCCAGATACATCTTGGAGATACGCATAACCACCGCGGACGGCTAAGATCCCATCGCCATCCCATGTCTTGTGTTTTTTGGCAGTGGATTTACGCCTGAGAAATGAACGGGAAAAATATTAGCGATAGATTAATCACTCCTTTGACATTATTCAATAGGATCGCTACCAACCAGAAAAGTTGCCTCAAACACACAATTTACGTACCAAAGGACATTGTAATACGTCTCCATCCCGCCATTCCTTGCAGAAGTTCCGTTATCATCAACTTCCACTTCCACTGGTGGGTTCCATCTTGCGATAAGCGGTTTCCGCTCTGTATCAGTTATCTTTGAGCTTGGCTTGTGTACCACCCGAACTGCAGATCCTGATTTAGCATCACGTTGCCGATTATCATAGCCAGCATCCTCATTATCATTAATTGTAAGATCAACGGCTTCTGGGCTGATTCTGCGGCGTTTACTTTGGGGGTATGAGTCTCCAATTGAACTGTCTGCATTTGACGAAGACGTCGTTGTCGTTGAAGGGGAGGCAGTAGTCGGAAGCTTCCTAATAAGTGGAGGCCGGAAAGGTTTGAACGTCATAGTATTAAATCATTAACGGTCTGCACAGCCAGGCAGAAATGTTTGGATTATTATGAGAGAACGACTTGAAGTTGGAAAGATATGAGCTGCTTGGCGCGTCGCGTCAAGAGATCCCAATTAAACCCACATAATCAACGCGTGGTCACATGATAGTTAGCTGCTTCTTCAAAAAGGTCCTGGAAATTCCAAGCAACCCAAATGCTTGGTGTATTTGAAATCCTTTTCCCCAGTGAATTCCACTCACTTTATTTGTAGCAAGGGATTAGTAAACTACAAAAGCAGAGAACAGTTGAAATTTTACCATATCCAAAGAACCAGTTGAATAACTCATGGTAAACTTCCTTCTCATGCAACTTAACAAAAGACAAATCATCAACTCATCCAAAAAAAGCGCTTTCCCCGACTAATACACAGAAGAAATACACAGAAGAACGTGTGAAATAGAAAAAGAAAAAAAAAAATCGTAATACATATATATATCCTGTTCTCTGCCAGGCTCACTCATAAAGGTCCTGTTCTCCCATATCTTCTTCCATCTCCGCAAGTGTGTCAGATTCATCAATCATCTCCTCGTCTTCACTTTCCGTTTCAACGTGGTTTGGTAGGACAGTGATTCTTCCTTCCTGCATCACAACACGTGCAGTCTCGCCGTCTTTGATGGCCCCTCTTAAGATCAAGACCGCAAGGCGGTTCAGGACCTCTTTCTCAATGAGTCGCGAGAGTGGCCTGGCGCCATAGACTGGAGAGTATCCGGCATTACCCAAGTAGTCCTTGACTTCGTCTGTACAATCTATCGTCACCGTGCGGTCGTTCTGCTCTAGCCTCCGCTGGATCTCTTGTAACCGAACATCCACGATCTTCCGGATCTCCCGCCTTGTGAGGCGGTTGAAGATAATGATGCTAGAGATTCGATTAAGGAATTCGGGAAGAAAATAGTTCCGCAGTGCGCCCATAACAAGCTCTTTAGTGGTGGGGTCAATCTGGCCATTGGAAGCTGTGGGCCGTTGGAGAAACTCGGCGCCAAGGTTGGAAGTCATGACAACGATGCAATTCTTTGCATCGACAATTCTTCCCTGACCGTCTGTGATTCTTCCGTCATCCATCAGCTGAAGGAGGACGGTCAAAACTTCCTTCGCAGCTTTTTCCACCTCATCGAAGAGGAGAATGGAGAATGGTCGCCGGCGAAGTGATTCTGTTAGCTGGCCACCAGCATCGTGCCCAACGTAGCCAGGGGGCGCTCCGATCATTCGACTCAAAGAATGCCGTTCCTGATATTCAGACATATCAAATCGGATCATGGCCTTGGGGTCATCGAACAGGAATTCCGCCAGTGCCTTCGTAAGCAGAGTTTTACCCGTGCCTGACGGCCCACTGAAGAGGAAGCTTGGCGGGGAGTTAGGGTTGCTCAGGCCAGACCGTTGGAGTCGAATTGCGTTCGACACTGATTGGACGGCTTCCTTCTGGCCAACAACAATTTTGGAAAGGTGCGATTCCATGTGCAGAAGTCTGTCCTTTTCGGTGGTCCTCAGTCTGGTAACGGGAATGCCGGTCCATCTAGCCACAATTTCATTGATTTGCTCCGGGCCAACAGCATCTGCCATAAGGGTTTCTCCTGCACCTGGCTGGGCTGATAGTTCCGCATCTTGTCGAGCTCTTTCAGCCTCCAATTGTTCGATGCGCTTCTCGACATCCGGGATGGCATAGTAAATCAGATCCGAAGCAGTTTGCGTATCTCCAGACCGGGTTGCCTCGTCCCTTTTCACTTTCAAAAGGTCCAATTTGATTCTAGCATCTTGAATATCCTTGCTCCGTTGTTTCTCACTTTCATATTTTTCACGTAGAGGGCGAAGCTCTTCGTTGACGTTAGCTGCCTCCTGTTTGGCAGCCTCGAGTCGAGCCTTCGACGCCGCATCCTTTTCGCGAGCCAGAGCATGGATTTCGATCTGGAGTTGTCGGGCACGGCGTTCCAAAGTATCCAGGGCTTCAGGTTGAGATTCTCGCGTGACGCGGACAGCGGCGGCTGCTTCGTCAATTAGATCAACTGCGGAATCTGGAAGTCTTCGGGCAGTAAGGTAACGAGAAGCAAGGTTGGCTGCGGATACAATGGCTCCATCGAGGATGTTAACACCATGGTGAACTTCGTATCGTTCTTTCAGACCCCTGAGAATAGAGATGGTCTCGCCAACAGTAGGCTCCTTGACCAAGACCTGTTGGAATCGACGCTCGAAAGCTTGGTCTTTCTCGATGTACTTCCTGTATTCGCCAAGAGTGGTTGCGCCAATGCAATGTAGCTGACCTCTTGCAAGCATGGGCTTGAGTAGATTTGCGGCATCCATGCCACCTTCTCCACTGGAGCCAGCTCCCATAAGAAGATGGATTTCATCCACAAACAGAACGATGGTCTCCTTTGATTCTTCAATCTCTTTCAAAACGCCCTTCATCCTCTCCTCGAACTCACCACGATACTTGCTGCCAGCAACAAGTGATCCGACATCCAAGGATAGAAGCTTGCAATTAGCCAGATTGGCGGGAACATCGGCATTGACAATCCGTCGTGCTAGGCCTTCGACGACCGTTGTCTTTCCCACGCCAGGTTCGCCAATAAGCACTGGATTGTTCTTTGTCCGTCGGCTGAGAATGCGAATCACTCTTCTAATCTCCTCTTCTCGGCCGATCACGGGATCAATCTTCCCTTCTCTCGCCATGGCAGTCATGTCCACCGTAAACTTTTTTAAGTTTTCACTTTCTTCTTCTGTATCTGCCGTTTTTGAATCCACGCGTTTCATTCCGCGGATTTGCTGGATAGCAGAATCGATCATCTTGACATTGGGGATATTTGCGTCCGCAAGCGCCCGCTGGATAGTAGGATCCTGCGCTAGCGCAGCTATTAAATGATCAATTGCGACGTAAGTATCCTTCTGGGTCTTTGATAAATTGGAAGCCGCCCGGAGAACCTTCGCAAACGCCGGTGACGGGGAGATGGTCTCTGGAGGCGGATCTTGCGAAGCTAGCCGGACCAAAGACTTGTTGAGGGCCCTGCGTAGCTGCTGAGGATCGCCATGGGCTTTCTCCACAACTCGTTTGAAGAGAGAACCTGAACTGGCTTGGTGTGAGGGATGTGTGGTAACTTGCTGGTCCTTGGACTCATCCACAGGGGGGTCCAGGAGCGAAACTGCGAGATGAATGGGGAGGAGCTGTGGGTGAGCATGCTGCTCTGCGAGTGCGTGAGCATCGACAAGAGCTTGATTAGCTCTGTCTGTCAACTGTGTTCCGTTCATGATGGCAGTCTATAATTAAATCTCTGGAGATTGGAAACGATAGATAGAGCTAGCTACCCAAGCGGTGACGGGTAGTTTCGCGGATATGTAGTCGGGAACCTCAAGGTTCGGGGTAGGGGTGGCGGTTGGTGAGAGTTGATATGCCCGGAAGATCTTCACGAATGCAAAGTCTATTTCGTTTATACAGCTGAGAGAGTAAAAAACAAATAGAGGAAACTAATCCAATTACCAGGGAAAGGAAAGGAAAGGAAGTACAATATATATTAAATCGCTTGGATGTTCGCAGTTCAGTTGCAAGTTAGTGGAGAGTTCGGGAGCGTTCTACATGTTTCTCATGTCAGGGCTGCGCACTACGCTACATCATATATCATGTGACCCGTTGATGTCATGCTGGGCATTAATAACGCGCACGGATTAACCCGTTGCCCCCGAAGCGCCCGCGCCCGCACCCACGTGACCAGTCGCATAGAGATTAGCCGGTTCTCCCGCGATAATCAGGGACAAACGCTTCTACAACATCGTCAGTCGCGCGTTTCCAATTTCCCTCCCCAATGACTGTAGAGGCAAAGTCTTAATTTATTGCAGGAACAGATTCTTAAGAAACACAGCTATGATCATAAGGGAAACAAGCAAGAAGTCAAGCAAGAAAATCTGATGAGAAGCGGTAAGTAAAGCTTTTATTGTGGGGAAAAGTAGTGAAGCACCGACTCTCTCTAAGACCCGAGCAAAGTGTGGTCAGTGTCTCAAAAAATAAAAATATATAAAAAAATATAAAAAAAAAAAAAAATTAATAAGCAGGGAAATAGGCAAGACCTCTCATGAAAAGCCTGAGCAAGAGAGGTAGGTTTAAATTGCGGCGGCAAATGAATGAATGAGCAAGGTTTCAAAAATTCCTATTTCTCTATCATCGAAGTGGGGAATAAATTATCTCTCAAATGATTGAATGATTCTAATGATGATTGAATACCGGAGTGCGAATAGTTCGGAAACATTGTGTTAGAATAAAATTAATCAACTAAAATTACTCACTCATATTAAGAAACAGCTTTCAAACTCCAAAGCTACTCAAATTATTCTCTACCTACGTCAAATTCTATGAGGAATGAAATTCAAGCTTGGTGAAGTGCGAAAATGCTGCCAGAATCATTAGTTACCTGCTTGAACCAACCCTTCTATCACTAATACCAACTATTTCTGCCTCAACTATATGAATTGTGAATTGAATAGATGAGCCAATGCAGCTGCTATGAGCACAAAATCTCACAGACAAAAAATAGGAGGGATACAAACAATATAATGAAAGTTTTTGATCATGGGCCGTTGAGAATGAAGAATGAATATGAATAGGTGGAATGAGAATTGAGGGGGGCTGTGTTTAGGAGTTGATTTGTAAAGATATGGTGCCACTCGAATAAGCGCTAGCCCACCAATTCATTCATTTCGGTAAACACTAGAAACCCCCGCCACCCGCATTGCTCCAAGTGGTTAGCATCCTCGATACAATACTACTTAGACATTCCATGTGTTATTTGGGGGAGCTTGTAGAGCTTGAGACGCAGAGAGCAATATCCCGGTCTGACTTCATTTTGAGCTCCTGCTTAAAAAACACTCTTTATAACCGCTCAATTGGAATTTCAAATCAAGCTGTTTATTGCTCATTTCCAGTTATCCCATTATTCTTAAAACAATAAACTTTCAATAAAAAAGATATGACACCACTAGTGAATTCTCAGTGAAATAGAGTGAAACATAATTTAAAAGTAATGCAAGTATCTGACAGGGCTGAATGGAATATTAGGTTGAAAACATAAATTTCATAGAACAAGTCAAGAAAGGCAAAGGGACAGACAGAAAGTAATTAAAGGAACGTTGGGGATGAATTAGGGGGATAGTACGTCTATCCTGGTCCCGAAGACCAGCAACATTAAACTACTCCATATACATAGGGATTCGGCCTCTAATCTTGGGAAGTGTAGCCCTTGCCCTCTCCTGAAACTCCTTGAACCTCGCTTCATCGACATTGAGAGCGAATACCATGCCGTTGCCGCAATGACTCCTCACGCTACCTGCACCTTGCTTGCAGTAGAAATAACGAGGGTGTTTGGAGTGAACAATCAAATCAAAGGGCTTGAACTCTGGAATATCGTCCGCGTTGGCGTGGTTAAAACCGGTGTCGACAGCTCCGTGCTCCTCCAATGGGGTACAGGGGGACTCGAAGCTCGATTCGGTCAGCGTATGGTTAAGAGCACGGAAATCAAAGTGGATCTTGGAGCCCTTATACACATGTGGTAGATACTCAGGATAATAGCGTAGGGTTTTTCCTTTATCAAGACCGACCGTGACAGTTGGTGTGGGAGGATATGTGTGATGATATTCGCCACCGGTAGGAGTCCAGGTGGTGGGCTTCTTATCAGCGCCGTAATCCAAACCACTATTCTGTGCAATGGCGATTTTGATGAATTCATCCATCTTTCCAGCTGGATTCAGTCCGAAAACCATTCCCTTACCACAGTGGTTGGGCGGGCCCTGCTGCTTGCAATAAAACCATTGCGGTTTGGTGGTTTGGACGTGGAAGGGAATAACGAAAAGGCCTGATTCATTCTTTGGGTTGGGTTGATTGAGGCCAGTATCGAAGCCCCCGTTGTACGTGCATGGAGTCTTGAAGTCAGACTGGGTCAAGGAGTGGGATTGGGCGAGAAAGTTGAAATAAACTGTGTCTCCAACAGCAGCGTCGATTTGGTTTGGGAAGAACTTTACTTCGCCATTGAAAGTCCCAACATCGACATAGTGCTTTTTGTAACCGTGATGTGATCCACGGACGGCTATGTCTTCAAATGCTGCGGCGATAGCGGCAAGAGCAATAACTGACAAGGCTGACAACTTCATCCCGAAAATAAATGAAAATAAACACACTAAGCAGGAGATACTGCGAAGGTAGAAGGACTGCAGAGGAAGTATTGAAGTAGGAAATAGAGAAAAGAGAAAAAGAACAGTATGAAAAATTATCGCTGTATTTTCAAGTTTTGAGAAGATGATGAGTAGAATAAAACCCCATTAGGAGCAGATCCCACTGGCATACTTATACCATTTCATCCTCAGATTGACGATAGCTCTGAATGAGATATTGCTATCCGTTGGAAAGAGGACATCTACACCTGGAAAGGGACTGCCAGTCCGATTCAAGCTAGATCTCCTCGTATCTGTCCGTTCAAGGCTGAACTCTTCATCCTAAACATCAATGGTGAAAACCTATTCCGGAAATGCCCAGCAAAGCTTGAGGACTGATATGAACGACGTGAGCCAGTCATCCTGCCAAGTTAGGAAAGATTCGTGGCTGAGAAGGGGAGAAATTCCAAATTCCGACGGAGATATATATCCAAATGGGCATGGTTAGATTCTACAGACCCTCAGCCCACGTGGAAAGTGTTTCGGTTCGCAGGGTTTTCGTGTCTTAGGATAGGATGGGATGACGCTGTCCTGTGAAGAACGTGGCCGTGGAAAAATGGTGCTAAAACAAGACGGCGTTTGGCACAGACGGCTTACCAGATCTGGGATAACTCAGCCCAATCAGGAAAATCGTGTAGTCTTAGATAGGTTTAACGCATTGCTTGGGCAAGATAGCTCGTCCGCGTTCGGAAATTCTATTTTTGGAGTTGGATCACTTCGCCCAATTAGGCCTGAAACGACATGCAGCCTTGGAGATGGAGGCACTGTTGGGAGGCAGTGAGCATGTAACTAACTAGTTAGGAGTGTTAAGATCTCGACGGGGATGTATGGGCCAGTCTGCGGCCGTGAACGGCATCACACGAAGTACGCTCGTCGACTGACACCTGAAAGCTAGCGGTTGTCGACATATTGGCCTGCTGTCCACTAGTTAAAGCGTATTCACAGGGTATGCGTGCTTAAAAACCAACGGAGTCTCTTTCATAACAGGGTGGAAATGCTGTGAAAGATTGCTGCTAGTTATGTAGCAGCCACTCCTTGCGCCACAAGTAGCTCTAAAAGTCCCGTTGAGTTTACTTCCAGACAAGACAGGCAGGGTAGGATTGGAGTGCAGCGCGCTGTTAATCTGGTCCATTGGGATCGCAACAACTGAGAATTCTCTGTCCTCTGCAGTGAAGGCATTTTTGGCGGAGCTTGCGCAATGGTTCAGGTCAAGGAATATCTGACATGACACATGCAGCAAAAGGTTGTTCGTTCAATGAGAAACAGCTAGGAGTCTTCCAGTCCACATGCTTGGACATGAGTTTGTATAATCCTCCTTGGGTAGTTGGCTTTTTTGGTGCTCCTTTCATTTTAATGCTGTTCATAGTAACTAATCAAATGCAAACTGGTGTTGAGAAGTGCATCACGCCCTTGCACCCCACACTATGTTAGACAACGAAGTAATGCTGTGTATAAATGCAAGACTATAATGGAAGACATGATAGATGTTCCATAGATATTCCATAGCAAATAGCTGGATTTCAAGTTCACAATAACTACCCAACGAATGGCAAGGATGCAAGCGTTCTTTCGTATCTTGACCGCATCGGCACCGTTGGGGGAGTGGTTGTTCAAAACAGATTTCCAAAGATAAAGAAAGTTATTAATAATGTCCCAGGCACAGTTAGTTATGGCATGACAACTACCAACAACATGGTGGGGGCGGGGAAATATGCTCTGAGCGAACAGAGCTTTCACACAACCGACAACTTACAGGTCATAACTCCAGGAATCTGGGAATGGGTGATTGGCGCAGTTGGAGTTAACTGTGTCGCAGAGCACTGGAAGCATGGGCGTGCTCCATGTAGTTATTTAGATTGGAGGCTTGAATTTAGTGCCCTGGGAAAAGTTGCGTCATTTCCACGAGCAATCTATAATGGATTTATGTCAAAATGGCTTTTCTCACGTTTTTCTTTTGTTGACGTGATTGTTTGCACTTGTTGTAGAGAAAACAACGGAGACATTTTGGCAAACTGCGCTGACTCGGTGTTGAGCAGCCCCGCCAATTGACCCTGGCCGACAAGCATTAATTATTTGACCTGCAAGCATCCACGTCACTGATCAAGTAATTCGAACTCTAAATCTAAGTTCGAACTCCGAGTGTCCAAGAGATGGAGGGCGAACAGCTTATCTTCCCATCAAGAGCGGAACAAACGGCCTTTTTACTGATTGAAACCGCTTTAGGGCCGCTTTTAGGGCCGGGATGCCTGCTATTCCGGTGATCAACCACTAAGGAACGCCCATCGTCGACCCTAAGCGGGCCCAGCAGCCAAGCCACGGGATGTTCAGTTACTCGACTCTGGTATTCACAACGTTCTGGCGTATGCAAAATTTATCTTCCACGGCTTTCATAAAAAGTTAAACTCTACGGCTGTCCCATGCCTCGTACGAGCGCTCTTGTAACGGGCATGTCCACCGAGAAAAGGGCAGACAACCTCATACCTCGTTTGCCCGGTAACTTTACCATTCTACTGGTGAACTCAGGCGATTGCTGCTTCAAGCGCCCCATTTCTTCAGACATTCATTGGCTGCCCAGATGCATCGCCTCTGCATCTGTGGGTGAAATGGCCTGAGGGCGAGGCGCAACCTGGCGTGGCGCTAATATGCATGTTCAAAGCCTGATTGCCCCCCTTGGCCCTGATAGCCCGGGTGAAGAAGTTGATGAGGGGCTGAAGTGTTGAAGAAGCGCTCTTGATTGGAACCTAGAGGTTTCAGCGACGTCATGGCGACCTGGAGGAAATTCCTACTCCATTGACTGGGATAGAGGGGCAAATCTCGGATAAAAGTTGGCTCTCTCATCTTCACAATTAACCAACGGTTGGAAGGAAACCTTTCAGAGCAATACCCAGAAAGCAATCCTAATTGGCTCTTTTCATTGTTCCAGTAGTTAACTTAACTATCCGATTACTCTTTCTGATCTATTCAAATCCCTCTGTGTGCACAAACACCCCCCCACCACCGCGCGCCTGGCGAACTTTTCCCTTTGTTCTCTGGGAAAAAGATTGAATCAGGTTTGTGATCTTGTAATGAATATTTAAGAAGACGAGAGACTGTAAGCATAAATTGCTGCTCCGCACAAGAACTGAGTCAGCCTCTTGGATACAACAACCGTATAGACAAACCTTACAACTGTCGCCAGCCCCAGTCATACAAGATGTCGAATCGTCCAATCTTTGTTGCGACTCATCCCCGAGCCTGTTCTACGGCTTTCGAAAGGGTATGCTTAGATCACCCACCCCCTCGATGTTGTGGGAAACAGCTAGCAGCTAACCCAATTTTTCAGGTCTTTATGACACGTCGTGATGTCCTCCAATGTGTACATGAACCTTTTGGAGATGCATTCTACTTTGGTCCTGAAAGATTGAGCCAGAGATATGAAGATGATGAGCAGGCGAGAGTTGAGAGTGGCTTCGCGTGTTCGACATATCGATCTGTTTTTGACAGGCTGGAGAGTGAAGCATCCGAGGTTTGACCCTTTTTCCGGTCCATGAGAAAATTGGCTCTCACCTTCTCTTGCTCCTCTTCATGTTACGTGTATATACATGTCGTTCACTCTTTTTAATGCGCGCTGCTTCTCTTTTTCCTGGAAATTTGCCCTGCCATCGAGGTGCTTGGATCTGTCTCACGGACCGTATCCTCTTATGCGGTGATTCATTGCCTCTAATCGTCGATATCGAGAAGTTGTTGCTACTCCCACATCACATGAATACCCAGAATACCCCTCCCAATTATTGTTTGGGGATGTTAGATTTGGCTCAAACATTGAATCATGCCCCCAAAAGTTACATCCGGAGAGCGCAACCTCAGCACTCAGCATGCTCATCGATTGCGATATACTTACCGTATTATAGGGAAAACGCCTTTTTATCAAAGATATCATCCACTATCTTGTTCCCCCGAACGGAAAGCCAGCCACCATCGCCCCCTCCTTACTGAGAATTAAACGCGGTGTCAGCACTGTGGATGGCAACAGCGTCGATCCCGTCAGCGCCTTGGCCATGGAGCCGAGTTCCAATGGCGATAACAAGACACCATATCCATACGATACATGTGCGGAGGCCGACAATCCGACTGTTATTCCGTCTTCCATGCTAGCCAAATTCCATTTCACCTTTCTGATCCGCGACCCGCACTTCAGCATTCCGTCCTATTATCGATGCACCATACCGCCTCTCGATAAAGTCACTGGCTTTTACGAATTCTATGAATCTGAAGCGGGCTATGATGAGGTGCGTCGGGTTTTTGACTACCTTAGTAAAATACAGCTCATCGGACCGCATGACGCCAATGGAATCGGTGTTATGAATGGCACACCACATGGGATCAACGGCGAGACCAACGGCGAAACCAATGGTGATGATATCGCATCTGACGCTCACAGTAAAAGGGTTGAAATTTGCGTTATCGACGCTGACGACATGCTCGACGATCCCGCAGCCATGATACAACGTTACTGCAAGAGTGTGGGGATCGAGTACAAATTGCAAATGTTGAAATGGGAGTCCGAAGAGGAGCACCGAATTGCCAAGGAGGCATTTGAGAAATGGAAAGGATTCCATGACGATGCTATCAACTCTACAGAATTGAAAACTAGATGCCATGTAAGTGCTTCTCAGCACATGCGATTAAATTATATGCATCGTTGTCTATTTATTCCTATAATCTCTAACCACTTCTCATCCATTTTCTTTATTTAAAAAAAAAATATACAGAAAAAGGAACCCAAAACCGAAGCTCAGTTTGACGAGGAGTGGCGTGCCAAGTATGGAGAAAAGGGTGCAAAAATCATCCGTTCCGCCGTTGATCGTAACATGGCTAATTACCGGTATATGAAGAAATTCGCTATGAAGGCGTGAAAATGGTTTCGTTTGGATATGCTTCATGTGTCCGGTTTCATCTAAAAGCCTCCCTTGATTTTTGCATCTTTTAGTGGATATTTCTTGTTAATACATTCCGCATTAGTTATACTCTCTTCTTATATCTTGGAATATCAGCTAGCAAATCAGCTACGCAAACAGGACATGATATTGGAGGTTCTTGGAAGCTGTTGCCATGTCCAGTGCTGAATGATTCCTTGCAAAGGAAAGTGACCGACATAATCCCAAAAATCCATTTATTATTTCTCTACTGTCACACTTATTTCTTCCATTTTTTCCCGCCATTATTCTTCTCCGTATTCTGTTTCCCATTGCCATTCAATTTGCTAAAGCGACAAGAACACAGCATGCCGCCTAGGGTTTTCAGGATGGGGTGCCATCCACTACAGATATTTAATACCTTTATTCTACTTTCACTTTCACTTTCACTTTTACTTTTACTCTGGTATTTTTGGTACCATTCCATCAAGCATCTTTTTGGTAGGTGAAGATGATATATGCCTTTCTTAAATCTCCTAAATGACTCACCACTTCAGCATTCACATTTTGTTCGAATGTATAAATAAAGACAAGTCATTTCAGGATGAAAAATAATATTATTAATAACAAATAATAACAACATCAAAACCATGACATTATGAACAAAAAAATCCTTGTGAAATTTTATATACCTTAGATAACAAAACAGCGTGGTATACATATATACCATATAGTAAGTAAGCATGTAAAAATCCGGAATTCTTTTCCACACGAAGCCGCAGGGGTTCAACTGCTGCCAAATTCATAAGAGGAACAAAACGGCAAAAGTAAAATCAAATCAAAAAATAAAGGAAACTTAAAAAACCCGTTTCTTGAGAAACCGAAATCCTCAGGTCACCATCATTGCGAATTCGGGACGGCAAAATCCGTGACGAAGGAATGGAACAAAAGGAGTAACTATGAATTTTAATGATTTAGATAGATATGAGTGGGTGAGGTGTGAAAGGGGTGATGATTAATGGAGCAGTTCCCAGATCAGAGCGTTTGAGGACAAATATGCTGCAGAGGAGGAGGACTTGCTGCATTTCTCAAGTGTCTTGACCAGGCTGGGCTAGGCGTGTGGGGGGAACAATGGGGACGCGGAGAGATGACATATAAACTTCTTCAGGGGGACTCATAAACTGGTTTACCTGACAGATAAAAAGCAAGCAAAATTCAAGGATAACCCATTCAAACAAAAACAAGGTGGTGCAGCAGCCTCCATGAAAAATGCAGTTCAAGTTCCACACTGAAGAACAGAGGATAACTCGCAATTCGTAGAAGATACGAAACACAGGCGTCGAACAAAATAAAATAAAAAAAAAAAATAGTGAGGAGAAGAGGAAAGGGTAAGAGAAGAGGAAGGGTGAGAGAAGAGGAAAGGGTCAGAGAAAAAGGAAGTTTACACCGAGGAATTCAAAATGTATTTGAAAGGATTAGTGAACAAAAGAGAGCCAAAACCAAAACTCCATTCTCAATTCACACGAGTCAGACGGCGCTATAGCCGCCTCGCGATCCTGGTCCTTGGACGGTAGAAACTACCTTCCGGCCCCAGTCTTTTAAAATGTAGGGGACATCACGAATGGTGTCACCATGTGGAAGGAGATCCCAGCCCCGCGCGCCGTATCTGTTGTAGTTCAACCAAGAACCAAAAATAAGGTATGCGGCGGTGAAAAGGAAAACACTAGAGGGAAATTGTCAGTTTTCACGCAATGTATAGCTTCAGCTGGCCCCCCTTTCAGGATTCACAAACAAAGAACCATATAGGTGAAAATGGACTCTCGAAAGAATGACTTACATGATAACCAACCACGTGAAAAATCCCCAGTGGTTAGACTTTCCTCTGTCGCCGTGCTGGAAGTCTTCGCAGACATACTTAGTCCGCCAGTCCAATCTCAAGACGAACATTTCATCCACCTGCGCGTAGCTTTTAAACGAGAGGCTTTGTTTATCGTCAACTTTATCATCTTTATCATCTGGCTTGGTGACTTCAGATTCCTTCTCATCGGCCATCATAATTCCCCGACCAGCCCAATCGTTTTCCAAACCCGTGCTCTCATGGTCACATATCATTTCTATAACGGCTTTTTGTTTGTATTCCTTGCCATTAAACGGATAGCTTCCTCCGTGCAATTCTATTCGCAAGCCGTCTTGTTGAGAGTCGGTCATCTTGAGCCGCGTAATCTTAGGATCAAGAGTCCTCCCGGAACTTTGGACATAATTTCCTGCAATTGGAATGGCGCCTAGTATCTTGTTTTCACCCGATGATCGTTGGACACCACAGACTGGGAGAGGAAAGATAGGGGAGTTAGCACGGAGAAAATAAAGAATGGTCTGTGGTGAAGATCGGAGAAGAGAAGGGGGGAAACATACCCCTTGTTCCCGATGGGCACTCTGTGTCTTTCAGCGGTTTGCATAAATCTATAGTGTATGTGGTATTGATCGTGGTTGGCGGGTGTTCAACAGTATTGAAGACTGAGTGAGGACCGGCCAACGGAGACAGGTCCCATGACATGCGGTTGACAACGATGCGGTCGCAATCCAAGGTGATTGCGGATGAAAGAACGGGAATAAATAGAAGAAACGGAAGAGCAGAGACCTCGTGTCGTACCTTCATGGCGAGCTAATGGGTGGGGTTTTGCTTAAGGGAAGAAAGGTAGGATCGTCAGTGGAAGCTATCCCGCCCTGCTCAAGCAGCAAGAGCAAGGACAGCTGGAGGGGGATACTGGAATGTAACGACTGTAACTTTGTTCGATCGACCAACTGATAGAGATAACACAGTATTCGCCACCATGTGGCGGATATTCGCAGACTCAGAACCTCAGGCTTAGAGGAGTGGATGCAGTTGCGGTCGTCGTTGTCGTTTGTCGTTGTCGTTGACAACTCAAAGTTGATATCGGGTGGGCATTCAGTTGAACGGTGGCTAGAAGAATGCCAAGACTGACTGCTTATACCAGGCCCAACACTAACAAGTGAGTGTGCTCTTCTACTCTTTATGTCATGTCAATCTTTGTTCAAATACGGAGTAGCTCAACTCCTAATCCTCTAACCTTAATCCATAATACTCCCTAACTGATCCACCCATAATCCGCCCCTAACCCAAGTGAAAAGGGATGTTGAAAGGCGGTGTGATTATGAGTAAACCTCTTACCACGCTCAACTGCCTTCTTTTATATACTTACTCCGTATAACTAGTTAGTTAGTTAACTAGTTAGTTAACTTATTTACATTAGTAAGGCATTATTAATAGCCCGTGTCGGGATGAAGCCGTTGGGTTTGAAGCAAACGATCTAAACAACGAAGGGACTCCTGATGTCACTGGCTTGCACGTGATAGGTGAGCGAGGGAGCGCAGTAATTTGGAAGCAGTACGGCGAGTCCTATGTATATGTCAAACCGTTAAAGGGCCAGCATATGAAGCGTCTTGAGTTTTGGATTCGATATCCAGAAAACCATCTGAGGGGGAAACGGTAAAAGAGGGCAATGAAACAGAGACTATGCCATAGAATGCACAAATGCAATACACCGTAGTATTAAGAAAGGTGGTGCACAATCCGGCGTAGCTACTCCGTAACTGAACGATCTACTGCTAATGCACGGGCCACTCGGGTGTGTGAGTTTGAAGCATAATTTCTTGGTTCAAGAAAGGGCAAAACCACCTCAATTTCAACATCGCTGAATTCAGTCAGAAACATTAAAGAAAACCAACACTTTGTATATGAAATCTCTTGAATAAGCTGCTTATTTATTATCATATTTTGAAAGTAGTTCACATCAAACCATCTCACAAAATCATGATGCTACAACGGCGTATGGTGAGTAACTCCCATTATCACCCTTTTATCCCCCCTAACTAACCCTCCCATAAAACAACACGCAAGGGAGAGGTTCATATGTTGACAAATTTGATATAGCTTTCGAAGGAGGATGAGGCATCCGCTAGCTCTGAGGAAACTGAGGTTCGACGCGAAGATCAGGAAAAGATCAATCGCTTCAGCAGACTGCACCAGCGGGAAACAATGCTGGAGGAGCAACTGAAGTCGAAAAATGTATGTTTTGGATTGTGGTATCTTTTGATTCATATCAATTACCTTTTCCTGAGAGGCTGGGGCATATTGAGAATTTTTTTTTCCCCTTTATGATTTTTCTTTCTTTCCTTTCTTTTTTTTTCGATTCATCTCACTGAACGTTCCACCTTGACTTGATTCAATAATACTCCTTAATCCCCTTTAGAGTTCAAACATAATTTTGTATGGAGAATCCCCAGCCTTTTGCTGCCCCAGCTAGCTGACGAAACCATCTCTATGGCCATATAGAAAGACAAGGAAGACCTTGAGGAGGTATCTATGGAACTCGAACTTGCAGACGAGGATGAGAAGATACCGTATGTAGAGCTCTTCTTCAGTTTTTCAATATTTATTTCTTCTCACTCTCGCATACCTCTCACACTATTCTAACTCAAATCAAATAGATATAAAATTGGTGACTCGTTCATCTCACTCCCTCTCTCAGAAGCACAATCCCTGCTCGCAGCTTCCACAGAGCAAATTGATGAGGAGGTCAGCAAGCTAGAAGCAGACCTACACGACCTGAGAGACGAAATGCAGAAGCTAAAAGTTGCTCTGTATGCGAGATTTGGTAGGAGCATTAATCTTGAAACTTAATTCTGTTAAGGTTCGGGGTTGTTGCACTGGTTGGACTGATGGGGATGGTTGGTTAGGCCCATATGCACTTGCATGTACAAACAATAGCAACGTATGTGAAGTTCCTAAAAGTATTTTTAAAATTACATCTTGTTTCTCTTCCTAGGAGCTTACTTGGGATTATTACTGCAGATAAGTTCACGGCATATTGATATACCTGCTCTTCTCCCATACTATGCCATCCATACGTCATCCAACCCTCAGTGACAGTACATAAGAGAATGAGGAAATGTCTGAAATAGAATACTATATCCTCATGGAATTATATTAAAAAATCAACCCCTTAAATGCACGTAACCTTAGTGTCCCATAAATCCCGACATAGCGAATCCGCTGAGGTATCTCAAATTCAAAACAAATTGGACTGTGAATGGATTCAAGTGCTGAAAGGAAAGGTGAAGAAAAAAAAAAAAAGGATAAACCGGAAAACAAAAAGACTAAGGTATTTTTCAAGCCATATTAATCTCCATATACAGTGGGAGAAGCGCTATGACTGAAGCAAAGGGGCTACGGGAGAGATCGAGTCCCTATGGCCAGAATTGTTCGCTCCAACCTAGATATGCAGATCTCCATTTTCCCCTGAATAGTGATTCGGACAGCACCTTGGTGCAGATTTCGTAACCCATTGAAACCGGGGTTGATTCCCCATTTGTTCCCTTGTTGGCGATGTGTGGAGTTCTCCCTACTAGAAGGATAGAGGTAAGGCGTTGCTGTCCTTTAATGAAGCATCTCCACACCAATGCATTGCAGAATATTGTGTGGCTCAGGCTATATTTTCCAATTACTACCGCAAGGGTGTTAATCTGACTGAGGAATTTTGTTTCCCAGTGAAAATTCCCGAATCTTTATGAAACGAAGTGAATCGCAAGCTGGTTTGCACAGGCTGCGGGGCTTCATGGCTGCATGGCTTAAGTACCTCCGTCGGAGCTATGCTTTCGTCCTAGCTTGCGCCAACACCACAAATCAAAAATCCAATCGTTAAGTGGAATGACTTAAATTCAATAGGAAAAGGTCAAAGCTCAATCATATTATATTAGCGATCGTCATTCTCGAGCTGCTGGTTGGACTTATGCGCGATGAACTGGCGTTTTTGGGAGGACGAATAAACGGTACCTCAGGTTGATCGAAAGTGGAAGATCTAGTTCCGGTTTCCTTCGCCTCAAGAACCGTAATTTGGCGTTGCTGCTCTGTGAGAAGGAAGTGAACAGTCTGTTCAACCCATCCCCATCCTTCCCATTCCCTATCCAAGTCCTCTGGAGCACCGTCATTTCGAGCTTCGTCGACAGATTTTCGGTCGAGGGGAGAAACACCTAGTGGAGAAGATGAATGCGCTGGGGTTACTTTTGATGTTGACCTATTCTCTCCCGTTTTCCATATCCAGCTGCTACTTGCTCGACCTTGGAGATCACCAGAAACGTACGCCATCATTTCCTCATCGCGTTCTAGGTTTGTGGGGCCGCTTTTCAGTGTCCTCTCCAGCAAACACCCGAGGAAGAATGAAAGGTAGCGGCCACATGCTGCATTGATTGGTCTCGCATCGCCTATCGCAGCGCTTGTTTGGACACAAATAAGGGCATCAGTATAGGCCCCATGGAAAAGTAGAAATAGGGTACATCGCCATATGTGAGAACATAAAATTGTGGTTGCGGCCGTTGCCATTGGATATCTCCAATAGTTTGTTTGCTGCGAGTCAGAAGTGGAATTTGGCGCCGGGGGGAAACGCATACACCGGGAGAGAAGGGCGGCAGTGTCATGGGCGACAGCTACGCATCGTTCAAGAGCAGCGTGCCTCATCTCAGGTGAATTACGTGGAGAAATATTATGGCGATGAAGAATCAGCCGGGTATTCTGCATAAAGATTATCGGGGAGAGTAGGCGAGGGTCAAGGTAATGGCTCCCTCCCATCCGATAGTCCAGCGGGAATGTCGACAAACACATCTGAAAATGTCTCTCGAATATCTCTAATGTATCAACCGAAATTGCAGGAGCTTTCAGACTCTTTGAGAGCTGAGATACCGAACGCATAATGTGGGTTATTGCAAGAAGCGGGGTGGTTTTATCGCTCTGCGGTAGTGAGCCGTCTTCAGCAAAAGGGAGCTCAATATCGCAATCCTCATCGTTTATCATCAATGGCTTTCCTGTTTCAAGAACAACAAGTCTGTCATACATTTAGCAATTAAATAATGGGATTGAATCTGGCGTCTTCCGCAAATGATATTGAACTGACCTTTCCCAGGAATACAAAGCCCACCAAACCCGCTTTCTCACCTCAGCATCCGGCGCTGGCCAAGGCCCATCCTCAACATGCAACCCTATATACTGCGCAATTCTCACGGCAGAGCCTAGCCAAACCCAACTAGGGGACTTGAGATTCATCTCATGTAAAAACAAGCTGATAAGCATACTCGTACGGACTTGGTCAATGGAAAAAGAGTCCTCCCAAAGATCACCAAGGCTGGCACACGTTTGTATGAACTCTTTGCCCTTCGATATCAAATCCTGGTCCAGTGAATGCAGTGAGCCGCAAGCAAGGACAGCAAATAGCACCGCAATCCACACTCTAGGGACTCCATCAAAAGAGCCAGTGCGCGAGATTCTGTCGCAGTCTCTCAAAAGCATTGGCCAGTGGATGATCGGAAAAACAGGGTGAATATATGAGAAGTAATTTCCTAGAAGGGAGTCCACGACGCTTGTTGGGGGCAGAGGGGGCACATCACCAGTTGGCAGCCGCTGGCGAGGCATGAATGAGTGAGTTGCCGGTAAATCCATGAGTTCTTGGCCATATGTTCGCATTTTCCAGCAGACATGGGAGGGTATCTGGTTGATATGGGCATCTTTGGGACGACCTGGACGCCGTCCAATTTCCGGGATCGTCGGAGTCCCTTCGTGCAAATCAAAATCGGGATCCATCAAACCATCGATTTTGGAAATTCCGGACCGAAGTTGGACTAGTTGTTGCTTTGCTTGGGCTAGCTGTCGCTCGAGGTCTTGAACTTGCCTGAGACTTCGTTAGTTAAATTCAAGAGACAAACCGATGATGGATAACTGACTTCATTGACGACATGCGTCTGTTAGTTTCCTTGGTAAACAAGCATCGCACATTTCGATTGGAGCATTCCGTGCAACTGGAAGAATCTGAGGCATCGCACTATATTGGCGCATGGGGAGGTTTGATCAGCAAAGTCAATTCTGACTATTCCCGTTTCCATCATGCCGCAACTACACCAGTCGCCTACCTTCACTTTGCGTTCCCGACATGCATCGCAACTTGGATCCTTTCGGCGTTGTCTATACGCCCTTTTGTGAGGCTGCTGGATAAATGTACCTATGTGAAATCGTTGCACAGCGTCATTTTGATTGTGGAGATCTGGAAACGTCCCTGACTGATCTGCTGATGAGACTGATACTGACTCGTGCGAGTGGGGATATGTCGTGCTCGGGGGAGAACGATTGAGGTCTTGTGGTCCAGAGCTATATATCAAGTTTGATATCTTCAGCCCGTTTCGTGACCGGTTTGGGGCAACTGGATTGAAATTCGCCCGCAGTTGGGAACCTGAGATTGCCGGCAACGTGGACGAAGAACCTGGTGGTTGGCCACACAAGGTTCTGCTGTGCGGAGCTTGGATTGCGGGCAGCTGAGGATATGCGTCTTGCATTTTTCGCCCTCTGTCCCTACTCCCTCCCCGTCCTCAAGGGTGCGGAAGCGTCAAGAGAAAATGGTTTCGAAATGAATGTGACTTGGGAAATCGAAAGAAACCTGTGTTTCGTGGAAACGACATATCATATACAGCATAAATTGAATACAACAGGAGTTGGGCGAGGGAGTGACAAGTGCACCAGAGCGTATATTAAGCCCGACCTTTTTAGTTGGTATGGGAGACGAAGCAGCACCTGCAACTGGTTAAGTCAGCGTCTTAAAGTTACGAAATCCACGCAATGTGCAGGGCGGCTACTGTCGTTTGCTCGGGACTTCATACCCTGGAAGGTCGTAAGAGGCTACGACGCGGAACTTGAACTGCGCTTTTAAGAGGGTGGGGGCTGCTTAACCTCACCACCGTGAGAGAGACCATCAAAAAGGAGTGGCCACGAGGGCTGATCGGGTAGAGAAAGCCGAGGTTTACCGTCCAGGGTTGAGGCATGAGCACCAGCCGCCAGTTCAAGCCTCTGACATATAACTAACTACTCCATTTTAATATTAATAATGATAGCGGACGATGAAGCGCATCGCCATCAATCTCGAGCGGGAGCCACCGCCCACCAGCAACGGCAAACCGTCTCTGGTTTAAGCTCATGAAGCCGTCTTTACTCTCCAATAGCGGGCCTGTCGGCTATTCGCCGTTGACTATTGGTTGGGATAAAAAAAAAAAGTGCTTAAACAGGAAATAATAGTATTACAGTAAGTTACCCACTGGTCCCCACTGGAAATGATATTCCGTTTCCATGAGTCTGAAGAAGATCGGGTGCAGCTGCAAAGACTGCTGCATTTTTTTTTCCCCTCTACTCTAGTTACTTTGTTTTTCCCTTCTCCTCTTTGGCCGTCAGGGTAAAGCTTCATTCGGAGCATACAAGGTTCTGCTGATCCTGACGGGTTGGATTGTCACAACTTTTTTCAGCCACGCCCAGAGACCAGAGAGACAACATCAAAGCAAGACGGGTTCAAAATTGGCGAGAATTCGGTAAAGCTCATTGAATAACACGCTAATTATTATTAGTCCATGACTTGCAAAATGATTCTGTTTATCTTGAAAATAATGGACCCTGGATTTGCGACAAGGGTTTATCAAGAAACTTGATGAAGTAAACTAGTGGCTTGTCCTCTGTATGGTGTTCTGGGGCTACGATGATCCATTTTATTTTACCTTCAACATCCCCATAAACCAGGGTCGTTGTTGAATCAGCCAATTCACTGTCAGGATAATCAGTGTTATCTCCTCGTATTTGCTTTAGAAGGCATCAAAATGAATGTTGATGTAGTCGACTCAGTCAGCGCAGTGACAAACTTCGAGACAAGTCTCGGCGGTATCAAGGGGTATTAATTAATTGAGTTGGTGTTGGTTCTTTAAAAAAATCACGGTTTGTAGCCTGTCACTGGAGGAGATCGACAAGCCAAGGGGCAAGTTGGTGAATACTTCGCGTGTTTCATGGCAGCCACATTATCCCTGTTGGACCAGGTGCACAATGACTATATCAGATTCGGGAGAGTCCCCGAAGATGGTTTCCACCATGATCCAGCTGCTCCTCGAGCACGCTAAAGTCAGACGATAATCGAGCTAGTGCCGCCTTGGTCTTTTCGTTGTTTGCCGAGGTCTCATGATTTCTCAACAGCCGATGCCTGTGGTTTGAGGTCTGATCGTGATTCATGGAATAACAGTAATTATGATGATGGTGATGATGATGATGATGATGGTGATGATGATGATGATGGTGATGATGATGATGGTGATGGTGATGATGTTGATGACAGATCTAAGATTAACGATTCCACTCGGGAAAAGGAAGGCAAAGTTCAGAAAACGTGAAAAAATATAAATATAAATATAATATAACATAAAATACAACAAATATGTCCGCAGCAATCCAAAATTCCACGATTTCAGCAAGCTGCTGCAGTGATAATTAGACAAGCTGACCTCAAAATTCAACGAGTGCCCAGCCAGCCAGAGGAGCCAGTGGAAAACCCTGACTTTGCCAAAGTTAAAAATAAAAATAAAAATAAAAATAAAAATAAAAATAAATAAAAATTAAATACAGCACGCCCGGGAAAGCTTTGGAAGGCAACATAGAGGATTCAAAAGTGCCTGAACGCCAGAGACAAATCGGTTCGGCCAGTATTGGAGCACCCTGCCGAACACTTGCACTTCCGCTGCGTCGGAGCGCATACACCTGCAGGCGCAACATGTCAGCCGCTCCCAAAGCCAAAATGCGAAACAGTCTGCCCGGATTTTGCCGCTTTCTCATGTAGTTATCCGATATCCGAAGGAAGAGACCATTAGTTACCCCAGACATGGTTCGGGAGACAAGCCTACAAGTTACGCTAAGCCCATAAGCCAAGCCCTTCATTGCGCAATGGCTGATCCCAATCGCGCCGGATGCTCCGGCAAGTTGGATATAGCAGAAAGGAGATATGGCCAGCACGTAGGAGGAACATGAGAAACTATCGGGAAAAATCATGATAATATGTACGTTAAATGGACATAGTTGCCAGATTTTGGGGCTGAAACTGTGTGAAAAACCTTTTTAAGTTAATCTCACTTATCAGCCAAGAAAGTTGCATATAAGCTGAATGATACCGAAGTTCACTAAGCATTGTGGATTAGAACATGGTTTTGACATGTTTCTTACAAGCTAAGCTGTCCTTGTTCATAATATCCCTTTGATCTTAACACTAAAATGCATGAGATGAGAAGACACTGCAACGCAAAGCTTTTGTGTCTTGCTATTTGCGGTGAGGTCTTCTGCTTGCAAAACATTGCCTTCTCATGCGAGGAACGAAACTTTCTCGAAGATCGGCAATTTTTTGGACTGTAGGTGAACCAAAAGAGAATAAGTAATGCGTAATATGCCTATCCACACAGTCTTGGGAGGTTGGAGAAAGAAAAAGGGAAATGTGGACCGGCCCCAGTAGGATCATCTGCCCAAGTCACTCCTCATTACCTCAGGGAGATTTTACATTCTCCATCTAGGATAAGAATAAACCCAACCTTCAAAGAAACTTAAGAATAAGCATTGAATATAGAATTCTGCACCAAGTTGCTCCTCCCGCTGCATCAAGATGCCCCTCTGTTTCTATATTCTGTTGGAAACCACCCAGATCTCCCTTTCATCATCATCATCATCATCGTCTTCTGTTGATCAGTAAGGAGAGGACCAAACATCGTTGAGAGCAACAAGCCCAATCCCTCTGAGAGAAGACTGGACCATTGTTGTTGAGTCGTAATCCTTGAAAACACAACTTGGAACATGCATGTGCTGTTCACAATATCGCGAAGCTCATCAAAAGCAAAAAAAGAATAATTGTAAGACAGTCAAACCAGGTTTCCCCTTCACATACTCAGGGACTTATTCAACTCCATTCCCTTCACTCCTTTCACTGGGACGTCATAATAATTTAGATATCGTAGTAAACTTCCCGAGCATCCCAGTCCATCCCATTCGCAAGAGGTGTTTTGGTTGGCTCGGCGTAAGTGCCGATATTTTTACGCCCTACTCCCCGGCATACCTCGAGAGGACCTATCATGTGGGAGCCCATTCGGAATAATAACAACAACAACAACAATAATAATAGCCACGTAACTAATGTATGTAAGTACTCCATATGTACGGAGCGCTGCACATATATTATTCCTCGCTTCATTATTGTCCACGGGACCTTCGTCCTAATAATTCAGGTTGCATTGCATTTGAGAGGCAGATCTATTTACCCGCCCTTTGATTAACAACGGGCAACGTTGAACTGAAACGGAAGAGGTGGCAGAGGCCGTAGGTAAAATTCGTAAATCGAGTCCCTTTAATTTTGGTATCCGAAGGATCCATGCTGCACAATATCCCTGGCAGGCTAGTAGGGGCAGCAAGCAGGCTAGCTAGACGCCAACGGAAGACAATTCATGTTATTTTAAAACCCCGTATATTCCGATTCGACCGCGGTCTTGTTTATCGTCGGCATCCCTCACGACCCGCATGCTCTGGTTGCATAACTAACCAAATCGATGCTCCACCTTTGTCTGCACAGACAGAGTCGGGTCGCAAAAAAACCCCTGTTTTGGTTTTGGGCTGCAGAGGGTCTGTGTGGCAGGCACCATTCCAACGCTATGACCGCATCACTTCATGTCCAGCGGTGCAGGCAGGCATGCAGGCAGGCATCCATCCCACCCGGCATGGTTGCGCGAACAGCACCCAAAGACCTCATGGTCAACCGACGGGCCCACGCGACGTTCCCACGGGTACAATATGGTGCCACAAGTTAACGAAGGATTTACATCTGAAACAGCTTGTCAGTGACAGGTTGTTGAATCTAGGAGAGTAAAGCAAGCAAGCAAGCAAGCAAGCAGTAGGGGTTCTGGAACCATCATCCATCTCCAACTCGTGTTTTCCCTGGTTGGATCCCGGTTGTGCGGTATACATGTGCTACTCTACGCAGCGCACTTGTGGTGTACACGATGATTATCGAAACTGCGAAGAAACGAATAAAACTGGGTCAGAGCGCTATCGAACTTGTAATCTGCATATCCAACTCAAATCTCAGATTTCCAACCTGTGAAGGTCACAGTTGATTATGGTTTTAGAAAATTTGAATATGATTTGTAAGATGCGGCTCACTTGAAATCATGACCAACGGATAATCTTAGAGTATATTTTTTTTATATTATTAAGTTATTCTACTTACAGTAACTATTCATTATAATCATTTAGTTTAATGAAAATCTTGTTAGAAATCTTTTTGACTTCGATTCTCTTCAAGATTATATACGAATTGTAAGCATTGAAGTTGAGATGTGTCCTTCAGATATGAATCATTGATTTTTGGGTAACTAGATGTCATGCAGCAGGCTGTCATCTTAATATTGACACAGAAAAAAGGCACTCAGTGAGATGAGTATTTAGATAGTTAGTGATAAAAAAAATTCTGTGCGAAGGGTTATGGTTGAAAATTTTCAAAAAATGGCTCTGCATTTTGTGTTGTTAACAGTTTAACTAAGGACCAGGAAGACCAACAAATATCCTTCCCAGCCAGATGGATCAGACGGAATCCTAGTCCATCTGTTCGGGGATGGAAATTTACGTTACCCTTGATGATGGTCATCAACGGCGAACATTCGAAAACTTGTGATTGGCCATTTCCCACATACCCGGAAATTCCGTTTTCTTTAGGCTAGTTAGTTAACCGTCCTAGGGCATGCCAGCTAAATGACGGGACACTCCCCTGTCGCGACGCCAAGTTATTTCCACATATGTTCCGTGCCCGCATATGCACGCTTAACCAATTGGCACTCCCCATCCCTGAAACCTGGGGAAACTGTTTCTGGAAAAAAATAAAACATAAAACATAAGAATAAAAATTAAAATAACATAACAATAAAAAAGGCAGTAATTAAAACGATGCCTGGCGAACAAACCAGCCCTTTCTCATGACGTGTTCAGGATGATCGAGTTTAACTGGATGCCTCATGAGAACACACATGACAAATGCCTTCGAGGGCTCATCTCAAGTTTCCAATTGATTCCATTCCACGTGTATGTAACCCTCTCCACTTTTAGGGAATCTCAGGTTGTCGGAGTAGAACTTGGGAACTGAAATAATGGCTACGTATTAGCTTTTGGTCGGGGAATTAGAAACGGCGGTATCCCTTCACTGCTTGCGTTCACCGGCCATTGTGACACATTACAGGGTCACAGATGACTTAATCGGAATTGAATACGGAGATCGATAGAGAATTTTCTTTTCGCATTATTTTGTCTTTTTCCGTTCCTTGTCCGCATGCCATTACAAAGAATCTTCAAAAAAAATTCTTGTTCCGGCGTTACCGCCTTCAGCATCTGCTTGCTGCCCTGGAGTTATCATGTTTGTTTGTCCACCAGAAAGACGAATCCAAGTTGACTTGGCAAGGTAGGAACTTCGGGCCAGCTTAGCCAAATGCGACTGGAGAAATCATAAGGACAGTTGTCACGATTGGACTTTAGGAAGTGCCTAACACCCGCAACCGGTAAGAATGGCAATTACTTCCACACAGAGCGCATCTTAAAAGGCTTGCAGAGCATGTTAAAGGTTTCGAATGGTCAAATGCTATCGTGTCATGCGATCTTGGCACTTTGACTTGCATTTGCAACCTTCTTCTGTTCCTCTTTCTGTTGCCATTTTTCCATCACTGTTTCCAAAATTTTCTTGAACCCTTCCATTTGTTCTTCAATCGTCGATCCCGAAAAGTCGACGCTGCAGCCCACATAGACAGGTTTAGATGTTCTCTGAGCAAGAACCCGTGCCGTCCGTGTGGCATAGTCAAGGCTGGAAGGTGACGTGTAAAGCGGTGTACTGATTGTGTTTTTTGGGTTGGTACACTGAAAACGTTTAGTTAGCATGACATATCTTTGTTATATATATATCTTCGACTTTGCAGTCTAGCACAAGTAATACATCCAGAGGGAGCAGTTGGGGCTCAGGGATAGAGTCACTCAGGCAAAACTGGTTCGGAGTTGCAAGTGATGCACAAAATTCCGTTTTGAAAGACAAAGCAATGCATCTTTAGCAAGTTTATGAAAAATAATTCCATACGCCTACTTCCATCAAGTTATCATGGACAGGGTTTGTCATGGACAGAGTGATTCAAACTGGAAGTCAAAATCCTCGAGCTTGAAAACGAAAAATGAAGACAGGAAATTTGCACGTTTGTAAAAAAACCGCAGAAACGTAAGGGGGCCCCGAAAGTATTCTTCTCAGAACATACATCAGGCATTGCGTAGACGAAGCTTCCCATCGGCTTAGCCGAATTACTAGACTCCCCGATATTGGTCGTAGTGAGGAACAGTAACGTTGACGTTGCAAAAAATGTTAAATGAATATGTATTGTCATGTATGGAGATTTGGGAGCAAGGAACGAAAGTTGTACAGGAGCTATCGAAGGATTGGCTTGGGCACGAGATATGGGAGCGGAATCCATGGCTTTAGCGGAGGGAATAGACAAGTAGAAGACGTGATGAATGTGGGTTCTTGGACAACAAAACCCGATCTGTTTGGATCGTAGAAGTTATTGGGTTCTTGGACTGTTACCCTTTCGGTATAATTGATCCCCAGACTTGGTGTTTGATGTTGATGCTGTGATAGTACGGTTGTGTGTGAGGTCGAAGCGGGCGAGAAAATCATCACTTAAGAAGTTGATTTTAGCTTGGCGCTAACCGAAATATTGAGCCCAAGTAGAAATGATTATAAACTATGGATATAAACCAGTATCAAAACACGATGCTCTTAAGATTTCAATAACGAGCAGAGATATCTGCCGAAGCCCCACCTTATATTTTCCCCAAGGCTTGAACATGGAACGAGACAGAACCAAGGAGGAAAATGTGGAAGCGTGGGGAGGAGATTTTGATACACTTGCTGACCCGGATGAACGACGTGTGCTCTTTGCGGCTCTCGATTCATTTAGGTACGCTCCTTGAATAATTGCTGTGTTCCTGAGATGTGCCCTATCCTCTGTAGAAATATGTTGCTCTTATTTCAACTCTGTTATGCATTTCTATGTGCTTTGCAAAGCAGAATTAACAATGCGGGAAGCACGCATACTTATATTCACACCATTCCTCAATACAGGATTGTTAAACCCATGAGACATCTCTTTGTGCTTGCAATGAGGGCAATATATATATTTACTTCAAGCTGTCCATCCACTCAATTACACTATCAGGTACAGTAAACTAACAAGCACCCCAGACAGTACCGAAGGAGCGCGCATTTAAACATCACCCATCGGCGACGTCAGTCATTCTATGCTTTACCATCTGCCCATTGGCAAATGCTAGCGAAACCGCCATTTTCTATCTTAGACAATTTCAACCAGGTTGATGACGCAATCGACGCCAACGCAGAGATCGCTGATGCGATTTTATCTTTCGGTCTGGAGGCCTTTGGACTGCCCGCAAACCCGGATAGCAACGATGAGCGCAGCAACTGGCATGATACGGCCACAGCGTCCGATATCAGCAAGGCTCATTCAACAGTGAAACAGTTTTACCGAGACTGGAGCTCTGAAGGAATCATGGAACGGAATGCCTGCTATAAGCCGGTGATGAATGACCTTGAAGAACTGTTTGGCTCTACACCGCATATCAGAGTTCTTGTTCCAGGCGCGGGGCTTGGGCGTCTAGTTTTCGACCTCTGCGTAGCCGGATATTGTGCAGAGGGAAATGAAATTTCTTACCATCAACTCCTGGCGAGTAACTGGGTGTTGAACCATACACGGAAAGCCAATGAATATCCCTTGTATCCATTTGCTTTGCAGTTCTCGAATTTGAAGTCCCGGAAACAGCAGCTAAACAAGGTTATGATTCCCGACGCCCATCCTGGTTCGATCATCGCTTCACAAATGGAGGCTCCAGATGAAGGAAGAGGGATGGGATCGATGAGTATGTCTGCTGCGGACTTCGTAGTGAACTATGCCAGTCCTGCGCAAAAGGACACTTTTCATGCAGTTGCAACGGTTTTTTTCATCGACACAGCTCCAAATCTGGTAAGATATATCGAAGTTGTTTGGAATTGCCTGGTATGCGGGGGATATTGGATAAATGTTGGACCTCTCCTATGGCACTGGGAAGATAGGCCTTTCAAAAACGAGTCCTCCAAACAAATTTCTCCTTCGATATCGACTGCAAAGTCGGACAAACAATCCGAAGGGATTGGAGAGCCTGGGCATGTAGAATTAACAGAGGAGGAAGTCATTGCACTCATCCAACAGTTCGGTTTCGAATTTGTCAAGACAGATTCCGAGCAGTCCTGGTGTGGCTACGTCCAAGATCCGGAGAGCATGTTGCAAAATTTATATAGACCTGCACACTGGGTTGCAAGGAAGATTGCTGATTCATGAATCATAGTTTCGCGTGACGCAAGCTTATATGGCAAATGGATACGGAAGGAAGTTGGAAGCTAAATATAAAATTGGATGGGTTTAACAGAATTCTCGTTTCCCCTAAAGAAAGTCGAATATGCTTCCGATCTTGTTCAGGGGGGGGGGGAGGGCTATACACTCCTGGTTCCTTATTCAGGTGCTGACAGCGAGTTAATTTGCGTGTGCAAACGGTTTATCGTCCGCTGCTTGTACTGTATGCTAGCATTGGGCAATGCCCCATTTATAGAGAGCCCCTACATATAATCTACCTATCTTCTCCGTACGACATAGATATATACCATATAGTTCATGCTTTGTGGCCCTGTTTCAATTCAAGGGAAGATATTATTTTCTAGATATTCTTTGCCTCTTTATCACTCCGCTATTAAAGTCAAATAGCCTACAACTTAATATTCGCATATTGTATCTATATATAAAACCATTTCATTAATCGTCAAGCCGGGCTGGATACAAATCTAGTGCTATCAATGTAAGACATTGCCATCCATGTACTAGTAGATAAACTCGTGATGAACTCGTGATAAACTCGTCCATATAGAGTTAATTTAACTCGCGCCATGCTTCCAGTTTAAAAGGGAATGATAGAAAGATTCAACAAGCAAGAATGGTCTCATTTATATTGGATAAAACAACGAGATGAGCATGGATGATGTTGCGCTTTCAAAAAGCGTGGAGGAAAGAGTCGAAGAGAGGAAGAACCGTGCTTCATGAACCCACTTGAGCTGTTAGGCCCGGGAATAAGAATGAAAAATATTAGAGTCAGAAACCCGACTTTGAACCGAAAAGTATATGTGGAATAACATGGCATCAGACGGGGAATAGAAAAACAACAAAGGTTGTCTTCTCTTGGGCCGCCTATTATATCAAATACGTCATCAATGGTGACGTCAATAAGTGGGAATCAATAGCGAAAGTTCCGAGATTGTATATCCAGGGTGAGACAACATATCTCGATGGCGTATATGAAATTAGGCTGTAAAGAGGGTGGTATGCGATTAGCTGAAGAAGCAGCACGAGCAGTTTATTCTTCGTTCAAGTAGTCATTTTGATGGCGATTTATAACGCTTGACGGTGTCCTGACATCGTGGCCCTGCAAGACCATACATAGTCGGCAAGACCATATATATACGTCGGCTATCTAAAATGACGCACGACGCACTGCCAGGAACGGTGTCGGTTCCACCGCCATGCTTTCCGCCAACTTCGAGAAATAAAATGGATTCTTCCAAGGGATAAAGTAATGATGGTAATCCCAAGCCCGTTGAATATTTGGTGTTATTTTATAGCATTCGAAAAAAAAAAAAAAAAAAAATTAAAAACTCTTACCGGAAGCGGAAGCACAGATTTTGGAGGTTTTGAATCCGAATTTTAAGAACCAAGAAGATTCAAACGGCGGTCAGGGTGATATTGACAACTCTTGAAAAATCAGCGCTTTCCCTTTGCCAACCAAAGGCATATTTTGTTTCCAGTTGGTGATGCGGGAAACTCGCCCTGAACAACATATAAATATGTCAAACTCTTGAATTCGCCTGCTAAATTGCTTCTGTCCACGAGTGCATTGCAGGTTAAAAAACTACAGGGAACAAGGTTGTAACCTCCAGTTGGAGTTTTAGAAACAGCGTGATAGTATAATTAATCCCTTGGAGCACTTTTAAGGGCTGCATAGTGGTCTCTCTCTCAGATCTCGATTCAAAGGCCGTTTATTGATCGATTTGATAGCAACAACGGTCTGTGAACTGCATTAAATTGTATCACGTTCAGCTGTAGAACGAATGTATCAAAATGTATTATCAGTTGGATGCGCAAAATGAGCGTTGGGGTGATAAACTAGTGCCACCCAGCGGTCCACTTCGGGAAAAGGTGGGGCAATTGCGGAGTCTACCACTAACTATCATTCCTGAAGTCCACATCATTTCGCATTGAATAAGTTATCTAATAGGGATGGGTAACCCTTGGTAGGGGGTAGGGGGGGGGAAGAAACTGAACGGGGGCATCCATCGCTAACGAACTCCGATGAGCGTGGTTGAAGCAGGAGAGTAAAATGTCTGTACTGCGAAGTTTACTAATTAACTAGTTACCTGTCGAGCATTTGGTGAACGGGGCTGCCAAGAGCAGAGCCTCAGCAGGTCAGCAACGCCTGGAGTTGACTGACGTCTTGGCAGAGCAGACTGACAACTTACCTTGTCACATGCAGCTGAGATGTATTCTCCAGGTTACTGAGAGACACGACACTGCTGTTGCATGGAAGGGTAGTTTATGGATATCGTGGTGGAGCGAAGAAGATAATTTAATCAAATTAACACTAAACCATATCCTCGAACGCCATCAAAACCAATTGTTGACCTCAGATCGCTGGTGGTGAGATGGTAGCCGCAACGGCCAGGTAGTTAGTTATGTGTAAAAATAACATCATGTTTCTATTTTTGTTTCTCCTAGGCCCAGAGTTGAACAGGCCGCAGTGGCTCATATAGTTTAGTTACCTAGAAGATCCAAGTATAATCATTGAAATGGTGGATGGTGAATTAACCGTTTCGAACTAACAGCATATGACCCCACTGGCCGGTTCATACGGAAGTGAAAATACGGCCGGGCCAGCTTGAGATAGCCACTTTCACACAGAGAGAGAGAGAGAATCATCTGGGAGACCAGAACCATATAACTATAACTACACCTGTACAGCGGTCTGGTCTCTCGCTGCAAAATGTCGAAGTGCGGAAGTAGCATAGCGGTTTCGCTTTGTCACTCTCTCAATGAGTTTGCAGCAGAGGTTCTTGGAAGATACTTGGATATACTTGCAGCATGCATCCTTCCATCATCAAGATAGATTCCGTCCTGCTGACGATACCTAGTGCCCCAGCCTGGCTTCCCAAGCCCGCATCCCATAATAAAATTGAGTCTCGAATTCCAAATTTCCAACTGTTAGCGATTTGCTTTGCTTTACATAATCCATGTTGGTTGTAATTTTCAGACGGACACGAGGGACATTCTTCGCTTCGAGCACACTCGCTCCCTAGTTCAACTAAATAACGGCGTCGCTCCTTTTTTCGCTCTCTTTTTTTTTTTTTTTTTTTTTTTTTTTTTTTTTTTTTTCCCAGTCAATAACTATCCCCCTCCATTTTCCCAAGACAAGTTCAGCCATCAATTGTCGCAAACAAGAAATTCATTTTGTCAATCGCCCACTCCCTACATTTGTCTGCAGCAACACTCTGGGGTAAGAGAACAAGTAACTTCGCCATACTCCCGCCAATCACACAAGAAACTGCTTTTCGTGCTGCTTTCCTCGTGGAATTATAATAAAAATACCACGCTGCCAATTTGAAGGCATAAGAAGCAGAGATTTTGAATACAAAAACTATCCCCAAAGAGATCAGCCCTGCGCGTTCGTCCAATAATCCGACTTCTGCGGTAGTTTTTGGTGTATAAAGACAACGATAGGGAAATAAATACCGGTTGGATTGCAGGAGACAAAGGAACCCCAGGACTGGTTGTTTGTTGCCCATCTCCATCCTCCAGACTCCGCCCATTTTATTTACTTGTTTGAGATTCTGCTCAGCCGTCCGTCTATTTAATCCTAACCCCCCAACTGTTTGGGTTCTTCGCCCTCGTAGCACCAAACTGAATACCACGCAATACACCAATACGACGCTGATTTTGTGGGGCTGAGGGCTGGTCTTGTACGGTCATTACTCCATAATACGCCAGCAAAAGCCGCCCCCAGCCTCACTTTGCCCAGGCTCATCCGTATTCCTTACTCGGGCATTCCCTCATCCAACGTTCCGGCGCTCTTTTTATCCTCCACCCCCCTCTTGTTGACCGCCCCTCTTCGTTTGTATAACATAACCTACGAGAGTCCGTCTGTCATTTCCATCTCTCTCCCTTTTATATGGATCTGATGAGCTCCCGATTCAAATCTTTTGGTTTTGGATCAAAGCGCAAGACTGCCACCCGGCCAAATCCAACAACTGCAGCAAACATCAACGCCAGCAACAACAACAACAACAACGGCGTTGCCACCCCTTCCCCGCCTCCTGTCGCAAACAACTCTACCGCCAGCCTTCCGATGAATAATCCTAATCAGCTGGGCCGACCGCCAAGCTACACATATAACGCTGGTGGGCGGCCTGCGAGCCCTCTGCCCCCAGCACAGCAATTGGCACACTCTCCCCCGCCGATCAACACTGGAGTTCCCTACCCACAGTCTAGCGGCCCAATAGCTTCCCCCCCTCAACCACCAGGATATGGGGGCTACCCTCCTCATGCTGCTCCTCATGCCATGCAGCAGTCGATTCCTACCTACGGACGCGCGCACAATACCGGTGAGCTTGATGCAACGGGTCGAAGCAAAGCCCAGCTCATCGTAGGAATCGACTTTGGCACAACATTCTCGGGCGTCGCATTCGCATTTGTTACCAATACGGAGGCACGCGAAGATATCATCACCGAATGGCCTGGTGCTGGAGCTCATGCAAAACAAAAGGTACGTCTAATTTTTCCAACGTTCGTTGATATTATCAAAGTTACATCATCCATCTCGTGGTGGTCCCGTAAACCCCTTCATCATTCCTCATCATCCCTGTAATCTGTTGCTTGTTGGTATCTTAAACTTATATTTTGCTTTTGGCCATTGTGGATGTTTAGATCCCCACTGTGCTCTATTACGACCAGTATCAGAAAGTGGTTGGGTGGGGTCCAGATATCGCTGATGCACTTGCTCCAACTGGTTACCCGAAGCAAGGTGTTCAGAAAGTAGAGTGGTTCAAATTACAGCTAATGCTTTCTGGAAACACCTACATTGACCCGATCAATCTTCCTCCTCTCCCTCCTGGCAAGTCAGAAATCGATGTTGCCGCAGACTACCTCTTCAAGTTGCGTGGTGCAATGCGAAATCAACTGCAGAAGACTTTGGGTGAAGTGTTCAATCGTGAAGAGCGGAATATTCGGTATTTCCTGACTGTTCCGGCCATATGGAATGATGCTGGCAAGGCTGCAACTCGCGCTGCCGCCATTCAAGCAGGATTTTTACGGGATGAAAATGACAATCGTCTAACATTGATTACGGAACCGGAGGCAGCTGCCATGTTTTGTGCCAAAGCCGGCTTACTTAGCCTTAAGATTCATGATGCCATTTTGATTGTTGACTGTGGCGGTGGAACTGTAGATTTGATCGCATATGAGGTGGAAGAAGAAACACCTTTCACAGTGGCCGAGTGCACTGCTGGATCTGGCGATTCATGTGGATCGACGGCACTTAACCGCAATTTCAGCAACATTCTACGGGCAAAGATTAGAAAAATGAAGCTTCCTGATGGCTCGAGGACTGCGGGGAGAGTATATGCTAAATGTATTATGGATTTCGAGAACCGAATCAAAGCCGACTTTCGGAATAACGGCCAGAAATGGGCTGTGGATGTAGGGATTGAAGCTGATTTCCCTGAGGCTGGCATTGAAGAGGGGTATATGACTTTTACGAATGAAGAAATTCTTCAGTGTTTTGAGCCCGTCGTGAACAGGATTCTTGAACTTGTGCGGAATCAGATCATCGCCATTCAGGCACAAAACAGGGCACTCCAGGTAAGCTATTCCACCCCACATCTATCTTACAAATTGCTATGGTTGGCTCTTTCTAAACTCTGAATATTTTCTAGAATGTACTTGTTGTTGGCGGTTTTGGTGCTTCTGAATATCTATTCCAACAAATTAAGCTTCATGTCCCTCCTCAATTCCAGTCCAAAGTGGTTCGTCCAATGGACTCCGTGTCGGCTATTGTTAAAGGTGCTGTCACTGCTGGAATCACTGAGCGAGTAGTTACCTCCCGTGTCGCTCGTCGCCACTATTTGATGGCCACTCTACAACCGTTTAAGGAGGGCCACCACCCAGAGCAATACCGCGTCCCTAGTCTTGATGGCAAAGATAGATGCAAATATACTCGGCAAATATTTGTGCAAAAGGGGGAGCGCATCAAAATTGGGGAACCTGTCAAAGTCAGCTTCTTCCGTCAGGTCGCCCCCGGCGCGACATTGATGTACGAGGATATTTTGTATGCTTGCGATGAAGATGTTTGTCCAGAGTATACAAAGGACCCACGTAAGTGACACACTTTTGTAGTTCCATCCCTGACCGTCACCTTTTTCAACGCGATGCCATAAACGGATAGGTGGAAATGCTAACTTTACAACCCTCTGGATAGGAATTAAGGAAGTTGTTACACTAACCTCTGACCTGTCCAGAAAGAATCTAGAGAAGGACTTTGAGCGAATGGATACGCCACAAGGAACCTTCTATCGCGTTTACTTCGACATATATCTCACACTTGATGGAAGCGAGTTCAATGCGGAACTTGTCTGTCAAGGTGAGGTCATGGGACGATGCTCAGCAAGATTCAGATAGGTTGTCAACACTCTCCTGCTGCTGGTTGCGGTCCTAGTTCTCAAAACTTTCCTGTCGACAAAGAAAGTCCGAAATTAATGAAAACAAAGGACCTATGAAATTATGATGAATATTTCTTTTTGGATCACTCTATACTCAACCCCTCTGTACGACCCCCCACCTAAACTCTAATTTAATCTCTCGCCATGTTGTTGCCAGTCAAATGTGGTGGATGCGAAAATTTTATCCTCCATGTTCTATTTCGCATCTTGACTGCCAGCTGGCTGTTTACTCATGTCTCCCACCAATCCTTACCTCTGATCCCGATCCCATTTGAAAACATTTAAGTGACGTTATACCTGAAAAATTTCTGCATGAATTCTGTGTTTCTTGTGGTTCTCAAATTTCTTATGTCCCTCCTTTGAGGTGGCAAGCTCCTTTGGATGTGATTTTATTTTCTTGTTTTTTTATATCCCCTTTTGTTCCATTTTTCATCCTTTCTCATCATAGTTCTTCTCCCTTCATAAAGGATGTACTTATTCCTGGTTGGGAAACTAGTAATAGGTTCTATAGAGAAACCTTTACACTGATTTTTCGTAACTATGTTTTCCTCATCTATGCTGGTAACAATTTTGGCAATTTGGCAATTTTCCTCATTCAAGTTCCCCTCCCCTTCTGAGTAACTTTTTGCTTGTCCTTTTTGTTTTATTCGACATGCCTTTGTATACTTTCTTACAGGATAATAAATAGACACAGTTCAATTGCGATTCCCAATGTCCCCAGTGTTTAATTTTTCAATTTGATTTATTTTTACAAAACATTTTAAGGCAACAACAGCTGCACAAAATATCATTTCCTACGCAATGCAACATATGTCCTCATGGTTACTTGCCCTGCATATACTTGGTGACTGCTGTTGCTTATTATCAACTGTCACGCACCGACAGCCTGTATTGTTGATGTGCATCAACAAGTCAGAGTTGTGGTTCTCATTGCGTTGGACACAATCATACTTCCATTACGAACTCCCCGTTTTACAATCTCTCTCTTTCTTACTCTTTAAAAAAAAAAAAAAAAAAAAAAAGACTTGCGCGCTTCCTTCCCTTGCCAGCAGGCTTGAATTTGATCAAGAGAAATAACAGGGAAATAACGTGAAGTGCTCTAAGTGAGATTGGAGAGAGACGGATATCCAGTGAAATGCTTTTGCCAATGTTCCTGCAAGTCAACGTCAGTTCCGGGTTGATGTACAGCTCCAGTAGCTGAAAACTTCAAGACCCCGAAAGAATAGATCCTGAGCAGAAAAAGCAATACAAAAAAAAAAAAAACTCGAAGGCAGCGAGGCGGAGAGAAAACCAAGTAAAAGCTAAGGTAGCCAGCCTGTCGGAGACTCACTCTGTTGTTGGGGGGAATATAAGTTACTTGTAGCTTTATCGCTCACAGGCAACCTGGTGTGTTGTACTGCAAAACTACAGGATGTAGAACTATACAATGATATCTTTTCCTTTAGCTTCCGAGGCATGGGGGATAGTAATGCAATTATTGAGAAAACAGTAAATCCCTGATCAAAATGATTTCCCGCCGAGAGGGAATGGCGGTCTGTGCTGTTTTGTCGTCAACGCTCAGAGAGGCGCGAAAACACGTTGGAGTGGGAATGGCTTGGGACTCGGGAAGACAGAGCAAGCCACCGGAGGTGGAAAGTAACAGGAAAAGACTAACATCCGCTCAAACTGGGATTCTTGGACTATGTTTAACCAATTATACCGATTTGGGTGCGGATCTCTGGCTAATAACCTAACAATCTGGGGCCAAAATCGAACTCTCGTGATTGACGCCGGTTATTGAAGATATCTTTAGCAGCGAGTAGAGTGCGGAGAAATCCCCGGGTTTACGCCTGGGATTGTTCGGGTCCAACTTTCTGGCTTTTCCAAAGACCGAAGACGAAAAAGTGCTGCCAAATAAATAACTGTGCCATTAGTTACCCGCTCGGAGCGACGAAAAATAACTATAGGGCAATTAGTATAAGGGGCTTAAACGCCTTCGTACACACTTGTATTCATGGCACTTATTCCGACCGTTAATTTTGCTCCACCAGCCGGGATTTAATTAATATCAGTTGCAAATTATACCTGTATTTTACCCCTCGTACCTGAATCTCAGTGATCTAACGATATCGCAAGTTATGGCAGAAGGAACCAAGTGACACTGGAAGTTCGGCGTGAAGGTTGACGTATGTCAGGGCCTGGATTCAAGATGCAGGGTCAAATTGATACCGTTCGGATCTGTCTTGGCAACCCTTGGTTCATTGTGACGATCATGGATCATTTTCGCTGGGACTAGACATGCGGGGACGTGGTTGCAATCCAAGGTTTCGATCCTGCATTAATTTGTGCCCTATATTGGAGAATCTGACCTCCGGCCGACAGCCAATCGCCCGTGCCCGCTACTGTTCCAGACATCATCCATCAGCCTCAAGTTTCTGATGTGTAACAATTGGGATTTTTAGCGAGCAAAATCCCTTGACCGGATGAAAACTAACCAATTTGCCAGTGGAAATTATTACATAACCGACCTGGAGAGGGGATACATCACTTTTGAAGTATTGGAATTTGAGTATTGCGTTGGTGGCAGCCGTTCATTCTAAGGAAGCAATTGGTTGGAGAAAACAAAGTATTTAAAAGACAAGGGAACAAAAGCATTCACTTTTTATGGTCCAACCAAATAAGGTTTCATGGTCGAAGGGATAGAGCTGGCGCTGCGGATCAGTCCCAGGAGCTTGTCACTGGCATTTCAAATGCCTTTCGATCTTTGGATGTGGCTAGTGGTCCTATTGCAATCAGAGATCCTTGAATAATAAGAACGCCAGATTCGTCGACATGGAGAAGTCAAACCAAAGTGATCACTGATGAGAACTAGACATTTTGCTGCTTTCAAATAGTCCTCGACACTGCTCAGGGTCCACAAATGATTCACGTGGAGTCTCTAGCGTACGGAATTCGTACGGATCAAGTTCTGACATTCGATTTAAGACTGAGATGTCGGAATTATGCATATCCTGCGTCGGAAGGATTGAGATTCCCGCAGTGGCCGCTGAAAATTCATATACCTATCGGTAGAAATGATATCAAAAGCCTTGATTATGCTGGCAGTTGGACATATGCCGAATGCATTCCCTAAGATATAGAGAATAGGACGTGTACGGAACAAAAAGTGATGATAAATAAATAAAGACTCTGGATTGCTTCATTGGTGTTTGCTGTTAGATCCTTTCATATAGATAACCTCGATGTCGGCAAGCCAGCAACTCGTTATCACATAGATATTGAATAACAGAGGCGACCATCGGGTCCGATCTCGATTTTATTTTTCCGTCCCTAATTGACACAAGGAACCAAGGGGAAAGCATGGCACTCATTTGGCAGGCACTCTTCCTTGTTATTCTCCTCCTGGGCGAGGTTATCCGGAAGCGTGTGAAATCCAAAACAGGATCCAGGGATGAGGACTCCGACTTAGAGAAGTTGCACACCTATCCGGTTGAACAAATCAAGGGTAAAGAGAGGTATCGCATCACCATGGGACTTAAACGGCTTGATCGACACAACTGGTTGACAATCGACAAAAATTACCTGGAGCAGCACAAGCTGCGCGACAACCTTTTTCGCACTCAGGGAACAAAAGTTCTCCAATGCCTTCCTGAAGCAAAATATGCATGTCAGGAATTGCTGCAGGAAATCGCGACATATCTGTGCGATCGATATCCTGCTATATTTGAGATGGACAATGACGCGGTAAAGATCACGAAGACGGGCGAAGTATTCTGCCTTAGGGATCATACCAATGGAATGGAGCCACTCGAGATTGCAGCTCGACTTGCTATGGAAGATCTCAGCGTTCTATTAGAGGACGGGAGTGAGCAGAGCTATTTGTATGTCGTATTAACTTGTGAGCCGGTCCATGAACCATTTGCTAACAACTAACCAGAGCGGCAACAACTAGTCTATTTTCAATTGGATGGTGCGCCATGGGGAGAATTGGGTGCTCCGTTTCTCAGATGCACAGGGCTGTTCCCCTGTGGCATAAGGAAATTGAATTTCCCGTTAATAAGTTGGTTATCCCCGGGTCAAAACGGCTGCAGGAAATTCAAGCCAACTGATCATTAACCCCAGATTCTTATCACGGCTGCCAGTAGACTCGCCTATGGAACGGTCGAGCTACTTCATACAAGTAACTGCACCAGGTGAATCTTTAAGTTCCATCCTTTTTCAGCCAATTGGGCTTTCGCATGAGGATATCGAGCCATTACCAAAGAATATTCTTATTCGTCGCGAAAGGCAGACGTTTCGCAGGCTGCCCAAATCTAGGGCGATTGTGTTTGGGGTAAAAACTTCATTGACGCCCCTTCAAGAACTCCCCCTCGAGGAATTAAGGAACCTAGGTAAAGAAATAGAAAGTTGGCCCGACGCTGTCGGGAAATATAAAGGGAGAGATCATTGGGGTTCCGCCGTCCTTGGGTATTTGGGAACAAAGGTAGCCGCAACCTAGCTGAGAGGAAGAAATATGAGAAATACGGAGATTGAAGTTTGCTGCCAAATCTATGCAAGGTTTGGCTACAAGCTCTCACTGTATTAGTGGGCTCGAACGACCGATATTTGGTTCTTGTTTTCTGGATGTCAAAAAGTGTGTAGTTTTGAAAACGTTTGATGTGTGGATGTTTGGTCCTCAGCTTACTAAGCAAGAATACAGTCTTACCTAGGCATTGGATTGTTAATTAATGATATTTTTTTTTTCCTACCCAGTTTGCTCGTCAATTTTAAATAATACTTCAGCATGTCTTGAGGGAAGCTGATATTGATTGCTTCTCACTCTTTTGGCTTCCATCTCATCAAACTGCAATGAATTTGGTGCAAAGCAGACCTGTTGGGATGCTCAACGCCTGATGAAGGTCACATCGTTTTGGCCATGGAGTAAGTGTCTAAATTGACATGAAATATAAGGAAAAGCCATCCGAATGCTTTAGAAGCAAGCCAAGACAGCTCTACTACTTCTGCTTCTCGTTTTACCAGGTATTGGCGCGGACGCGCCTCTGAAACACTGCAAAGCGATTGATCCGCACCGCTCAAGAATTCTTTTCGTCGAAATCTATAAAAAGAATTATATAGCCGATATACTGAAGGGGCTGATATGGCCAAACTAGAAGAGATAATGCACGAAATAGGAAGGCGGTGAATCCAAATAGGTAGATAGTTAATCCTCTGTGAAGAACAGAATGATCATATTGAACTGATATCCGCGAACAGAGGATTTCACCCCCCTTTTATAGAGGTTGGAGATGACTGATATCCTTATGCTGATACCACTCATTTTATATGCAAATCTAGCCCGAAAGGGCAAAAACAGACATAATAAGAAAGATATTCCTCAAAAGGAGAACTATCGAAAAAAGGCAAATTTTGGAGATGTAAAGCAAATTTTTGAGGTGAAAGCAGGTAATTAAGCCGCATGCAACCGCAGCATGTTGGAACCAATGATACGGTCCGCCTCAGGCACCGCGCGCCGATGTCCTCACCCGTCTTACAAAATCCGACGTTGAGCATTGTAATTTCGCTAAAATCCTTCCCTCTCTCGATGGCATTTATTTCCTTTTTGTTTCTTCTTTATCTCTCTCTCTTTCTTGTTTTGTAGGTCGGGGAGATGGGCAGGGGTGAATTTCTTGCGTTGAAATTCGAATATGCAGAGAAACTTTCTGCAGCTGGTTTACTTTGCACAGTCTATGGCATCTTCTATATTTTGGAAATCTTTTGAATCATAACATGCTCCCCTTATCCATGCAAGTTTTCCCGGGCACCCGATTCTAATCACTTTTTGGAGAGTGTGAACGTGGAGACGTTGATGTAGGAATCCTGATCGATGGGATTCACTTGCTAGAGGAATGAAAAGATTCAGCAATCTTTTATGAAACTTAGGGAGGACGGAGCCTTCTTTAAAGGTCAGCTTTATGTTCCTGGTCAAAAACTTCTTGCATGAGTTGAAATATTACCATATGCTCACAAGAATGCCAAAACATAAATGCACCCAAACCAGACAATATCCTCTTGTATGATGGTCGGAACTTAAACGCACTAGCCACCTGATTTTTTTACCAAGGAGATGTCTCCTCTGCTGGATATCGGGATCCAGAGACCGACATCATGTCCTCCTCCATCTTGTAGCGTGGATAAAGCGCGACAATGGGATGATTGAACGAATAGGGGAGCATAGACTGTCGAGTCTATCATTTAAGTTCCATATCGCTGGTTAACTTGTTTCCTTTGGATTTGAATATCTACCCTGGCTCCTGACTGTATTAGGACCCTAACAGCAGCTTCGTGTCCTTTTTCAGCTGCTATGTGCAATGGCGTCCGCCCTTGCAAATCTGTGATATTTCCATCGGCTCCCCTCTCAAGTAAGATCTTCATAACTTCCACGTTTCCCGTTTCAGCTGCGTAATGCAAGGCAGTGGCCCCTGACATATCTTGTTGATTGATCTCTGACCCGAAATCCAAGAGGCATCGCACAATGTTGGAATGGCCGTTTTTTGCTGACAAATGGAGCGCCATTTTGCCCTCAGAGTCGTCTTGGTCCCTGGCGAGTTCTGGATAGTTTTCTGGGCGCACGAGGAAAGGAGAGTTGTGGGGAAATCTTCCAGCGTTCTCACTGTAGGAGCGGAACCGTCTGGGTGAGTCGAATATGTTCCCCCTCCACCCCGGGGGGATCCCAATTATACTGAGGCCATCCTCAGACACAGGCGTTCGTGAATCTGGTACGGTTGGACAAGATTGAGCTACAGAAAGACTTCCCGTGTAAGATTGGGCAGCAGGGCTACTAATCTCAGAGTCTGTTCCTTCAAACGGTACGTTAAAATCAGGACTGTTTGTCACCAGATAACCAGATTTCCTCATGTCTTCTGGGAATTGAGAACTTTGGACCCCCCTAGGTTCAGACGGGAGAGCTGGAATCTCCCATACTTTGGTGGCTATAGCTGTGCCGGAAGCCTCGTTGACTTCTTGGAAATGCTGCCGAGAGTGGGTATTGGTGCTTTCTGTTTGGTTGTCCGGCGACCACAGGGTGGAGGGGAGGCGACACTCATCGTCAAGACCGGGAACATCGCAGTAGTCGTGTTTGTTTATTGGATGGGAAGGGGAGACGGTGAAGGAACCGAGCAAATTCCGGCATTTCCTTTCTGGAGCTTGCTGGGTGAATTTGACGTTATTTCCAAGGTTGGTTCGCGCATCGACCAGCCCTGCAAGACAGTCTTTTGATTTTTGCTGCTGATAGCCGCTCAACTGGGCTTTCTTTCTACCTGACTGGTCACTTAGCTATGATCGAAACTTGATGCGACTGGGTTGCGTACGGTGATTTCTCTGAGCAATCCTATTTTGAAGGCGTCTGCGCTCTTTTGCATCAAGTACTTCTCGAGTGGTTTTCTCCTCGGGGTTTTTCTCCTCTGATGATTTCCGCATCAGCAAGGTTCGGAGGTTCTGCTTAAATTATTAAACGAGAAATCAATCAATCGTCAAGGGAAGATTTAAATTTCTACCCATACAAACTGAAAAGCCAAGGTTCGATTTCAACAAACTTAGTTCGCCTGGTTACGTATCAACAGCTTTTTAAGGCAGGATATTTGTGCTGTATCCTCATCTCCAGCTGCCTAGTCGTAGGGAAACTAGTTTCTTGTGACTAGCAATCGAGTAGTTGAACCGTTGAAAGCTTGAAATCCCAATAGCTTTTTAGATCGTAGAATTGAGGATTCTCTCACTTCAATATTTCTCCACTCCTTTGCAAGTACAGTGAATTCCCCCCAAAACTCAAAGTTTTTCATATTAGTTACTTGTCAGCGCTAGAACAAAGGATTTAATTACACCTCTTACCTGGCTATTTACGCTGCCACTAAAATAACTACTCCGAATCTGGCATTCTGTACATATACACATGACCTTAGTATCTCTAGTATGTACAGCACATACATTGGCACATAAAGAAAATGCATGATTCAAATATATATTTAAAAAAAAAAAATATCAATTAAGATATGAATATACCAAGTGTGGCAAGCTCAGGTGGAAGAAATCAGCGTTTGGAAACCAACGGTTAGTTAGAAGGTGGAATCATTATAAGGCGACTTCATATTACTCTGTGTCTCCTGTTGCTGACTAGATATTTTAGCGGCGGTGTTGAATAGCTGGGTATGGATATACTGAATTTCTCCCACCCTTCATAGACTGCATGGAATCCCCCTACATTTTGCCATAGTTGGTTGTTCCTCTCAAATCGCGCGGGTGTTCTCACCATTATTTTAGGACAGATAACTATTGACAGCAACCATTGGCGCCTCAATGGAGAAGAATAAGTGACAGAGCTCAGTGTGAGGACACTATTTTTCCATGATCTTTCGAAACCAGAGATAGAAACTCCAGTGATTCTCCTCCACACGAGCGTGTATGGATGTTCCAGCCTCATTGCCTCAAGGCATGAGAACAATTCCTTCGGAGTGAGGCCCGAGCGTAGGGTAGTTAACTAGTTGTGCTGAATGATCTGGGGAATGCCAGTCCTACTCGGTTCTTCTCTCGGGAATTCAGCCAAAAATGTCACCTGGAATATTTGGCGATGCAACCAATGCCACGAAATCACTCATACGACTGGCAAAAAAAAAAAAAAAATAAGCAGTTCCTGTTGCCGGCGTATGCAGGGTTTATTTCGCTTTGTTGTTTCACGGGCCCTGTTAACCGCCGAAAATCAACGTGTCAAAATTCTTCTGGATTCCTCATCAATGAGAACCGACATTGGGAGATGGGTGGGAAATTCAGGGGATCAAGGCTGAAATTGACTATCTATTTCATTCGATCTGGTGAATTATCTCCCTCCTCAATAGTTACTTAACTCGGCTTACTGAAGTAGGACAGGCGACATACCACTGTGCAGCCTTCTAGCTCAGTAGCATGCCGAAACATACCAAGTTATTCAATTCGTCATTTAGGGTTACAAAGTCCTCAAAGCAGGGAAAAGGCGCAGTTAAGGGTGGCTGGTTGGCCAAGCTGATAGTTAACTATTCTAAATTTTGCCTGGTTGTGGAAACCTCTGTCATAGAAAATGCCACCACCGGAGAGAGAGTTTTGAAAAAAGGCCTGTTCTTTTCCCACCCCCCATTTGCTGCGGAACTCGGAGGAAAAGGAAGCCTTTATTGATGCTGTGCAATAAAGTTTTTGATTATGCTCAGGTCCTTGCATTCATGATGGGGAACGCCCCAGCCATCAGTTTCCATTCTCCGTCCGTCTTTTTCCACCCGCGGCCATTCAATGGTGGTGTCCGCGGAACATTGGACTGCCTGCCTCAGATAGTCGAAGCAATTATCAACATGGAGGTGACTTAAAAGTTTCGCTTTTACTATTTCCTCCTGAGACACGTCCTCCCGTCGATGTTTATGAGAGTCAGTTTGATTGAAATAGGCCATGCGAATACTTGCCTGAAATGCTAATGTCAGTAACCAAAGAAACGTCGTTACTTTTCCAAAATATTCATTATTGTCGATAGGTTACTATCTTCTTCGAGTCAGAGCCGAATACACATACCAGGCAATGTAGCTGGTGATGCATGCTCATGACAAATCGTTCATGAGCTCCATCTGGCAACCCTATCTGTAAACCATAGTCCCGTGGATTATCGACAACGAAAGTATACTGAAAACCACCAAGGTGTTCAGTTTCCCAGAGTTTGTGAGTTTCGGGGTCTGATCCCTCCCAGCGCTTATCCATTTGGAAAACAACAGGTTCTTTAAGCAGTGGTACTGTAGAAAGACGGAGGGTTTTCTTTCAGCCAAGCACACATATCTCAGGGAGCAGGATCTCATCAAACACACTTTCAAAAGCTTCGAGGAAGGATTCCACGTACCATTTGGAATAGGGGATTTCCCCCGGCCGTTGCTGACCAGACGGTCGCGGTTCGTCCCAACCAGATATGCTCCCCATATCAGAATAGTGACAGATAGAGTAATTGAGAAAATGGCACAGCCAGAAAGGCCGTGAGTGAAATATTTTTGCTTTGATTTTGAGGGAAACGTGTCCATCCTGATGAACTTTCGGTATGTTATTCCAATAGGCACAATCTTGAGGACTGAAAACAGGGGTTGGGCGAAAGCATCAAGGGTTGATACGTAATTCCTAGGGAAGAGAGTATCGAAGACTCGACAAGGGGCAGTAAGGGCCAGTGGATTCGATGAATGAGGTGAAGACTGTCATCTCTATTGTAAGATTTTTATACCCCTCTTTACTCACTGCTACATACCCGCCAAGCAAAGTGTGATACTTGCTACGGTCTCTCTTAGCCTCTTTGTTTTACTTTTGGTGATTACTTTCTGTCCAGGTTGGGAGATAGCGATATTCTTCCGTGCTTGGATAGCAAGGGGTTATTTCGAGTTCATAGCGGGAACGCCTGAGTTTGAAGCCCGTTGTTCCGAGAACTAAACTAGTCGATAACTATGATGCTAATATGCAGCTGACTGAGAACTTAACTTCAACACTCCAACTTAACTTTCGATGAACCATGGAGGAAAACAATAGCAAAATTAAGATTCAACGTGCACTTTAGTTCAACATTCCATCAATCTATCCGAAAAACTTGGCCGGCAGGATATTCTAGTTATTTTCCTTGATGTTGACCAGGGTACTCTTCACATCGGAAGATAACTGCTAGATACAATGTTACTCCCCCTAGCTGCCCATGTCCAACAACCAACTGACCCGAATTCCCCACATATAGTTTAATAATCCATTGATCCAACCAAACTTCAATTTAATTAGTCCTCAGTTGTGGCTGAAGGAACAACATAGAAAATGAATCTGGGCAATGCTTCGGCGTCGGCTCTGACAAGCAGCTTGGATTCGCCAACCTGTAATGATATTCAGCTATGACATCCATTATCAAGGGGAAGCGCCTGCACATACAGGAACGGGAGAGGCAGAGACCACGGTGGCCGCGATGAGGAGAGCCAAAGTGTAAAACGACTTCATTTTGATGGGTGGTGGTGATTTGTTTGGAGAGAATTTCCACGAAGAATTGGAGGTTTAGAATTGAGGTTTCAATAGCGGATGGAGAGTGTGTGTTCCAGGAGTTGAAGAAGAGGAAATATTTCCTGTTAAGTAGATTTCCTTCAAGACTGTTACCCTCTGTAGCAATTGATCCATCGACATCATGAAGAACAGCAGGGAGAATACCAAGTAGTGTCCGAATTGCTTTTGCTGACAGATTCTATGTCATGCAGTGTCAGCATGCTGATGGCGGATGTCGGTAAGTCTTGTTTCTGTTGACAACCCCGGATTTATACTCAGATAAACTGTTATTTGGGACCGGGGTCCAACCCCTGACATGGGGTTACATTAACGTGGTGCCCCGGACTCTGATAGATATGTCGTCACGATAAACAACAAATAGGTAAACAACATAGTCCCATCTTACCGTACCCGTTGATTCACCAGCTAATTCATAGCGTTGCGTCAGCGATAATGAGATGAGGAAAACAGCAGGGACCCTCAGCCAGATCTTTGACGTCTTTCCAAGATATGTTCCAGGTGAGATGTTTTACGAGTTGAAAGTTGGACACACCGTCTACCAGCCCCTTCTGTTCAATGACCAATTGTTCTCGTAGTCGGAATGTCGAATTCGAGCACCACGGATGTGATGTCCGTTTCGGATGAAGAAGAGACTCTCTCTCTTCTGAAAGGAGCCAAAAGTGAGCTGATTCTTCAGCAACAACGGTTCTCCCAACGCTTGTTGTTTTTTACGCTGCTCGTTGTTCTGGGGATCTCTGTGTTTTGCAATGTGGTACTTATTTCAGAGCAGTATAAGCGCTGGAATTTGGATAAGATTTGCAGCGTATATACCTCTCAGTATTGTACGTTCTCCGAATTAAGAAATGGTCCGATTCTGGGCAGTCTCTGAAATGCTGAATAGCTAAATATTTTTCTTCTTATCAACACTTAGCATCGCCTCTTTTGAAAGACATTGATATATCGTATGAAACTGTTCACTTCAACGGTTCTTTTACCAAGAAGACGATTTACCGACAACGACCATCACCGGAGGTAGACCAGGCTTGGTATGACCTTGGTGTACATTGTACGGCATCTATCTAATTTTTGAAGTGAATGTTGTTGCAAGAGATCATGGATCTTCTAGGGCCAGCTCTGACGTTTGTCGAAACAAATCCAGATGGTTCCATCGTCATTCCAGAAAATGAGGCAGAACGCTACGGTATTCGCAAAGACCAGGTAAAAAGAAGAAAAGATCAGGGTGGTGGCTTTTTCGCCAATGTCGAAATATTTCATCATCTCCATTGCCTGGTAAGTGGTCGGATGAACATTAGTTTTTCTTCTTAAAGCATGCGTAGCTAACGGAATAATTCAAAGAATTTGCTCCGGCAAGCCTCTCATTTCAATTTTGAATATTACTCTCGAGAAGGGAAAGGCGCCTTTCAAGATCCAGAGAACATTCTTGAAACGCACATCAGTGCGTCATGTCAAAGTCCATTTCGAAGTAGAGCTTTTCTAACTGATAATTAACAATGAGCAGGCCATTGTGTTGACATCATCCGCCAGCAGCTTATGTGTACCGCCGATATAGGGGTTTTCGGACAATGGTGGATCGAAGGGACTGGGCCTTTTATCGATTTCAATACTGCACATAAATGCCGGAATTTTGAGGACATCAGGAAGTGGGCAGAGAAGCGCCAACATGAATATTTTAACACAGACAAACCTCAGAAGATGCCTGGAGATATAGTGCTTTCTGAAATACCCTGAAAATGAGTCCCCATTTTGTGCTGTACAATTGACTAATCTTGAGATAATTAGTTATCCGATGGAGGGAATAAAATTTATACCCTGGAAAAATTGTTAGCGGTTAACGCTCCGCCTGCTGCACGTGATCTAGATATCCCACCACACTGCCCGAAAGAGACACACGTACTCGATATCCGTCATCCAAAATAAAAACTGTAATCAAAATATGTATGGGAGGTCGCTAACTAACTAGTTAACTAGTTAGTTAGTTAGGTAACCAACTAAGGCACCAAAAAGCCACCACCGGGCCTGAAGTTCCAGTTATGCTTAAACCTAAGAGCCCCTAGATCAATGCCTATCATTATGAGCGTTGCTCATACGCTATTCTAGTTTGGATTTAGTGTATATTTAGTGGAAGTCACAACTTTTGATGGTGTAGTAATAACTAATCAACAGAGATATTAAGTTAGATAACTTATTCAAATAATATAAAACGTAAAAGAACTAGAAGAGATAATGTACGAAATAGGAAGGCGGTGAATCCAAAATAGGTAATCCTCTGTGAGGCAGAATGATCGTATTGAACTGATTGCTCCATCAGTGAACAGTGAGTGGATTTCACCCCCCTTATAGAGGGAGAGATGACTGATATCCTTATGCTCAGACCGCTCATTTTATATACAAATCTAGCCTGAAAAGGCAAACAAAGACATAACAATAGGAAAGATATCTCTCAATAGGAGAACTATCAAAGAAAGGCAAATTCTTTGAGGTGGAAGCAGCTCGCATGCAAATGAATTAACTACTTCACACATATCTAGTTGCTCACTCTTACTAAATCCGATGCATGAACACAAATCCACTTCTTACGGGATACATAACATGTAACTCATAACATTCTTTCATATGCTACATAACTGATGAAAATCAACAACTGCTCTAAATATTCTGGCATGTGTAGATACAGCTGAGAGTGCACTGTAGTATTTGTGCAATTAAGGACTGGACAAAAACCAATCTGACAGTGAATTAATTAGGAACTCTAAGGAGTAAATGCATATTAATTACTTGTCAAACTAAGGATGATTCGCGCTAAAATGGGCAATAAATCCAAATTATTAGGATAGTGGGGGTTTCATGCTTGGGGGGTAGGCACCTGTCTAGGGGCTCTTTAGGCCTCAACATAACTAAGACTTTAGCCAGGGACCTTAAGCTTTTACTAAAGTGATTTAACTAGGAATAGTATGGTAAAGCCTAAGTTTAGTTAAGATCTCAAATGTGGCTTGTTCGTGGCTTCTTAGCCTTGGCGAGACAAAACTTTGGTAGCAGCAGTTGGAGAGTTTTGAGCTTCCATTAATTTAAAACTTGCTGCGCCCAAAAAAAATAAAAATAAAAGTTTTAACTGCTGCCAAAAGATATCCAAGTAAGGTATCAACAACTAATATATATCCAGACGTACACACCTTCCCAGCGCAAAATCAACCTTTGATTTCGCGCCTACTCGGTGGTCTTGATTGGCAATAATCTGGCTGCAGTGGTATGCATGATGGTAATTTAGCAATGCCACATGCACATAAACATTCCTTTCACCAGCTCGAATCCGTTTCGCCGCCTTAACCAGCACGCGCCAGTCGTACAGGCAATGTGCCATGTGGTATCTCTCCCATGTATAGCCGACAAGTTCGTCCACAAGTGTTAGTGAATCTTGGGGAATTTCGACGGAATGGTTGTGGCTTGTCCACCACGGGAACGGTCCGCTGCCTCCAACCGTTGCCAGGTCTGAATCCGGTAACATCGATTCTCGAGCAGCGTCCTCATCATAGCATAGACGGGGCAGCCATGCTGCAGCCATAACATCAAATACGCAGCCGCGGGCAACTGCCTCTGCGCGTGTCGTTCCGCAATCCAAAATCAGGTCTGATTCGGTTTGTAACAATGATGGCGTTGGCGGTTCTTTTGAGCCAGAAGTGGACTGGGAACATATGCATTCATTTCGTCTAATCCAACTTCTGGGAGCGAGGACCAAAAGGAGAGCGCCCATGGAGAGCAATGTTATGAAAAGAGCTGCCCAACAGAAGTGTGTCTTCGACCGGCGAGGTGCCCCTTCATTTTCACCATCGCTTTGATCGCATTCTTTGTATCCGTTATTAGAAGTCCATAGCTTCACCATTTTCAAGGATTCAGGGTACGATGAGAGGGTAGAATATTAACGTCGTTGAATTCCGCAAGTAATAGAGATGCGGAATGAGATGTAAAGAGAGGTGGAACAAAAGAAGGTAAAGCACCCATGCTCTCTGTTATCTTTGACATTGGGATTTCCTTGATAGCCATAGTCAATAAGTTACACTATCAGAGCGGTTTGGGGACCCTCGAAGCACATATTTGCTGACACGACACGCTGACAGGAACGATGCAACGCAGTTTGTGCTGACTCCTCATCAGTCCACTGGTCCTTATCACCCATATATTTGTGTTAAGTTGATTATTGCGGTCAGTGTCGGTATCGATCGGATGGGAGAGGGGAAACGAAATGTCTCCGAATCGCAGTTTGTGGGGCGTAAAAGGTAGTTACATGTTTTTGGAGAATTGTGCCATGCTTCCTAGCTGCAACAAATCTCCGGTTGACTGGGGTTCCGTATTTGTTTCATGATATCTTCAATGTATTCCTGCCTAGCCTGCACAATGCTGTGACAGTGCGATAATGTTGCCTGCAGAGTACTTGATTAATTACTCTTAGTTACCATGTAGCGAAATGACACCTCTCAGATAACGAAGCTATTAACGCAGTCCCGCAGATGATATCCATCAGCAGACTCATCAAAATTAAGAAATAGCAACAGCGGTTCCAATACAGAACGAATGGTTGGACGGGAAATCTGGGGCCCCAGGATCTAGTCGAACTCGAATGACGGCTTTGCCTTGGTTCCATGGTGAAGCCCATCCCCTGCATCCGGAAATACCAACATGCTGCCTCGCTAAGCGTTCCTAGGGGCCCCGCATCCGAGCGGCCGACCGGAGTTTGAGCTGGGATGATATATTGAGTGATCTGCCGAATGTGCTCGATGAAATTCACGTTTGTGTGAAGTAAAATGGATAGCAGGCAGAACAGCATACCGGCCAAAAGGTCGGTGATCAGCTCCATATTATCAGCTTTCTCTGTCGGCACCAGGCGGCCAATCCAATATGCATATCACCATTGAAGAGGGGATGTAGTATCTTTCTGAGTAGCACAGGTAATTTCCCGCCCTTGCCGTGGTAATTGACGTTAGAATAAATCCTGTGTACTCAGCGAGATATACTAGGACGAATCGCGCCCCCAGTCAAGCCTCCTGTTTCCTTAAAACTTGGTAATAAGGGAGCGATTTAGAGCATGTCATCAGTAAACCATCCATGGACATAAAATGTTGGATCTATCTGACGTCACCTCCGAAACTCATAACTATTGGACATGCGTGTACAGCTTCATATGAATATGTTATATTCGACTCCAGGTTTACGGGTGACCCAGGGAAGGCATGGGCAGTGCATGGCAACATGGATTCTATGAAGCACCTAACTGTCATTATGACCACTAACTTGTACCATGTTGTAACCGGTGAAGTTCAGTGTGCCTAATTGATCTTCCTTCTAGAACACGGAAAAAATATTCTGAAACCTAACTCAGAGAAATTGGCTATTGTAAGCCGTGGGCAGCAATGGCACCAAATCGGAGCTTCATGAAGACAAACAGGTGAATCTTTTTTTCTGGTTAAATGCTCAATCATGTAATAATCGCAACATTGCGATGTTAACTTCTCTGTTCTAAAAGATTGTTCTTGACGATGCAAAATGCAGTGCTTTCCCCTCACCAAATTGACTAAAATAAAGTGCCGAGAAAACCATGTTATTGGCACTAGACATAGTTATACATGTATGTACATACAGCTATCATGCATACCTGCGAAAGTTGCAGTCATGTTGGTAAAGGCTCATATGTTCCTTGCTGCCAAAGAAAGGGCCTAAGTTGTCTTGAAGGATCCACAGTTGACGAGAATCCTGACTCCTGGAATCTGTTTGATCTATGACAAACCTCCAACTATGTAATCTCTATCCTTGGACGCCTGCTAGAGCAGGATTTCATTAGAACGGTTGCAGGAATGGATGAGCAAGTATTTTTACAGAATATTAAAGAGATAAACCAAAACAAGCTTCAATGTCAAAGACACAAGCTCATTGAATCTCGAAAACATCTTCCCGGAATACTCTTATTAATCTTCTATATAACCATTTGCAACACCCACAATGGTCAATAACCCCCCTCCCCCCCACAACGACAAAAAGCATCCAAGTGCAGGAGGAGCCCAAGCTTGTTACATGACATTCCGGAGACCAACTTCATAGAAGTTGGAAACATGTTCCAGATATGCGGTGGGGTGGGGTGAGGATAAATTGTAAGACGGGTTAGGATGGCGATACGGCCGTAGCGAACATGGTTTCAACATGCTTGCGCTTGCATGCAGCTTACCAGCTGCCTCCATCTCAAAGAATATGCCTTTCTTTGATAGTTCTCTGTTGATAGATATCCTCAAAGTATTTGCCTTCCTTCTATAGTTTTCCTATTGATGCATATCCTCAAAGAAGTTGCCCTTTCTTTGAACATTCTTTCTACTATTGAGGGATATCTTTCCCATTGTTATGTCTTCGCTTGCCTTTTCAGGCTAGATTTGTATGTAAAATAAGCATTATGAGCATAAGGATGTCAGTTATGTCCCACCTCTATAAAAGAGGGGAGAAATCCTCTAATGGAGAGGTGAGTTCAGTCAGTTTAAAATATACGATTATTCTGCCTCGGAGGATTAACTAGTTAGTTACCTATTTTGGATTCACCGCCTTCCTATTTCGAGCATTATCTCTTCTAGTTCGGTCATATCAGCCCCTTTAGTATATCGGCTATTTAATCTGTTTTATAAATACTCGCCATGGCAGGACGAGGGGATTGCCACCTAGGCTGCTGGTTGCGGCGAAGGGAACTGAAGCAGACTGGAAAAGCAAACTCTGGGAATAATAATTCCGGCGACAGGGATTTGGCAGTCCTGGTGGAGAGAACCAGATGAAGTATGGAGCCTGCACCCAATCCAATTTGTCACCAGAAGGCGGACTGTAAACTGGTAGAAGATTGTCGGTATCTGTTCTGGCGATCACATTTCTCAGGATAAAAAATAAACAAAAAGCACGCCCTCATTCGCCCGCCGTACAAAAGGGTCGATTCAAACTTTGGAACTCTCAGCTCTTTCTTGGTAATTATGATGTCAGTCATAGGGAATCTTTTTCTTTTTCTCTTTCTTTTTTTTTTTTTTTGGATTTGAATCCCCGTGACTATCCTTGTGAAAGCGCAAAACCCCCCAGGAAAAGTGCAAACAAAAAGAAAACATGCAACAAAATACAACCTAGGGCAGTTTTCCCCTTTAGCACATGAACATGGATGCATCTTCCCTGCCTGGACACATCGGTTCAGGACTTTGAGGCCAAACTCCCTGCTCAACACCAGGGAGCCCTTCACCAACGGCTTGGTGCAACGGCGGCAGACTTTTAGAGAGAAAAAGTATTCAAGGAAGGTTGTATGAGTGGAGTCTCTGGTTTTGATACCATTTTGTTCCTTTTCCTTTCTCCTTACTATGGTATGAAGGGAGTAAAAAGAACTATTTTTGTATGTTTCTGACGTATTCAGTAGTTTTAGTCATCACTGTCATCATTCATAATTGCGGTGACAATGAAGCACGAAGGCGACAACTCCATGCCACTTCCTCCTGTGCATTTGGTCATCTATTCGTCATTTGGCGCTCCCGGAATCCTCAATTATATCGTCTCCACCTTTCATTTCAATAGAAATCGAAGTTGAGAGGAAATTCAAAGGCGGATAGGTGTTGATAGCTTGGTAATTCGTAATCTGCTTCTGCAGATGCAGCAGTGAAGAACTCTAGCATTCTTCTCTCGTCAATTTTTTCTTTTGTTTTCTTTTCTTCTTCTTTTTTTTTAACCGCAGCCAGCTCCTTAATGACCTGAAGTTACCAAAAGAGTTCATTGGGGTATGAGGCACAGAAAGAAGCACTGTTGTCCGCAAGCCTTAGGAGGGGGCCGGGCGTTGAACTGTAGTGCTAAATTTGAAATAGCCAAGAAGAAACTTCCGAAGATTAAAATATAGCACGTGTAATCCCGCCGCTTTGATGGTTTAGATCCCATTCAAGACCGGAGCAAAAGGATCTCAGCACCCGCCGGGCCAAACAATGATAGAGTAACTCGAGCTAGCAGAGAGGAGTAACCTCTTGGGTCGCTGTGGATTGGGCGTTGGACAGCACTCCCTTTTTGTTTCCATCCTCGATATTGAAACGAAATGAGCATAGACCTACTCGAACGCGTTTGCATGTCTTGCTGGAGGGGAGTAATCAGGAATCTCGAGTCACGCTGAAACGTTTTTTCAGTTAAAAACCTGATTCACAGATGCTTCCTGTTACCTTGTTGTTATACAGGATGCCGGACCAAACCGAGCAACATGAATAGTGCTTGGCTGAAAACTACCTAGAGAATTGTTGGGTTGCGCATTTCGTACTCGAAATTCCTCCATTGGGCGCTGAAGATTGTTGAATTTGCGAGTTGAAAGTTTGAGTGAAGACGAACATCATGTGACACTCAACACCAGCCACTAACTAGATCTAAACCACAGAACACTTTTATCTTAAACGCAACCAACCCATGATGAGAAGGGAACCTACTAACTAATAGCAGCAATTCGCTGTATAAATCACGAATCTGCAATGTGCAGTAATTTTACGAGCACAAATAGAAATGACATAGAAATGACATGTAAGTGCTTGGTGTACCTTTTCAAATCAATCCAATGCGTCCAAGATAGATGAGAAGGGCCTGAACAGGGAATATTAAACAAGACGAGAAAATATGCGCCTGAATATAAAGAATCAGAAAACGCCGGGATCCCTCACAGCTTATTAGGTTTGCTGGCACTGTCTTGCTTCAGTCGCACAACCCCCTAATTATTGATCATGACGATTATCCGTCAGTATACTTTCGACGCATTTGCAATTGTTGAGGAAGAACTGCGGAAACAATTGGGGTCAAAAGCTCTCACCTCCTGCACGCATGTGAGCAACAGTGTCCCATCCTGAGACCACATCTTCTGCATCACCAAGCCCCGCCCACCGCCTGCCCAAGGACTCGTCATCTCTATAAACAACCACTCATCCGCCCTAAAACCTCCACGCGCGTGGAAGTATATCGTGTGATCCAAGCTGACCATCATCCCCATCTCCCGTTTAGGTGGGGCGGGGTCAACTTTCGAGTCTTGCATAGCTTCAGCGTAAAATTCAGCGGCTTCCTGGCGCAGGAGTTCTTTTAGCGATCTCTCGATCTCCTCACTATCCAGATCGGAGGGATTTTTCAACTTGGAGATGGCGTCTTTTAGAGCGCCAGGGGACGCGAAGCGCGGGATGTTCTGGACTCGCGCAATGGTACCGATAAAGTAGCTGTCGGACATGTAGGCAAGAGCGGAGAGATGCGCTTGCTGGCCTCCGGCGGCGGAGATGGTGCCGCGGGCACGGAGAAATTGGTAGATGGCTTTTTCCTCGGCACGAGGGGAGTTTCCTGAAAGAATTAGTCCGGGTTTCGAGTATCTATGCTGAGTGTTTGGGTGACAAAAGAATGCCATGTCTTTCTTTCGACATACTATTAACAACCCCAGCGTTTCTCGTTTCAAATGGCCCTTTGGAAGCGGCACTGGCGTTAGCTGGAGGTAGCGCTATGTTCGGCTTCGGCGTGCTATGTTCAACCTTCTCCTCCCCGCCGCTCCCCTCGCGGTCGAAACTGATAGTTGTAGTGAAAATGGGTTTCCCTTTTTGTCGTGCCTGGACGGTGCGGGTCGCGAAGGACCGTCCCTCCCGAACCCGTTCGACATGGTATATGATTGGAATTTCTGCGTCTCCAGCCAGCACGAAGTAGCAATGCATGCTATGTGGGGAGAATCCGGGGCTAACGGTCAATTGGGCTGCGGCTAGGGACTGGGCGATGGCAGCACCGCCATAGATTCCACGGGCACCGGGTGGATGCCATAGAGGACGTGTGTTTGTAAAAACATCCTATATATGATTCTCCACGGTTAGTATTCGGCTCTGCACAATGGTGTAGCAAAACCCAAACAAGTCATGTTTTCGGGGGTTTTTATAGGATGAATCTTACCGGTCCAAAATCAGATACCGGGGTCAGCTCTAGGATATTTTCTATCTGAGATTTTGATGGGTCTTCCGGGGGAGCTTCAAAGAGCGTGACCTGCATGGTTTACCCGTGTCGCAACAGGGAGGAGGGATAGCGAACGGAAAAGCTGGTGTGTACAAGGGTTGGAAGAAAGAATGTTGCTTTCCCGAAGAATCATATAACAGTTGCAGATAAGCAAAAGTTCTTCTGCCGAAAGAACAAACGAATCAAAAAAAGAATGATAGCAGGAGAAGATCAGTCATCCAGTAATTTAATGCCGCAGGATGAAACTTTCGTCTGAGCAGCGCCCACGCGAGAAATGCCGAGGTCCAGCTGCTTGCAACTATATCCACGGTCTGGATCCTGTTTAGGCATAACAACATGAATATAATCCACATTATGATAAATTAATGGTTCCTAAGGGAAGAGAAGTCAACTGTAATCTATGGGCAATCAGACAAATATCAGATCCGAAAATTTTTGTATGATATCAATGCATAGTTATGATTATTCTTCATTGGAAGTTAAACTATCCATGTCCCTGTAACGTAAACCGCCACACAACGCACGCCGCCACACAACGCACGCCCCAAAAACCCGATTTTTGAACCCAACCTTCCACCTTCAATCATCTACAACATGCCAACCAAAGAAGCTGTAGAGCTCGCAGTGGCTGAATTCCTTTCGCAAGAGGCTGGCAATTATACTACTGTTGCAAAAAAATACGGAATTCATCGAACTACGCTTATGCGACGCGTTACGGGCAAATCAGTGTCTCGAGAAACTGCCGACTCCCTATATAGACAGAAACTTACGAACTCTCAAGAGGAAGAGCTTATTCGATATATAAATCGTCTTACGGACCGTGGCTTTCCTCCTACACCTCGAATTCTTCAAAATCTAGTTGAAGAAATCCTTCAGGAGCCGATTGGCGAGCATTGGATCTCTAGATTTTGTCAACGCCACAAGGATCGCATCAAAAGCCTATATTTACGAGCAATTGATCAAAAACGCAAGAGAGCTGATAATTCTGAGTATTTTCAGCACTTTTTCCAGCTTGTATTTGATTGATTTTTATTTACATTGCCTGCAATTTAATGAGGGGTTGCTAATGCTTGAGCATCTTAGCTAGACGAAAAGGTCAAAAAATTCAACATTCGACCATCTAATACGTGGAATCTTGATGAGAAGGGCTTTCTTATGGGCGTCATGCAAATCAGCAAGCGAATAGTCTCTGTACAGCAGCTTAAGAGCGGGAGCTTGCTAGGCACGATTCAGGATGGGAGTAGAGAATTCATCTCTTTGCTAGCCGCCATATCAGCCAGTGGAAGGTCAACGCCGCCAGGTCTTATATATCAGTCAGACTCCGGGGATTTGCAAGATACGTGGCTAGAAGATTTTGATTCTAAAGAGCATGAGGTCTTTTTTGCTGCCTCCCCGAACGGCTGGAGCAGTGATCAATATGGATTACATTGGCTGCAACGGGTCTTTAATCCTCATACAAAGGCTAGGAATGGAGCCTGGCGCCTGCTCATCCTTGACGGCCATTCTTCTCATGTCAATATGAAATTCATCAACTACGCTGATCAAAATCGTATTATCCTTGCTGTACTGCCGCCTCATTCAACTCATCGCTTGCAGCCTTTGGATGTTGGTATTTTTGGACCTTTATCAAAGGCATACTCTCAGCAGGTGGATTTATTCTTACGCTCAGCAATGGGAGGTGTATCCATTAAAAAACGCAACTTCTTTTTATTATTCCACAACGCCTGGAAGCAAGCTGTCACGAAGTCAAATATAGAGTCTGGATTTGCTGCTACTGGCATTTATCCTCTCTCACCAGATCGGGTGCTTAGCAAGCTTGCTAGACCAAGCACTCCAGTCACAGCAGAGCCAGTCACACCCACTACCATACGAGGACTGCGACGGGCAGTTAAGAAGTTAAATCAACGGCGAAGAATCTCTACTGGGTTCCGAAAAATCGTTCATGCTAGTGAAAGACTAGTTTTTGAAAAAGAGATTTTGCAGCATGAAAATAAGCTTCTATACGAAGCTTTACGAAAGGAGAAGAAGCGCCGCCAACGTGGAAAGCCTCTAGGTCTTGTGGATAAAGAGAATTCGCGTGCTGCTCAATTCTTTTCACCTTCTAGGATTGCGGCAGCACGTCAGCAGCTTGAGACCGACGAGGCTGCTAAGATTAGTGAGGCTGCTGAAAAAGCAGCAGGCAAGCTTCAACAGGATATATTACGTCAAGAGAAAGCGATCGTAAAAGCTGCAAAGCAAGCTGCAACTCGAGCTCTTAGGCTGGCTAATGCTCAGAAGCGAGAGAGACAAAAAGCTGAGGTTGCTGCTCGCGTGGCTGCTCGTAAACTAGCTGCTGAGCGAAAGAAGACTGATAAGGAAGCTGCTCAGCAAGCTACTAGAGAGTTAAAGCTTTCTAGAGATCAAAATCTCGTTGCCGCCGCCAGATCAGCCAGGTCAGCCAAATCCCCTACAAAGGCCGTACGAAGCCAGGGGCCTGGCGAAAAATCTAACCAGGCCAACCCTATACAACCTTCCCAATCCGGTAATCAGTCAATTACACGCCTATCAGCAAGCTCCCTACGACCTACTTCTTCTAGCAGTTCCTCCACGTCGCCGTCAATTCCTTCTTCGCCCACCCCGCAATTATCACGTTGTGGCCGCATTATTCGACTTCCATCTAGATTTTTGGATTAACTATACATTTTTATATGATCTATTCCTTCTACTAGATATATATTTTTAATTTAAATTAAATAAATTCATGGGTGGTTGAGAAATTGGTGGAATTCCTTGGGTGGTTGCTTGCTTGTAGAGGCGTGCGTTGTGTGGCGGCGTGCGTTGTGTGGCGGTTTACGTTAAGCCGCACGGTAAATTAAAGCTCTACCCCTCGTCTGCGTCTTCTTCAGCCATCCCTTTACAAGGTCTATTCACAGCTTAATCGGAGAATATTCCAGGTTTTGACGAGAAATGTATGCATGAAAAACGGATCATTTTGGTACTTATACATTTTTCTGTTTTAAATACCTAGAATATTTTTTAACTAAGTTTCAGTACGGTTCATAAATGCCATATAACGTAGCTAAAATATAATCCCCAGATCCGGACAAATCGGTGACTGACCCTTTAATTCTACCATTGAAATACTTTGCCGCCTAAGGGGTCTCACAAAATATCAAATCTGTCTCCAAAATGATCTCATCTAGATATTTACATATTTCTCAATCTCAAACAATCTCTTATCTCTTTTACCTTCACTTCGGATATCCGCCGAAAAGAGAGCCGTTTGCCGGCGGCAAAATCCGGTAATCCTGGGGAAAACAAGTCAAGGGCCTTGGGAATGTTTAACTTAAACGACAAACCAGTTAGAGAGTTAACCTAAAGTTGGTTCAACTAGTTATAGTTAAATTTCGGGGCCGCTAACTATCATGCTCAAAAGTGAGTTGCTGGTTGGTGCCATGAAGCAGAAGACACCGACCTCCTGAGCACCCTGTTAAGGGCAAATTCTACACTCGCACTTCCAAACGGCCCAACCCCATCATATATTTGACACAAGTATCATCTCAACTGATCTCATCCTCCTCCTGAATTGAGCAGTCAGAGTTCCTACCCAATCACATTCACAATCAGATGTCATATATATTCTTGCCTCTGCTTTAGAATGCTTCTGAATCGATTGATTAGAGCTGAAAGACTGAAGAGATCTTCTTCAAAGTTTTCCAGGAGGCACATCTCAGTCTCCTTTGATGATGGGAGCATGCAAATGATAATACCATGCTGGAAGCTCCTGCATTAGGTTAATCATGTTGAGAATACTTCATACATCATGCTCAGTTTGTAAATCTCGTTGAGCAGTCAGAAAACTTCTCATGAACAATCTGGTTTGGCTTAGCAGCTTCCATATGGGAATATCAGCGATTTTCAGAACGGTAACCTATTGTTCTTGTCTGCGTCCAGATGACAGTTGTGACCGATTATAAGCTGAAGGATTGTTACCCCGGTGCGCCTGTCTCTGACTCCTCGATCTTACAAGTTCGGGTTGTCCAGCTCCTTCGTTGAACATACACAGCTGTGAACCGCCGGTTCTCTCATATGCATGTTGCCGGTACTGGAGACGTCAGTCTTGTTGAGCTAGTGAGCTCTGCTGCAGCTGACCTCCAAGGCCCTGGACTTTTTCAGCCATGTCCCCCCAGTTCAATGCTATCGTTCTTTCTGCGATGTCAGCTGTCACCGGCTATAGGTAGAGAGATATGTTTTTTTACGGGATTCGATGGCTGATGGGCTGGGGATGGGTTCAGGGATCAGAGCACGTATTGAGCCGGCTCAGAGAAACAGTGCCTGCCACCAGAGGGGGCATTCCTATGATTTCAAGAGTGGTTTAGTTAATAATGCTTTCAGGTTATTGAAGCTCAGATCTAACTACAGATAAGAAATAAATGTTACCCGCATTCTACGCTGATTTGCTGCTTGCTTCACACCTTGTGTAGCTATATTCCAAACTGCAGGTTTGAAATTGCTGTTGTCTGTATTCAGATCTTCTCTCTTTTTCCTTCAGAAGCCTTGTAAGCAGAGTCTTTTCCATCATGAAGTTCCATGTTGCTCTCAATCATTTAGTACAATTTGAGAGGCTGTTTGAGAATCAGTTGAGAAGTCAGGCCAGGTTGAAATCAAAGGGTCCTGAGCACCATCATTCGAGTATTGCATTGCTGTATTATTCTGCAACATCTTTATTTCCTGTTTTCGTGAATTCGGCTAATATATACTTGCAATATAATCAAGATCTCTCAGAAATAAGAAAGGCAACGTGTCAGGCACAAAGATTTTATCAATCTGTTGCGCGATGAAGAAAATCAAATACGGTATAGCGGGGGTGGCGCTGAGAACAACGCCGGCACAACGCTATATTCGCTATTTACACTATATAACTCAATTATCCACTCTTGCGTACAAATTGTATGAGCGCTCTGAAGAGGCCCTTAGTGAGGTCAGGATTTGAGCGTACATGTTCCCGGCTAATCGATAATTGAAATGACTGAACATCGGGATTATTCTGCTCTTCCGTCTATTCGGTTGCCGTCCCGTCCCCTCCCCTCATTTACATTGGAATCCTGGCTTAGGGGGGTGGGGAAGACTTGTACTTACATACACACATATCTATATCTATATCTATATATATATATATATATATATAGGAGGACTTAGCTTTTGGGGACGGCACCTAATCATTGTGGTTCTGATATCTGAAATAAACTTATCATCGTTCCCTCCGCGCTATTCATTCAGACTTACATAAATCAAAGCATAAACAGAAAGAAATTATCTTTAGGAAAACTAAATGACCATGGCTCCCTCCTTTGTCAAAGAAGACAGACCTATCAGCAGTGCTATCGTCAATAAAAATGAGCCAAAGCCTGCCGTCATAGTTGAACAGGTCCAGTTGCGCGACCGCACTGTGACTGGCCAGCAGCTGCACATCAGACAATACCCGAAGTTCGATAGTCTGGAAGAAGAGCGACTCTACCGCAAACAGCATCTCGCTGCTGCATTTCGGGTTTTCGCTGACCGTGGCTTTGATGAGGGTGTGGCAGGCCACATCTCTGTAAGGGATCCAATTTTGACTGATCATTTTTGTATGTTCTCTGCCCATTTTCCGTGTTTTCTTTGATATCCACTTTATTTCTCCATAATCCCTGGTATTTCTTGTTGTAGAATCGGGAGAGAGTTGTTTTAAAAATGGGGTTGCATCAGGAACAGTGGGAAAGAGGGCATTATACATATCAAACCAGCCATCCAAACATGCAACTCCTTCAAAATACAAAAGGAAACCAAATATACTAATCCAAAATCAAAATAAAAGGGTTAAACCCACTCTCCCAACATTTCTCCCAAATATCCGTTTCAGACCTCATCCTCGTCAACGAAGACGGCAACGTTGTCATCGGCACCGAACCCATAAACAGTGCTGCCTTTGCCATCCATTCAGAAATCCATAAAGCCCGGCCCAACGTCAATGCTGCCTGCCACGCCCACAGCGTCTACGGCAAGGCTTTCTCCGTCTTCGGCCGCGAGCTAGACATGATGACCCAGGACGCGCTACGTTTCTACAAATCCCACGCCGTCTATCAGGATTTTCGTGGAGTCGTGCTGGACCGTGAAGAAGGGATTAATATAGCCAGGGCACTGGGGGATGGAAAAGCAGCCATCTTGCAAAATCATGGCCTGTTAACGGTGGGTGAAAGTGTGGATGAGGCGGCATTTTGGTTCATTAGTTTGGATAAGACGTGCCATGCTCAGTTGTTAGCCGATGCTGCGTCGGCGGGATCAGGGTATAAAAAGATTATGGTTAGTGGGGGTGAGGCGGAGGCCACCGCGAAGCTTGTTGGTGGACCAGATAAGGGATGGTTGGCGTTCCAAGGGTATTATGATGAGCAGCTTGCTAAGACGAACGGGTCATTTTTGAAATAGGACCATATCTATTAATTCGCCGTTCTAACATTGTGTTCGTCTTTTCTGTTATTTTTCGTTCACTTGGTTTTCGGCGGGGTGCTGTGTTCGTACTATTGCACCTTGCTTGAGGATGAGAATGAACAAGCTTGCTGGAGAAATCAGGCGACAAAATCATAGCCAGAAGTGCCTTCGTCACTATATTATCATTACATATGGGATAACCTTTCTGATCAAATGTTAAATTGAAATTATGATGATTTTTCGCCGTAGTCGTGACTTTCCTCTGTGAAATCATCTCTTCTTTTTGTTGCAAGAAATAAAATAAACTTAAAGATCCTCGACATGGTCAATTGTGGAGATTTTTCGAAACGAGGAATTGCTGTCGCCGTAAGGAAAACGGTGTAACGGTTGGGATGACGCGCAATTATGTCAGGGATTTCGGGCCTCTGCTGGGAGATATGTAAATCCGGGATTATATATTGATCCAAGTAGAACCAAGAGTTGAAAATAAAAATGTATATAGGAAAATTGCGAATTGATGATGGGAATTAGACAGAATGCGCCAGCCGGGATATCGCTAATAATGTTGACAAATAGGAGATGAGAAACGGAATGAATCAAAACGGGTCCCTCAAAAAAGTGATTTAACGCAGAACGCCCTTCAACACCCTTCAACTCTCTCCAGAATATTATGCAGATTTCTAGAGATAAATATATCAATGATTCGACAAAGTAAGTGGAGCGAGTTAAAGGTCGCCCAGCTCAACAATGCTCATCCTCATCTCTCGCGCTCCGTGTGTTTTAGAGCGCGGCATTCCGGGAAGGGAACCTTTTCGAATGCTTTTTGTAGGAGTTGATGATCTGTTAAATACCCTCCCCGGATCATACCCAGGTGGGGGAGAAGGTGGTAGACCGTGCGGGTATGTCTGTCGGTGGGGTTTGAGCGTTAGTTCTTCGTATCCATCAACCCCTGGATCTGGTAGATCGATGCGGAATGTGCTCTGAGATACGTCAGGGCTAGGCGCCCGGTCAGCATCTTGCTGGAAATAAAGCCGTAGAAGCTGTCTCCGTTGCAGCTCTGCGTCATCGACTGAAGGTTCTCCTTTGTGCCCCCGCCGGAAGCCAAAACGTCGTGGTATAAAGACGACGTTGTGAGAGTTGTAGATGGCCGCAATTCCAAATGCCGCTGCGGAAACGGTGGAAATAATAACGGCAGCGATAGAAAGGCTAGTAAGCGGTGTTAACCGTCTGACTAGAATATTTAAAGCAACGTTGAAGACACCTATTAGGCTCGACCCGAAGCATGGTCTGGTGAGGGGTTCGGATCTCAGTTAGTACCAAGGTTTGTGACGAAAGGTTCCCATCTTTGCATCCCAAAGTTCGCGGATCGCAAAGCAAAAACATTACCGTCTGAAAGGAGTGAATTTACATACATGAATAGAAAATCGACCAAATAATGTTTCTTCCTCCATCTCAAACAGAAACCTATGCAAACCAGGTAACCAACAAAAATTAGGACGGTGGCAGCAGCAGTCAAGGGAAAAGTGCCACCACGCATATTTTTTGCATTATGGTCCATCGCAAGAGGGAAGACGACGAAACTAGATGGGGCGAATGTATTGAACTGTTAGTCTCATAGCTCCACTTTGCCGTTGATGGGCGGTTTAGTCCAATATACCCAGCCAGAAGTAGCCATGCCGAGATACTTGCTAATAACTTCCAGTACCAGCGTAAGTCCTCCTCGAGGATGCCTAATGATAGTCCCAGCTCTGAATAACGAGGGGAGCCCATGGTTACGAAGGGTCACTGCATTGAGAGGGTGAAAGAGCGAAATATTGCTAATAAAGATAATGAATGTGAACTCTAGAAAGAGAATGACGTCTGAGCGGATCGAGAAATTGTGGGGTGGTGAGGTTGGATACGCTGGTTCTAGCTCAACATGTGGAGGTTGGATCCCTTTGCTCAGGGCGAAACAAGGGAAGGGCTTCGAAGATATGACGGCAGGGCTTTGGTAGAAGTTGTTAAATTATTGAAAGAAAACAGATGCGAAAAAGGAAAAAGCAGCTGTATTGAGAGAGTGTGTGAGACACTTGGGTGTGAAAACAAGACACGGACAGAAGAGAGGGACAATTATGGAGACGAGACGCCCAGAAGGACGGTGTAGGACAAGGCTCAGGGGCCAAGAACCATTCAGTTCAGCACTGTAAGTAACTATGGAGCAGCTGTCAATCAATCAATCAATCAATCAATCAATCAATCAATCAGGGTAATGATAATGACACGAGAGTGAATGCGACAATAACCCTGGTGAGGTTGTAAAAAGTTTTGCGCTGCCCTAGTGTGGATTTACCTGTTCTGCTAACGGGGGGATTGCGGAATGTCACAGACCCGGGGCCAAGAGGGGCTGGGAATGAGATTTTCGGGAAACGAAGTAAGGAGTGCAGCGAAGAGGTAGCCGAAAACCCCATGGACAGTGGAAGAGAGTCACTTGGTATGTGAAGAGAGGGTGTTGTTATGATTGATAATAGAAGAGAACATAGAGAGGAGGAGAAACGAGAGGAGGAGAAAAGGGCAGGTTAACACACAGGAATGAGCTGCAAGCTGCGTGGTGGTCAACGAAAAAGAAATAATGAACGGAAAAAAAAAATAAAAATGAAAATGAATGACGATCCTACTCTACAAAGAGATGAAGTGCTCCGGGCTGTCGACTCTTTTCCTGTGTCGCCAGCGTTGAGGCTGAAGTAGGCTGGGCTGTGTCTTTGCTTTGCTTTTGCTCTGCTTTGCCTGATTTCATTTTATTTATTATTTTATTTTATTTATTTAATTTTTTTTCGATCTCCTTACTGCTATCCTCAAGGTGAATCGGAATCATCATTTGATAAATGAATGAGATTTCTACATCATCGGATGATAGAGAAACAAACATCTTCGGCGTTCAGTGTTGTCTTTTAGTTCCACTCATTAAAAATTCGGCACATTTTCTGCGGGCAGATTTAGCGGAGCCCATAATCACTTTAACTAAAACAACACCTAACATTCTAGGCTTGATCGGGGCTGACCGGGTCTATGTTTTAACTAAATTTAGGCGCCTCCGTACCCATTCCGCGCAGATCCCTCAGCCTATTCCCTTGGCTTTGTTGTCGGTTATGATTTCCGGATGAGCTAGAACCTTTGAGTGTAATGACCCTATGAAATTCCGATCTGTTCCACATTTTTTCTCCAAATTTCTAACAGGCATGTCACCTGCAACCAACTTACTGTGTGCCTCCAGTTCTATTCTCATTCGCTTTCTGTCTCACTTTGAGTCAATACTCCTCCGGGCTCTTCTATATGAGTACCTGACTGCAACTTCGCAGGCTAGTGAAGGGACTCCACGCTCTCAGGCTGCCGCGCTAGTTTATCGTATAACACTGTGGCACAGCTTGCTTGGCTACACCGCAGGAGATATCTGTGACAGAGCTGCCACAACGTGTCCCCCTTCCGCTTCTACTTTCCCCTCTATTCGCCCCTGGTCCTTGTCATACTTGACTTCCACGCGTGGTTGTAAGTAAAGCGATAAGTGAAATTAAGGCTATGCCGATCATCGCCCCGACGCCATTTCTGATATGGTGACATGCTCCCCTTCCCGCTAGTATAAATCCGTGTCCGTTAACTAATCCTTACGCAGGGACTGCCTAAAATACTTTTTGCACCGGCTCAGTGTCTGATCTGCAAGAGTTGGCAATTGATGTTGGAGATCTTGAGGTTCTAAAAGCCCACTTCACTCCGTATCGCTCAATTCCTCAAGAGCTTCTGCCTCGGGAGATGAGGTAGCCAACCCGATCGCAAGCCCTTGGATTTTGTGCAAGTAACAAGTGACATGGAGTTTCACCAATGTTCCCGAGCTTGGGATGTCAGCACAAGTCTCCGACATGGCGGCTGAGCCAGCACCCAATGGAGCTTAGAAAATTCCGTGAGAGGAGCGAAAATGTTCTCGGCTTTTTCCTTGCAGCAGTTAACTACCTGGTACAGGCCCATGTCATGGTATTTTCTTCAAAACATCATAATCGTGTTGTAGTTGCTCCTAGACAACAGATCAAAATACATCTAGACCTCATAGATCCCAGCATTTTCCCTGGGGAGGAATCAAGGAAATGAGAGAAGGTCGCAAGTCCCTGTATTCATCCGAACTGGTGGGGAACTGCTCGTGCCGGTGATTCACAGGGACTCTTCACAACCGGCACAGTGGAGAGAAAGACCTTTAATTACGGAGTAAAGTCTCCCAGTTTTAAGCTTCTGGCCCGATCTCATTATTGTCCGTTTTGGATCGGATTTAAATGGACTTCTGGAAACAAAAACAACAAAGGGACCAATCCATTTCCATGACTCTGAAAATGGGGATAAGCTGCATTGGAGAAGGCCCAAGGCAATGAGGATGGATCATTGAAAACCTGGTGGGTAGATAGAAGGGATGGTGAACCAAGTCACGGACAAACCAGCTCTTTCTTTCCAGTAGTTTCTTCCATGACGGTGATTAATGCGGTGATCTTTGTTGTACTGTGCACAAACTACCTGCCACTTGCAGTCACAAAAAGGACCTGTACAGAACATCATACATGTCATGCCTTCACTCTAGTTAGCCCTATGCGCCTTATATGATGGAAGCCACAAAAGGTGGCTTTTGATAAGCTCGCTTATCCCCATAACTGCAGTATCGATGTTTGTTTGCCCTACGCGCGTGGTCCGGATACGGAGACGGGCCCACCCTCCCTGTATCAGGCAGGGAGCTTTCTACCTTGACCGAACAATTTGGGGGCATGAATAATACCAAAAATATATATTAACCCCGCAATCTTCTCTTTCCTTGGCACGGTCTTATATTATTCGCAGGATTCCTTTCTCGTTTGTTTCTTGCTCCAGGAAGCCTGCATATTTTGTGGTGGCTTCCGATTTAACTTCGACTCCTTGGTACATTCTTCCAAATACCCTTAAGTCACAGGGATGCAGGAACCATCTTGTGTGATGAAATGACCAAGACGTTATTGGACAGGTCGCTGGAGTCTGTAATCGGGTAGAATTTGGGTGTGGGTGGTTGTGGGGGGGAAGACAAGATAGATTTACGTCGCTGCTTGCTGCTGTTGAACGAGATACGCAACGTAACGTTGTAAGAGTGCGTGCCGGAGCCTCTGCAGCAGGATCGCTTCGACTCTTCTAGTCCTGCCACCTTTTTGGAGCTTTTCATTCTAATATATTAAATTTCCGAACCCACTTTTTGTTTTGTATGGATGGGATATTCAAGCATTAACCTTGCCTACGGATTGGACTAGACTAGACTAGACTCTCTCTATCTCTCTATCTGTGGGTTCTATCCGGACTCACTTGAAATAGGGGTTGAAATGAGAGAGAGCATTGAACCTATCCTGCAAACTTCGAAAAGTTCAGTTGTCCATCGTTCATATCTCTTTCTTGGTCTACTATTAATTTTTCTTTTGCTTCACTCTTCAATCACCGTAGGCGCATCGAACTAAAATCCGCTCAATTTCAAACTACGCAGAGTAGATAGGTAGTTATTAACCGCAACCGAACCCGAACTGAAAACCCAAAACCTAATCCTAAAAACTAGCAAAATCTCTGCTCCTACTCTTCACAGAGTTAGCCCTTGAGAGAGACAGAGAGAGAGATGAATTCTGTATGCCAAGCAATAGTCTTCAAGGAGTCCTACCTACCTGGTAGATATGTCTTCTAAATTCAATCCTTGATCCATTCGTTTATTGCTATCCCGCATTATTATTATAATAGCATCAAGGAACAGACCTCTCTTGAGCCCCACAGCCCAGAAACCACGGACAACAATTCAAAATGCCGTTCTCGTATGCATTGCTGTACACGGTAGTTAATTGGATTTTTGGTGTCTCGGCGGCTTTTGCAGGCCCACAGTCACTGGCTAGACGTCACCTAAACCAAGAGGGGGTTCCGTTGGCCTTGCAACTGATTTTGCAAATCACCCTGTTAGCATGGCAAGGTGAGCACGGTTAATATGGGTGTCTTCTTTGGAGGTTATAATTTTTCTTTCTGTTCTTTGGAGTCCAACGTCCCTGTCCTTGTCACCCAGGTTATACATACTTAACTACCTAGGTAGTTACCCTAGCTGGGTAGTTAATCAGAGCATAAACCCGCATAGTCCAATTCCCATTGATCAAGGATATCTTCCAAATAATGAATGGTTCTTTCATCCTCGAGGAATCTATGAGCTGTTGCCAGCAACCGGCGGGGAACTGCTTCTATATGGATGCAGGGCAATTGAGCACGAGGTTTTAATATTATTTCATTTTTGTTTCACCCTACCTGAACATGATTGACCCATCAGGGAAAGGTTTCAGCCAACTAACTAACCAATAATACTAATTTCCGGTCCTCTTTACTGTGTCGGGATTCTGAACAATGGCCGTGGTGAACATCCATCCTCCAGCCGATGCCGCAGGTGAAATAGTTAAATGACCGATGCATGAATATCACAAGATTGCGGTCAGGACTCCGTTTAGTTATCTCTTCATATGATGAGCCCATGGGTACCACTTGGGCCCCCACCTCCCAAATGGCGGGGGAAACCTTCGCTAGTTTGCGAAGATAATCACTGATATTCAGCAGTTTTTCCAGTCAAATATTCATCAGTCTCCCATTGGTTCCACGGCTTGTTTACCCGTCCGCATTCATAAACCACAACAGAAGGGTATTGAATACAAGTTAAAGCTTCATTTATCCGAGGCTAAACAAATGAATGGTCATCTATCTATCTATCTGGGATAATAAGCTTTGCAGCTCAATCTAACTCAAATAGACTCGATGAGGTAAAACATCCAGATTCTTCATTATCGAATGTGTTTTGCGTGGTGAGAGCGACTCCTTAAAGTTAAAATCAAAACCGGAGGGAATCTTTTGCAGCCAGCTCACTAATGAGTTATATAGAACGCCCAAAATTCCCGAATATATGCAGAGGAGTGGATAGGTGTGCGACTATCAAGAGCCAATAAATCCAGAAACTGAGTGCTACCGAGAAAGCGTAAATAACACTCATTCGGCTGATGAGACGTTAGGTTTGTGCTGCCGTGACGGCTGTGACGGCTGTGACAAGTGTACAGAGGGTGAGGGTTCGGAGACCATTCCAACATGTCAAAGGTAAGAGGAAGTGGGGGATGGTGGGTTAAATAAACTCGAGTATAATAACCGCGCATGGAAAAAATAGAAGTGAGCTTGACAGTCCAAAAGGTCTGATCGTTTCAAAGCGATTATAGACCTTAATCGGGATGCAAGCAAAAGAAGTCCTACGGCCGACACGGAATCCTCAACCAAATATCACCATGTGATCAACGGATCAACACTGTTTGAGTGTGCAGATCAGAATTGTTGGGATGCAGTCACTCATGACATGAATGCTCTTACATCCCAAACAAAGACTTTTTCATCCCAACCACAGCTTGCACACCATCCTTCGCTGCCGAAAAGACACCAATCCACTCCAGTAGCAAACTCTGTATGGCGTCCCATGCGTCCTAGCTCTCTGCCCATTAAGGGCCCAGTATTCAGTCCGCTCCGCATGAAGTCCACATCACCACCTGCCAGCCCGGTATCAGACCCATCGCTCCAAATGCGACAAGTCATGTCGTAGCTGGCACTGAGGAGAATGTGCGAAAGATGGGGTGACCATGAAATCTTTCGGATGGCATAGTCGTGTCCAATCATGGCAGAAAGCGGACCCTGTTGTGGAGAACGGATGTCAAAAGTACGGATCATGCGGTCCACCCCAGCTGTGGCCAGTATTGAGGGTCGGTACTTGTTCCAGTCAAGTGTTAAGGCCTCCGACGGGGGACATGAAGCAGGGGCAGGTGGAAATCCTGGTTTCGTCGGCGCTGATGCTCTCCCGTGAATTGGAATCTGTACAGTAAGATGGTTGTTTGCGGCGGCCGGAGTGCGTAAATCAAAAACGCGAACGTACGAGTCTGATGAAGCGCAGGACAGGATATCTGGAGAGTGTGGTGAAAAGGCGACGGAATAGGTGCAGCTGTGCGTGGGGAGAGTTAAGAGAGACTGTGGTCTCGCCGGAGACCAAATTTTGACCGTCCCATCCCAACTACTGGAGCAAAACCGGTCTTTGGCTACTAAATTCCAATGCACCGAGAAAACCTCCCGAGAATGCTCTTTCCATCCCTGGACAGGAAATTCGTCTACTGTGGTGTCGAAGAGCTTAATGCTTCCGTCGCCGGAACCCACGAGGGCTTGATTTTCATGGATCTCGGACCATGCGATATCGTAAAGAGAATCTTGCGTTGTGAACCTGGATTAAACGTCGCCGTTAGTATCACGAACATCTTGCTTAATACTCTGAAACAACGGTAGGTAAATATATTTTAGCAGGTAAGATGTTTATTATACCTGGCTTAGACGGATATATTTGGGCGCCTTACCATTTCAAAGGAACAATGCCATTGGGTGTAAGGTCGAGAACGTAGAGTCTGCCATTTCCAACGAGGCCAAAATTTGCAGACGCAGCAACTGCAAGGCGGGAGTCAAAAAAGGGAGAATATTTCACGGCATATCCATTGAATCCCTCCGTACGAAACTCGAGCATATTGCCGAATGGGAGGGGCAGGCCAGGGGAGTTGCTCTTCCCGAGTGATGATCAGTATGCAATTCCACACAGTTTTGCTGTCAACAATCACCTCTAGTCATGGTGTCTGAATTTGCATCAATATGAGTGGGTCCCTTTGGCAGTATGTTCGGTAATTCTCATTCTTATAGAGTCGCTCTGGAGTATCTCGACAGGCGCCAGGAAGAATTTGTTCCAAGGCCAGTCGAACTTCCAACAGAGGCGCGGCTTCTTGGCCCTGACGTTGATTTTTAACACACGCCGAGGTCCACAGCAAGGCCTTGGCGAACTGCCCATTACGTCAGCAGCCATCATCCACTTCGGTAGTTAGTGTTAGAGGATTCCCCGGCTACCCGAGGTCACGTGCACCTATGTATTTATTAGTAGCTAGCTAGCTTGCTTAGAGTCAAACAATGCAACAAGGTTGATAACGGTCCTCTAAGAGTTAGTTATATAACTATAGAAAGGGGACAGAGACATGAAGGGGAGTTTCAATTTCAAAACTTCTGATTCCATATGTCTACCACCATTTTAATTATATACATATGATGGTTGAATAGAATTTCAGCCAAACAGGGAGCTTACTTTTCCATCCACTTCTGAACTTCCGCCGCAATTTTGTCGCTATTCATCTCCAGGAAAAGCATATGTCCGTTGCCATGAATCCCTGCTTCCCCGAGTGATAAGTGGTCCACATGTACTCCAGCCTGTTGCAAATATCCTACCGTACAATAGTCATGTGTCGCATGGTATGATGCTTCACCCGTAACAACAAGAACATCGATATCTGCCAGGTTGTCCAGCTGCCGCGGCGGAGGGGACTCCGCTTGGACAATGCAACGTGCTCTGTCATTGGAGCTGGGGGGGATGATTTTTTGAACTAGGTCGGTTTGGGGGTTGTTAACCGGAGGTGAGTAAGTCAAAAAAACATCCGTTAGGCCCCAGGGCCGGGCGGGTCCCTCCCTTAAAATCACATTCTCAAAAGGCGGACCTGCGGGCTCGATGGCTACGATGGAGTGGACCAGGTCAGGTCGAGCATCCGCTATGAGCCAACCCGTAGCTCCTGACTGTGAATGAGTAACAAGAATGGCCGGCTTTCCAATACGTGATAGTAAGTCAACACCTGCTGCCTGGAGGGTTGTTTGTTGATAGACGTCAGATGAGAGAGACTGTACTGTCGAGGCGAAATAGGCATCGAAAACTTCATCTCCCCTGAAACCTGTTCCTGGCCACTGGGTCTGAAGCTTCGCCTGTGGCCACAGGTCATGGTTCTTTGTTGCGGTCAGTAGCCGCTCGACCACCTCACTAGTCCACCTTACCGTCGTGTCATTGCCCGGTGACCCTGGGCTTCGACCACGGAATGTTTGGTCTATTATATAGATTTCATAACCTTTAGAGAGAAAATACGACGCCCATCCCCGACCACCATCAGGCTTATTCAACCAGTTCTAGCTCATGTATTAGCCGCAGGAAAGGAGGCAAGTTTTCAAGGACCAAAATATCTCATAAACGAAATAATAGTAAAGTGCATACTGTTCCTGTCTGAGCAAAGCCGTGGATGAAGATGAGGGGGAATGGCTTTGTGCTGCCCTCGATGGGATTCAATTGCTCAACGTAGATCTGACCTTCAAGGAAATGACCCCCACTGCCGTCGCTGAAGTACTTGCCGCCCGCGTAAAAGTATCTCCGCAAACATGGTGTTTCGACTGTTTTCTCGAAACCGCCCAGGAAAGGGATGATACTAAGAAATAGAAACAGCAGTTGGAACATTGTAGCTAAGTGAACAACGATTGAGGACTTAGGGACTTGACGGATGGAGAACCACAACAGTCAGCTGAGGTTGAGTATTTCACGGAATCCAACAATTAAAAACGCTAGCCATATTAGTGGTGTGGTTGTTGCGCAAAGCGACCTGTCACACCAATAACTAGGTGTCCTTTGGAATACGCATATCTCGTCACAATTTTGGATTAGCACCTAGTGCAAATCTACAACATCACCTTATCATTCTGGTATTGCAGATTTACAGCTCGGAATGAGTACCATGTCGAATGTCTCCATTCTTTCTCAACGCCTGGAAACAGTTTGAATCATAAGAACGCAATTAGGATCCTTCATATTGCCATAAACGAACGACCAATTATTGTTGTCCGTCGTTTTTAAATCCTGGCGTTCGTGAAAGCCGGATATCCGGAATTTTAGAAAATGTCAGCTGCCAAATCCTCCAGCGACTTCTTGTAATTGGCCTCCGCAAGGGACAATTAATTAAAAATTGTGAATTAATGGATGTCTTGACTTGAGGGAAATGTCAAATCGTCGTGCCAAAATTGGGGCTTAACCAGATCAATTAGCGTCACCTGACCTCGCGACTGTCTCGTAACTATTTATTTCCGCCCGCGAATTTATGACGTGACTTGAACCACATTTAGATACCGGGACAAGGCTGCAATATTCCAGGCAACAGATCTTATCTAATGGCTCCAAGTAGGGGACTGCTTGCACCCTAAACGCACATGCGCATGACACTTCTAGAAATCAGACCAGCAATGGACAGGTTTCTTCCCAGAAAACGTCCAAGGGAACAGTCCCCCCCAAATGAAGAAATACTCGCAAACGAGGAGGAATCAACTGACGTTAAGTTAGCCGTCCTGGCATCTCTCTTCCCAGATTTACAACAAGACATTCTTCTCGACACCTTAATTGCCAGTGACGGATCCGTGACAACTGCATGCTCGACTTTATCATCCATTGCACCCCCTGGCAATAATAAGAAGCGGGCCACTAACGGGGCCTTGAGGATACAGAGCTCACTCTCAGCGTTCGGAGTAAAAGCAATCAATTCATCAACATCAATAATAAGTCCAAAATCTGTCACTAAAAGAGGCCGGACCCTTCACCTTTTCGATCCTGAGGACATATCAAAATGCACCTCTTGTACCATAATCCACAACTTCCTGCCTGCCAACGAAGCCAACGACCTCCTCCGTGAACTTCTCGAAGAAGCAAAAACTTTTCAACGGCAAACGTTTCAACTGTTCGAAAACACCGTCCAAAGCCCCCACTCCGCGGGCTTCTATGTCGCCAGTGCAGAGGAGCAAGAACAGCAACGGCACGACTACTCATACAACGGCACCTATCGCACTGATGTCCGACAACTAACCCCAGAGCTACGTCGTGTTTCTGTAAAAGTACAAGAAGCCGTCAACAACGAGATTCAGAAACGTATCAAATATTACTATCCTGGTGGCAAGAAGCTCAAATATCAATCGCCACGCACATGGGTTCCGAATGCGGCCTTTGTTAACTGCTACGATGGACCCTCTGAAAGCGTGGGCTACCACTCAGATGAGCTGACATATCTGGGACCGCGGCCGGTCATAGGCAGCTTGAGCCTAGGTGTCTCGAGGGAGTTTCGAGTACGCAGGATTGTGCCACCCGATGACCCTGACGATAACGAAAAAGCTACTGGAGCAGCAGGAGCAGCAGGAGCAGCAGCGACACAAACGAGAGCAGACATCCAAGGCCAAATCTCCATTCACCTCCCTCACAACTCCCTCCTAGTAATGCACGCCGAGACCCAAGAAGAATACAAGCACAGCATCAGCCCTTCGCAGACAATCTCCCCGCATCCCATCGCAGGTAACAAACGCATAAATATCACCTATCGCTGGTACCGAGAGTCTCTCCATCCACGCTTCACACCCAAGTGCCGCTGTGGCATGCCGTGCGTGCTGCGGTGTGTGCAGAGGAAGAAGGAGACGAGGGGCAGGTACATGTGGATGTGCTATGCGGGCTATGCGGTTGGAAATACGTCGTGTTCCTTTTTCCAATGGGCGGAGTTTGATGAGGATGGTGAGCCTGTTTGGGCAAACGAAGGGAAAGCAAAAGGAATAGGGGTTGAAGCTGGTGCCAATAATGATCATGTACAGGAAAAACAATGATGAAATATTGAGTTATGACAATTTATGAAGTTAATGATTTGAAGTTTACTTATTTTTAGTGACTATTTAGACGGGGTACATGAACAGCAGAACAAAGGATACTTGGGTTTAATTCACCACACTTTATCTACAATAACCTCACAACTTCCAAAAGAATAACAGTAGTTACTCGATGGCGCCGGATATTCCTAAGAAGTCGTGCTATCGATTATCCACAGCCACTCAGGCGATCCGGACCACAAACAGCAGATACAAAAACGCCTTGCCTTTAAAGTCATTATTATACACATTGGAAGCAAAAACAAGAACCATATTGCAGTCAGCTCTGTCTCCGATTCCCGGCCTCTTACTTCTTTCACCGTAGTATGGTCTCTATCCACATCGAGAAACGAATGGTATGCCTCCATGAGCATTTTGATCTGGAGGAAGTGCATGGATGCAGTTCTCGTCACATCCTCTTAGCAAATTTCGGAACGGGTTCATACTCCCCAGTGCTACCCGCGGGCTAACATACATCATTGGATCCGGTGGATACGATGATCCTTCCAAACTGTCATCACCATGGGCCGATTCCGTACGATCCTCACCATCGAGGTGATGACTCAGATGCATTGAATTAATTGTCAAATTCATAGCCTCAATGGTTCTTTCCTCGTCGTATAACTCTTGCACATCTTTCCTTAGAGCTCTTGTCACCTTCTCACCGAATAAAGAGTTACTACGAAGATATCGGTTAATTTCACACTTATTTTCCAATTTAATCACTGCGGCGCTGGAGAGCGCTGAATGGTTGTGCTCTAGGGTCACAGTAAAAAGGCTCTCAGTCAGAGCTATGGTGGAGGACCTGAAAAGTCCCTGGAGTTGATCAATCATTTGATCAACATCATTTTTGGCACGATTTTGCACCGGATGGTCTCCATGTCCAGCTGTATTCTCGTTACCGTCATTAGGATCATAGGAGGTTTCCAATGCCTCAGAAATAGCTTTTATTTTGACCAGGATCGTCCACTTCTCGCCTGGTCGCAACGTTTTGCATTTCGTCTGTCCAAGAATGGCTTGGATATAGCAACCATCGCCTCCAGCAATCCTTATCGACAAGTTTGACAAGACTCCAGGGTCAAGGCCCATACGAAGGTGTCGCATAACCTGTTTTAAGCTATCTTTCAGACCTTGCACACCACCGTCATCCTCTTCATCATCGAAACTAGCAGAGAGGTGCCATCCAACCATCGTTGTGGAAGCCCGTATTCCGAGCGCTGGTTCTGGAGATACAGTGTGAAACCGTATTCGACTGCTTACGTTTGTGGACATATCAGGCAATGATATGCTTGAACTTGAAGTAACAACAAAGACATGACGTAGTGCTCCTCTACTGGAATATCTCAGCAGCAGATTTGATGCCTCTTGGAGGGCTTTTGTGGTGCGGGCCCGACTTAGCTGGTCGCCAGGCAGTTCAAATATCTGCATGGATCGAAGTAGTCTTCGAATGAGGTCGAGGTTGCATATTGATAGTGACGACAGAAGTTGCAGATTCTGTTCAGGATCAGCAGATATACAACCAATTGCCAGTCGGTCTACCAGAATGTCCATTGAAGATGCTATGTGAAGCACAGTGTTGCATGCCCCGTTTAATAAAGTAGGGGGCATACTTGCTCTAATCCAGTCAGCTCTTGTCATTTAAAGCCGAGTTAAGGAGGACCCACGAGTTATCCACAAGTATCATAATGTCTAGTGGAACTTCGCAACCAATCTGAGCATCAATGTCACCGTCCAAATTAGCGATTTTTGCTGATATGTCTACTGCAGCCCAAGTAAATAGATCCTGATGAGCAGAAATTTTCATGGCATCCATTGTTATATGCATATTAGCACTCGTGATTGGGAGGGGACAGGGGAACCGCGTTTGGACATTATTGCGGTGTTTTGTGATACATAAATTAGTCCTTGTCAATGGTGGAGTTCGTCCGAATTGTTGTGGGGAAACCACTGGAGTTACCAATGTGGACTCGCATCGATTACTTTCTCCCAATTGACTCTGGGTAATTATAGGGCTTGGTGCCGTATAAGCACGAGTTGGGAGATCTGGTGTAGTGAAGGAACCAGGTACAGGTCCCGGGCTTGGCTGACGTTGCTTGTTGAAATCGAGTGCCTGAGCGACACGCGCAAAGATTCCTTTTGAGGGAACCTTTCGCAACGTGTGACTGCTCCCTAGACGTCGTCTTTCGTTCCCCCGCTATATCTAAGCTTAGCTCTTATCGCATTGGAAATGGAAACGTTCACGCTTGCAATAATTAAACAACCCATACCTCTTCCATTCTGCTCTCAGAACTATCAAATGCTTCAAGCTTCGGCGGAGATGTATCGAGTGGAGTATGCATTTCGGTGTCGCGTGGCTCACAAGAACGAGTTCTGTCCCTCGGGGTTTGTAATGTGGAATACTGAGGAACTCTCGAGAACTGGGATGTTCGACGAACGGCATACGAGGGGTGTCGTCGAGGAACCGCGAAAGGGGGAACAAATATCTTGAATCAGGAAGTCGTAGCAGCTTCTGAAATGGTTACCAGGCGTCGTTTACCAATGCGCAAAGGCTCTGTCGTGGGGATTGTTGTGTTGCCTTGGTTGGCGCATGGCTGGAGAGTCGCGTTGGGCATGACTGTTGTCTGGCAGCAGGATTATATAACCAACGCGGTGAATGTCTACACGTGTTCCATCAACTCCACCCCCTTCATGTACATGTCTGCGTCACTGTCGCTGGACTCAGATCTCTTTGTCGACGCAGACGACGAGTCTGATGATGATGCTAAACAGGGTGCGTCAGAGCGATTCCTCCTTGTGTGCCCGCTATTTCCAGAAGGAATCAAACGCCGTCGTTCGCGACGCAGACTCCAGTACTCTGAGCAGACCAGAGCCGTTGCGAGAATGGAGAAAAGCAGAACAATGGGCACGAGGACCAGGGCAAGTAAGATCAGGTTCCGATTTGCTTCGCTCCGTGTGATTTTGAACATGTCGAACCCTTGCATTAAGAGGTTCCTCCCTGATATTCAATGGGAGATCTTAGATGACTTATAGATATATTAATTGGACGCAATCATCAGCTACAATGCATGAATAGCACAAGAGATCATTATATATGCAGTTGAGCGAATGAAATCATCGCAAGAGAGAGGAAGAGAAAGAAGCCCGTGTTTATTACAGGAGTAAACACAGCAAATAGGGCAACAGTGGATTGCAGAAAAGGAGGAGCGATGATGGCCCGCAATGCCCGTCGCAGATATGCACCGCACCTGTCATGGGTATATTGAATGAATCACACAATGGGAAATTGACATTTCGGATATCAAAACGATAGTCCAAAAATGAATGCCGGGACAAAAACAAACAGCATGGAAACATAATTGTTTCGTATTTTAAACATTCAGAAGATAGAGATTTATACACAATCGTGGTGTTTTTGATCACTACCTCCTCGAGTAGAAATAATCTGCTCCTTCGTTTTGGCCAGTATATCGTTATCAAGTTTGACAAACCGAACCTTAAGACACGCAAATCAGCACTCGGAATATAGCTTCCATAAAATAATCTCAATCAGTCAACCGCTGTACTCACAAGGTCATCACTTGCACCTCGCGTATTATTGCCAAAGAGGACAGATTCCAAATAACTGGTTTCAACCCCAGTCTGAACCCTCTTCTCCCACACACCCTCCCAGTTCCATTCTCCAGGACGACGAGTTTGCGGACTGCCCTTTTGCAACTGTCCATCCAAGCCATCTTCCCCCTGCCTAGTTCCCAATCCCCGATGAGCTCGCCATGCATGCCAAGCTCCAGGATTTCCAGCTGCCTCCAGGGGGATAGAATCTAACACGGCTTCATCATCAAATGTTGACCGAATGTAGTTGAGCAACTCCAAAACTGGAACATCGATTCCAGGACTACAGGAATGTGGCAACCCCGCCGGCACCGGAGATACACGCGCATGAGGATAGGACGACGAAATTAATCCTTTAGGTAAGTCTCCCGTTGGCGTTCTTGAACACTTGAAGGGTGCCTCTGATACTGATTCTGCCGTGCGCTCACTGCCCTGTTGTCCGGCGGGTGCTTGGTCCGTACAATTATCATTTAGATCACCACCACTGACGTTCCGCGACGGCGCAGCCGAGCTTGCTGCACTCCTCCTCGCTCTCCCAAACCAATGTGGAAATCCATGTCTCAGGCTAAAACCACCGGGAGGCAGACGCTCTTCGTCATTTGCGCTGACGGTATCTGTATCCGACGAGTTGGTGCTAAATGTGTACGTTGTTAGGGGCACGAGAAGGGGGTGGAATATGTCTGTTGCGAAAGTTATTAGCGGTGGGAGATTTGGATATGTCGATGGAAAGCGGAGCTGGAATCGGAGGATGGCAGATGCATAGGGTCCTATTTTATGCGATTACAGGACCAGATTGGATGTTAGCTTTATGGTCATATATAACTCTTGTCTCGTAATCCCAGATGACATATTGATATATTAAATACCTTTCCGAACAAAAATCACCCCAGACCAGAAGGTCGGGTCTGTTGGTGAGATGTTCACATAAACACCAGGCGGAGGGGCTGTTTTCAAGCTCGTGCTTTGGGGAGAGACAGTAAGGAATCGTAACGTCAGCTCTCGTGCAAATCACTCTACATCGGGAACATATTATCTCCAGATAAGAGAGGGGATTCCGTGAGAGGCTTATGCCGAACTTACAACTCAAGCCGAAGCTGCTGTTTGCGCAGGGAGGGGATGTCGGGGAGCCTGTAAGTCGACATTACTACGTTGTTAAGATGTTGGTTTGGAATGCACCCTTCCGTTAGCGACGATGCTTTCGATGTGGTTGGATCATACATACATAGTCTTGGCATTCAGGGGTAGAACCATTGGGCTACAAGGCAGAGAGATCCGAATTGTCAGCTTCGCAAATCCATCTTGCATTTACTGGAGGTGTGTTGACTACGATTTCAATGCATCTGCCTGTCCGGTGTTTCCATGGCAAATTCTGACATTGGTTTAGTTTCTATTATTGTATATTAGCAGTAAATGACATAACTATAGAACATGTGCGGAAGCAGCCTGAATTTAGAGAGTCATCAAAAAAGCTTGTAAGAGCAATCAAAGCAGACAGGGACTCGCAATGCTTTCCATCCAGAGAGTCATATTTCCCAAGGGCTTCCTCTATACTTTTGTCCGAAAAAGAAAACAGATCTGAAAGTAAAAATGAAGGAGAAGAAAAGCCCAAACGATTATATTATGCGTCCGGCCAGCATCAGTAACTATTAGCTACATGGTTCAAATCATGCTCACTGTTCCACGAAGGTAACTATCCTGATACCAAAGCGTGGTTAAAAACTGGTAAATTCGCTTGCATCACTCTGGGTCGACCTTGCAAAGCGGAAGACGCAGTCGTCCTCGATTGACCTGAAATATTCCGAAGAGTGTGTAAGGCAATCACCCCCAAAATCTCCCGTTGACGTATCTTCCGAGCGGGTTGGCTAACCTAATTCCCTTGGGTTCCATTGGTCCTGTTGAATAGCCTTATGTGCAGAGTGGATGTTCATTCTCCCCCCAAATGCTCGAAAGAAGTGCCGTTTTCCACCAGTCGTTTTGCACCAGCCATGCCAATGCTTCGGGTCAAGTTAGCCAGTGACTGACTAGTTACCTAGTCCCCTTCAAGCTCGATTCCTGAAATACCTTATATCTACAATCTCGGACAGGTTCATGCATCAAAACGATAGGAATGATAAACTAGACTACTATCTCCTCAATTCCATGCTTGCTTCCCGGACAAGGAGTAATCCATGAGAAGTTGGCAAACGAAGAAAATGTCACACTCTTGATGTTTTTCAAGGGCCATTGTCGCTACCGTCTTGTGTCTGAAGAGGATAACTTCATATATAGCTAGACCTCTTGAGGGGTCCTATCCGATACTTGAGCAAAACGACGTCATCCATGGCATTTCTCGACGGGTAGTTATCCGAAACATTAAAAAGTGCCACATAGAGAGCTTGGAGGTCTGGGTTCGGCTGTCACAAGCGGAAGCACGTAATCCAACCCTATGTGCAGGACAGAAGGCGGAAATGTTTTCACTCATACAGGGCTCCGAGACCCGAGTGAGGGTCCGGTTGTACTGATATGTTGGCGAGAAGCACAATGTAGGGGGTTATCAGAAAGAAGCTAATGAACATCATCAACAACCATGCATGGCATGGCGCATTGAATTTTCAACGTATTCGTATTCCAGGATGCGGCTTCTTCCCGATCAGCAGACTGGACAAGTTTTTCAACTTGAGATATCGTTGGCATTATTATTATTATTGATTCCTGATGGCTGTGCCGATGCTCGCTTGTTTGTCCTGGTTTACTTACTTACTATCAGGAAAAGGGCCGGCCATCCCCCGTATTATTAATCCACGGTTTGCAGAAGCTTGGCAGGCTGAGCCGCAAGGGCAGCAGCTAGCCCCGCTTAGGCTAAGCGTTGGGCTGGATGTCATCAGAAGGGCGTAAAGAAAAGACCAAGTGTAGGTGACTAATTAGTTGACTAGAGACCCGGCAGGCGGCTGAAGCGAACAACCATCATCCTCATCCGCAACCATGTGAGGTCGTGAAATTCATCCGATGTGGCTTGGATGAAGATAGCTCTGCATGAAATGGGATAACCCATTCTATTTCTTGTCTCCGAGGCCTTGATTATTCCATCTCTCGGATGCTGCAACAATAAACTGGCAAGGTAAAGCACGTTGGAGAAAGCAACACGGTGCTATCTGACGAAGTGATCATGAAGCTCCATACTGCGAAACAAGTGGAGAATCTCAATTGTGCCAATGCTAGCCATGGCCCATTATCCTTGACGTCGAAACTAGCTGGGTTGCTGCATCGGGCTAAATATCACCTCTCTGACTCCCGAGTCTTCGCCATCAGAGTCGAAGTATCTGAGGGACCTGATTCTAGTGTCGAATACACCACTGCCACTCTCCGTGAAAGGTCATCCTAAAACCGAACCCGGTCAACCTAGCTGGGGGCTAGTGTGGGTCCATGCAGACCTAGACAAACATAAAGCTCTCTGACTCCAATTCCTCTTTCTCTCTTCTTCTCTGCGTGTCCCTTGCAAATACTTCCTCCTGCAACACCATCTGCTCTTCATATTCAGAACGCTCTGGTATGTTTCGTCATTAGTTATTTCATATGACCGTGAACATATTGGCGATTTCGCATTGCCTTCTGGGGCGTCGTCTTCACTCCTCTTTCCCAAACCTAGACCAAATACCAGGGTTCAGCTCCTGCAGCTCCGGGTCGTACCATGGAGTTCTTTGATTTCGAACAAGCTGCTCATGAGGATTATGTGGCATACGACTGCCCTGTCATCGACGAATCTGATATCGTGGCGCAGTATGACTCCTTAGTATTTTATAAGGATCTCGGTCTCCCTACCGGAGCCTCAGCCGTGCAGACAGATGAGGCTAAGGGAAAAAATGAACCATTCATAAGCTTATTCGATAAAGGTGTCTTTCCTGTCACTCGCGCTACAGAGCCCTGTGATCTCTGTCGCGCTCGCGGCCTCGACTGTTTCATGGCCAAGCGGGGTGTGATGCGAAATAACGGCTGCACATGTTGTATCTCTTTGTACCGTGAATGCAGTTTTACCCGGACAAAGCCCCATGAAAAGGGCCTGGATACGTTACATGTTGTGTCTGAAGACAGCTACGTGCCAGTCGGCGGATTCACCGGCAAGAAAGCTTTACGGTCCTTTAAAGGCGGCGCTGGCGGTTCGGCATTCGAAGACACCGATTCAAAAAGGCGAAAGACTGGTGCTAGATTTTCTCGAGAAGCTCTTCGGGCTCTGAAGACGTGGCTGACGGAGAATGCCGGACACCCCTATCCGACAGACGAGGAAAAGGACGAATTGAAAACAAGGACTGGTCTAAAGCGGAGCCAGATTTGCAATTGGCTTGCAAATGCCCGTCGTCGGGGTAAAGTTCGGCCCAGTCTCCGTGCCAGCTCTCCTCGACCTACCGGGCCTATTGATATTCCACGGAAACAATTAGCTCCAGGCGTTGATATCGCCGATTTGACTCCCCTTGAGCGTTGGAAGCATTCTCCCCCTGAACACGAACCTGCATCGGCTACTGCCATTATTCGAGCCATGGCCAATGCTCCTTATATTCCAGAGAGAAATTCATCTAGTGGCAGTCGTGTCCGGTCGCACTCTCGGAACACAGGGTCCAGTAACGATGGCTCGAGCTTCTCAAACTTGATGCCAGCTCCGTCGGTGAGTAGTTACAGCTTTGAAACAACGAAGTCCAGTACCTCCGACATGTCATTTGCATCCGCATTTTCCCATCGTTCGTCTCGCTCCTCGTTTAACTCCGCGGACTCAAAAGAACGCCGCCGACGCCGTCACAGGTCTGTAGTAGGGCAAAACACGTTTCAAAAAGCTCGTGCCTCCAGAATTTTCCAGTGTACCTTTTGTGCTGATTCGTTTACAACGAAGTATGACTGGCAGCGGCACGAGAAATCGCTGCATCTTGCATTGGATAAATGGACATGTACGCCACAAGGAGGTGCAATATCGTTGAACGGTGCGATTGTCTGTGCGTTCTGCAAAGGCACTAACCCCGATATCGACCATCTTGAGGCGCATAACTTTTTTGCTTGCCAAGAGAAGTCTATCCATGAACGGACTTTCTATCGGAAAGACCATCTTACTCAACATCTTCGCCTAATGCATTCTGTAAAGTTCAGTTCTTGGATGGAAAACTGGAAAAGTGCTACTACCGAGATCAAATCGCGCTGTGGATTCTGCTCCTCCACCTTTACTACATGGAAAGATCGCGTTGAACATCTTAGCGCTCACTTCAAAGCTGGCACTGACATGTCACAGTGGAAAGGTGATTGGGGTTTTGAGCCCTTCGTCCAACGGCTTGTCGAGAATAGCATACCTCCATTTCTCATCGCCCAAGAGAGAAACACACTAAATCCATGGGTTGCTAAACCTGCAGCAACGAAATGCAGCCATGTTGCCGAAAGGATAGCATCCTATCCAGCCTCTATTAGCGATTCATCTAATATTCCCATCCCTGAAGACGCGAACTGTTTCCGCCGCCTCCAGATCCAGCTCGCTGCGTACATAAGTCGCGAGGTTGCGCGTGGCATCATCCCTACGGATAGTGAGCTCCAAAACGAAGCCCGAAAGGTCGTTTATGGATGTGACGACCCGTGGAACCAAACCTGTGCTGACAACCCGATTTGGCTCTCCATTCTGAAACGAGATAGTGGCCTCTGCGATTCCCCAGAAGTTGAAAACATCCATTTAGATGACTTAGGGATGCAGCCACCGTTTGCTGCTCCCGGGCTATCTCAGCCCCCCAGGCATAAGCTTATGGCCATATCATCAAACCCGAGTAATTCGGGATTCGATAGTTCCGGTATTTATAGTCCAGCGTTCGACAGCAATGGTTTCAGCTCTGGCGCGCCCAGTGTCCATGGCAGTTTCGCGGGCAGTGCCACTGGGAGTGTAGGTGTCAGTTCAACCGGAATCGATGGTGGCTGGCCATGTTTGACGACTTCTTATACAATATCTTCTTCCGCGCCGGTCACTGTCAGATTCAATCCAACTGCTCATATTGGTACTGACTCACAGTACCGCCAATATCCGTCCGATAGTGTTGACGGAGATCTAGGCGCGAATTTCGATGATATGCATATCGATACATTTGAACCTGGAGGTACCACAATCACCGCTAAGGTGGGAGCTACGAACAGCAGCGGTCACCTTTCGTTCAAAATGCCATCTTCCGTGGCAATAGATGTCCCTGCGCCGGCTCTATCTGTGTCTGGAACACATATAGTGTCAGGGTCCTATGAACACTGCTTCCGGAATATCTTCGATGACCATTTTGATATGAACTAGCATCTTTTCGGTTTTATTTTTACCACCTCTGAGGAGGAACCATAGGAAGAGACTAGGGAAGTAATCTCACAAGATCGCACCAACAATCTACACAGTTTAACTTTTGCATGTATGGAAACGATAAAAGGCTTGGCTAAACAAAGATTAGAAACTACCAAGATAAAGATTAATTAATAGGAAGACAGGCTGATTTCAACAAACTCTTTTCACTTGTTTTGTTTCCCTAGCTTAGCATTTTTTGATTCAATTGACTTTTCGCTCCAAAAGCCTGTTCTTGACCTTGGCTAGCTCTCTTTATAGCTAGTTATAAGTTCAATTATTAATCAGCTTAGTTTTATTGGGTATTACCACCATCCTCATATTGCAGTTAAAAAATCTGGAAGTTTGAAAAAATGAAATGAATATTTTAAAGGAGGCAGATCCAATGGATCCGCAAGGCAAGCGTTCGCGTAAGCAAAGACAGAAGTGAAGAGATCGAAGAGGCTGGGATTCTTAATAAATACGTACCCATTATTAACCGCGCTCTATAGTAATGGGATGCTTTTTACAATAACCAGATTCAACAGGCTCTCGATTTGTCAACAAAGTTAAATGTAACACAGGTTCCCTTGGACTGCTCTCACCGAAACCAACGGGAACCAAAGAAACCGGCAACTGCTCCAAGATTCCTAACAAAGGCCGCAAACCTATTGTACAACATGCGACACGAGCAGGTAAACTAGCTACCTTCACACTAACACAGAAGTTAGGGTAAAAAATCAACAGCGTTCAGACACACATGGCCCCTCTACACAATCCCCGCCTCCCTATCTTTATTAAACTTATCCACCACCTCCCTCGTTTTCCCAATGATGCCCACACACCCGGGAGAGTCGGAATGGCAGCAAATGGAAACCGGGTAATCCCCCATGGGCAGGTTGACCTGGGTTCCATCAACTGCCGTCACAGACTGCGTCCGCACCTGTTGTGTGACATGTTTCTCCACATCCGCCAGATCCCACGGCTTCTTCTTTCGATCGATTACCAAAGATCCATCCGCCCGATATTTGACATCACCGTAGAGTTCTGCCCAGAACGGGATACCCAAATCCTTCGCAGCTTTCTCCATGTTGGTGCCTGCAAGGCCGAAGACGGGGATGCCCTTGGGGATCCCGAGCATCACAGCCTTGGCCACTTCGTAGTCGCGACACATCATACCGTACAGGATGCCATGAGGCTTGACATGGTGTAGCGGCACGCCTTCTCTGTCCAGGAACCCTTTTAGGGCGCCGACTTGGTAGACGGTTATGGCCGTTAGTTCTTCCGGGGAGAGTTTCATTTCACGGCGGCCGAAGCCTTGGAGATCCGGGAGGCCCGGGTGAGCGCCGATTTTAATGTTGTGTGCTTTGCAATTCCGGACAGCTTCCATCATGATGAGCGGGTCACTTTTAAGATGGAACATAGATGGATATGTTTGGGACTCAGGTTAGCCTTTGATCTTTCTTATATCTAAGTTTTGGATTTTGCATCGTATATGCCTTTCTCTTTCAAGGCTATTTTTGCGCCCTTCTCTCCTCTCTCCTCCTGTATCTGGTTCCAGGCCATAGAGTACGGCTCTTAGGAGAGATGGGGACGCTGTGTGCCATTGGCCAAATGCATTCAGGGGACATGATGAAGTGCTTACCCGGCATGAAACCCACAGGCAATATTTGCCTGATCGATCATTGGGAGAAGCTCAAGGTCTGGACCGCATGCCCAATTGCCATACTAGATGATGAGAAACTGCCAGTTAACCATTCGCATTCATTATTCTCGCTCCCCAAATCTGTAATTCGCTTCTGGGAAAGTAGAATAAAGGGGGGGGAGTGAGTAGGTTGGGGTGGAGTACGGGTGGTAAGTATATACAGCTTCTCCCATATCACAATTGATCAGCGCCTTGTGCTTGATGGGCGCCATGCTGCGTGGATTCTATCGTAAAAGATGTCTCGTACTCTCAATTGAACTAGAGAAATTGATTGCCGTTGTGGCCGCGGTGACTATGGCTGTATACCTTGAGCTGTAACACCAATTTGGCAGCGTTGATGTGAGATAGTTGTAGTTTGATTAAAAGTCCGGGAAATGAAATAATAACATGCCACAAACCCCAGACCAAATTTCTCTGCAGTATCAAAGGTGGAGGCCAAAACTTTGAGTTTAGCATAAACCTTTTTTGCATCCCCGCACTTCTAAATCCCGGGCGGGGGGGATGGCTACCTGGTTCCTGGGAAAAAGAAAGTTTCGGCTTGGGACATCGAATCAAGTATCGGCATCACCAGAGAGCTTCATGCCGAACCATTCCTTCTAACCCGCATAACTATAGCATACCGTGGGGGTTGAGGGAAATAGCAGCAGCCATGGGTCTGGCTGGCCCATGAGAACCACCGCCAGCAACAACCCCCGCCCGCTCAACCAAGGACCAGCCGATGTTTTACAAAAATATCCATCGCCTTTCCCTCCCTCCTTGCTTCTGTGAGGGGTAGCTGCCATGTTTCCGACACGCCACCGTGACCTGGTTGGACAATTTCTCTGAGGAACAGTCGAAGCGCACTGCAACTCAAGAGCCTAAAACCCACTTGAGGATCATAACCTTCGCGGAGAGCCGGTTTATAATTGTCCGAAATGGAAAGGACAGTTGAAACCAATCCGCCTACTTTTGGCTGAAGAAGATCCAAGATTCGTTTCTTCTCTTTCACCCTCCGAATCCAATCGTTTTGATACATTTCGTTTGCAGAATGCGCCGAACGACACCATGGATGATTCACTTAGGACGATTCTTATTGCAAATCGTGGAGAGATCGCCGTGAGGATTATCAGAACTGCCAAGTAAGTTTTCAAAGTAAATAAATGGTTATCTGTCGAAAAACCTGGATTCCCTTGTAAAATGCCATTGCCATTGAAACGATTCCTGGACATAGAATAACATTGGCTGACAATATATAAAATCAAGGGCGTTAAATATTCGAACAATCGCAGTGTACACCGAGCCCGATGCTATATCTACCCATGTCTCCTTGGCCGATGAATCGGTTCTGCTTGAAGGACCTCCCACAAAAGCTTATGTTGATGGGTATGAACCACCACTCTTTGCACAGGTCCATAATTTCTATGGCTCATGGATTTATTTCATGATTTATGTGTCGAATTATGGTCGTTTATTAACAGCTCCCTGTGAAGAGACCAAATCATCAACGTTGCCAAACAGTACAAAGCCAATGCCATTATTCCCGGATATGGCTTCCTTTCCGAGAATACTGACTTCGCTCGGATGGCCAAAGAGGCGGGGATCGCCTTTGCTGGGCCTAGTCCTGAGAGCATTGAAGCTTTTGGCTTGAAACATCGAGCTCGGGAGCTTGCTATTGACGCTGGTGTCCCAATTGTACCCGGGACTCAGTCCCTTGTCAAAGATGAGGAAGAGGCGGTTAATGCCTCCAAGAAGCTTGGCTTTCCGGTATTGCACCCTCCTTCTATACAATATCCTCTTCTTCAGATCAGATCATGCATTCACTAAGGGGTGGGTCAAAGGGTTAATTATGTCTTTTAGGTTATGCTGAAAGCTACAGCTGGAGGAGGAGGAATGGGCTTATTAACATGTCATTCTGAAGAAGAAGTGCGAGAGTCATTCACAACAGTGAAATCGCGAGGCGAAGCCCTGTTTAAGAATGGCGGCATGTTCATTGAACGATACTATCCATCTAGCCATCATATCGAGGTCCAAGTTTTTGGCAATGGGCTTGGAAAAGCGATTCATTTTGGTGAAAGAGAATGCTCCATTCAAAGGAGACACCAGAAGGTCGTCGAAGAATGTCCTAGTCCCTTTGTTACAAAACATCCCGAACTACGGCAGAAACTGTGTGACGCTGCTGTTCGCTTGGCAGAATCAACTAAATATGCATCTGCGGGAACGATCGAGTACCTGGTGGATGATGATACAGGAGATTTTTTCTTCCTCGAAATGAACACCCGTCTGCAGGTGGAACACGGCATCACTGAGTTATGTTACGGCGTCGACTTGGTTGAGCTTATGCTGAAGCAAGTGAATGCTGAGCTCTCAGGGAAGAAAGGACTAGATGCAGCCTATCTGGAAAAATTACAGTCGAAACCACTTCGCGGAGCAGCTATAGAGGTCCGAGTGTATGCTGAAAATCCTGCGAGGAACTTTGCCCCTTCCCCTGGCATTTTGCAGGAAGTTCAGTGGAAAGAAATCCCTGGTTCTAGATTTGATACTTGGGTTCGCAGGGGAACCAAGGTGACAGCAAATTACGGTATGATCTAATCCTCGAAATATCAGATAGTTGTATCCTTGCTGATCAAACCAGATCCCCTTCTCACCAAAGTTATGTATCACTCTCCTTCCCGACAAGAAGCCATCAAGGGGATGTTCACTATCCTTTCCGAGTCAAAGATCTGCGGGCCTCCAACAAATCTCGAATTCCTTGCTTCTATCTTAACAGATGCAAGGTTTGTTAAGGGTAATACTTTAACCCAATTCTTGAATACCTTCAACTACATGCCTGCTGCCATCGATGTTGTTGCTGGCGGAGCTTATACGCTCATTGAAGACTACCCTGGCCGCCCGACTATCGGACGTGGATTCTCCCATTCAGGTCCTATGGATCCCTTGGCATTCCGTATAGCCAATGCTCTCGTGGGAAACCCGGTTGGTCTCGAAGCTCTAGAAATTACCCTTAGCGGACCCGAACTGCTCTTCCTGGGCCCTGCCATCGTTTCTCTTTGTGGAGCGCCGATGGAAGCTAAATTAGATGGAGCTCCTTTTTCAATGTGGACAAGAGTTAAAATCAATGCTGGACAACGCCTCAGCATTGGTAGAACAACTGGAGGAGGATGCAGGGCGTATATGGCTGTCTATGGAGGATTCACTAACGTTGCTAACTGGTTCGGTTCAAAATCGACGTCGCCTATGGTGGGCGTTGGCGGTTATCAAGGTCGTCAGCTCGCATCTGGAGACCTTCTCTCTATCACAGATAAACTTCCGGAAATAGACGGGGAGCTTTCTCTTCCCACGTCTCTAATCCCAGAATACCCATCCCACTGGGAGCTGCTAGCACTTGCTGGACCTTACGATGAGGGGTATATTCTCACTGACAACATTGAAGAGTTATATCGCACCACGTGGAAAATTTCTCATAATGCTGCAAGAGGGGGCATTCGACTTATTGGACCAAAGCCGAAATGGGCTCGTACTGATGGTGGCGAGGGCGGCGCTCACCCAAGCAATGTTATAGAGTATGGTTACCCGATTGGCACCCTAAACTGGACAGGTGATGACCCATGTATATTCCCTGTTGACTGTCCGGATTTGGGTGGTTTCGTTTCCAGCATGACAGTTGCGAAGGCCGATTACTGGCGCATGGGTCAAATGAAAGCTGGGAATACGTTAAAGTTCAGGAGGGTTACTCTAGATGATGCACTTGCGTTGCGGCGCCAGGTTGACAGGTTTGTGGAGAGCATAGCAGAGTGTTGCTCAGGGAAGGCCAAGTTTGAGGAGGTCTCTGCGCTAAACTACGCAAATCTCCCAGAGTCAAAAGATTTTGGGTATGGCACAAAAGCTGTTATTCATCGAATTGAAGAGAATGGAAGGAAGCAGCCTTTGGTATCTTATAGACAGGTACGTTTATGCAACTATTAGTAAATTCTTCGTAAATTCTCCGTACCTTTTTCTAGACTTTCTAACACTCTTTCAGGGGGGTGACGACTATATTCTCATCGACTACGGGCATGGCGCCTTTGACCTCAACCATCGTTGCAGAGTCACTGCCCTCATCAAAGCACTGAGGGAAGGAAAGGGAGAGATTACATTCTCTACAGGATTGATTGGGACAGTCGGCTGCGGCAATTGTAAGTTTGGCCTGAAGTTTCCTATGTACCATTTTAACTGACTCGACGCAGCTCTTTCTCTATATTATGATGGCTTGAAAATCCCTCAAAAGAAGTTGATTAAGTATCTATGTCAGCTCGAGGTACAGCTGGGGGATCTAAGCCAGGTTAAGATGCCCAGCCGCCTCTTCAAACTCCCCCTTACCTTCGAGAGCAAGAGACAAACCGCCGCTCTACAGCGCTACATGGAAACCCAACGGCCATACGCGTCATATCTTCCTGACAATATGGACTTCGTCGCCAAAAACAACGCTTTCACTCGCCAAGAGTTCGAGAATATTTACCTCACTGCCAGCTTCATGGTTGTCGCGGTCGGATTCTTTACTGCTCTGCCATTGTCACTCCCGGTGGACCCCCGCCATCGTATGAACTGTCCAAAGATGAATCCAAGCCGGGTTTTCACACCTGAAGGACAGGTGTCATGGGGAGGCTCTTGCATGGCGTGAGTCAAATAGCCCATACATCCCCTTCTTTTGGTTCATTGAAACAACAAAGCTAACGGTAAAAGCCTTTATAACGTTGAATCGCCAGGAGGCTACCAACTGACCGGCATGTCCATCCCTGGAGTTGACATCCTAGGTTCCAAAGCCGGCTACTCTCCAGAAAAACCATGGCTCTTCGAAGATTTTGATCAGATCACATTTTACAAAGTGTCGGAAGAAGAGTACGAAAAAGATATGGCATTATTCCACAGCGGTCGGTACCAATACAAATGGGAGAATGTCGAATTCGATATGGCAGAGCATAATCGATTGCTGGAGAGCACCAAGGACGAAGTAGCTATGATTCGTGCCCGACAAAAGCAAGCACAGGCTGAAATGACTAAACTTGAAAATGAGCTGTTGGAGCGCTGGGCGGCGGAGAAGGAGGCGAACGAGATCCCGATGGATGCCGTGGAAGCTTTGTTGCAGGGTATGTGACCTTGTTTTTTTTATCTTTTCCGTTTCGTTATATTTCTCCCCTTCAAGTCGTAGGCTCACTGCCAACTCTGCGTAGATCCCGATATTTCTACAATTGAAGCACCCCTCAGCGCCAATGTGTGGAAAATTGAAGTTCAAGAGGGAGACAAAGTGACTGCAGGTCAAGTTGTGACAATTCTGGAAGCTATGAAGCTAGAGATCGCTGTGCGTGCTGATGCCAGCGCTGTTGGAGGGACGATAGAAAAGATCCTGATCAAACCAAATGACACAGTTGAAGCAGGCAAGACGCTGTTCTTGGTGCGGAGCGGGCCGAAGAAAGCTTAGGGAAGGGTGTCGATTGGGCAACGACTATGTATCGTTTTCTTTCCTTTCCGGCGTTTAACTATCAGTTGGAATGCTAGTTTGATTTTACTTTTTCATAGCTAGGTATTTCTTATAGGCCAGTTTTGCGAGACTCCGCGGTTCGTTGGAAGAATACCTGCTGTATCCGATGCCATACAATACACTCTTGCTTGATAGGTCACATTACCTGCATCGCGATATAAAATGAAATGACCAAGCCCCTTGCTTCTAATCAACCTTGGTAATGAGAATTATATCCTTAAAAAAAATATCTTCGATTGATTTCAAAAGGAATTACCCAGAACATCCGACAAACCGTAGCCATTTCCTTTAGGAAAACCTCAATCGTAGCTAACCCCACCAAAAGCTAACACTGATCCCGGCCTGAAGGCCGCGAACGTAGTGCCACCAGCCAATTGGTATATACAAACACTCTCCTTCTTTCAAAACCGTTTCCACATACTCCGCATCCAAGAAACCAGGCCACATCAACTCCCAGGTCTCCAACTCGGCAGGAGAAAGCTCAATAGCGGCCAGGTCAACTTGCGATGTATTGGACATGTCTATTCGTTGATCCTGCGTCTCTGCCTCCTTGGCTATTCCTTTGTCTTCGCCATGGGGTGGCTTTGTTTCTGGGGAAGGATTAACAACCTCCATGCCCCTAGGATAAATTTGCGACGCGGGAGTATGAGGTGAGTAAAGCCGGATATATTTCTGACCAACGACTTGCACTAGGATGTTATGGTACGGATCATGGTGTAAGGGTGATATCGTCCACGAAGGGCCTATCCATGTGTTGATGATCGGTTCAGATTCCACGTCGTCAGCTTCGATTTCATCGTCCTCGTTATCGGAGGTAGATTCTGCATGATCCTGATCTTGTTCTTGATCTTCATTATCCAACTTTCTTCCGTGACCATTTATCGACTTATCCTTCTTCCCTTCGGCCTGTCTCTCGAGTAATCTTTTCTCATATACAGGCGTTCCCTGCTCCGGCTCTGGCGGATCCGTGTAGCAGTAGTCTGGTATGCAAATGTCTTTCCTCAGCGCGGGTATTTGTGCCAGCAAATCGTGTTGCGCCATGTAGCCCGTCTGGCCGCCCCCTCCACCTGAATCCCCACAATCCGTTGGGTAATGCCTATTATCGTCTTTTGCCTTCCCGTCCGTGTTATCACCGCCACTCCCCATCCTCCATATATAATTCTTCACAAACTCTCCAAACGGCATGATTCTCTGTCCCCACCCTTCATCCGTATATGACCGGCCCACTTCAACGGGAACCAACCTCCGCCCGTCGTATGTCCGTTGTGCCCAGTAATCTGCAGAAGACCAGGGTCGCGTGGAGAGTGCCGGCCAGTGGTTCACTGCATTCGTTATCACTAATGGCGTGCGAATGGAGTTCATGTGGTCTGTAAATTTTTCAAGAGATGGCGCTGGGACACGGGGAACAGGATGCTCGAGATGTGGAGCTGGAGATCTGTCAGCGGGGAAGAGGGAGGGGGTCGTTAATTTTCTGCGTTTTTCCGGTGGGTGTCTTTGTGGTTGCTCGACATCAAAATGCGCACTGAATAATTTGGGGTCGTTTATCAGTGATCTCGCAGTGGGAGGACTGGTCAAATATTGTAAGCGCGATATTAGGCATTCAATAAGCGACTCTCTACGCGGAGCACCAGTCATGATCAGTGCTTTGTCAAGAATATGGATGGTAGGTGATAGCCATGGGGCATCTGGACTGATCCTCCTAAGCTCCTTGTCATCATGTTCATGTTCTTGTTTGTTTTGGGGAGCTTCGTTATCATTTTTCTGCTGATCTGGTGGGGCTGATTGTTTGTGCTCGTCGATCTCATCGTCGTATAGATGCTTTTTTATTTCATAGCATACTTTGACAATGCTGGCATCCGTATACAATCGTCTCCAGCAAACCTTGACGTCTTTGAAGGGAAATACGCGTAGCTTTTGATCCGCGAGGGACAGAGTATCATTTGTTTCCCGGAGAAGGGAAGTAATGAGCTTTTCGGTATCGCCACCGAAACACTCGCAGATTGGGTCATCTAGGGATGGAGATGAGATAATGCATAGCGTTGAACGGATCAGATGTTGCATTGATTGTGTTGCTGATCGAGGTGGTTGAGGAGGAGGAGGACTGGTAGCTACTAAGTTGATGTGTCTGAAGTTGAAGTTGAATTCATGTCGTGTCCAAACAAAATAAATATATAATTTCCTACTCAGTAGAAGTTAATTATTCCCCACGTACTCCAATACAGAAATGTGAACACTTAGCAAATATGTAGTAAAATATAAATTAGCTGTTCCAGCACCAATATCTTGAAGAAATACAAAGGTTAAAGGAAGAATTCTACGCAGTATTATTGGGTGAAGTTACAATAAATCTATGAAAACCCCTGAAACGCAAAAGTTCGAATCCGGCTCCAAACACCGTAGATAAAGTACATTAATAACCATCTAACAGTCGTACAATCTTCTCAGGAATGGAATTGACCCCTTGTGCGTTGATGGCGCTGACAGGAATGGAGAAAAGCTTGCCGCGCCATGCATTCTGCTGACCGCAAGGATGCTCCTGGGTGCCCTTCTCGACTGCCTCCAGATACGAACGGAGAGCGGTAAAGTTCTCTTGAGTGCCTGGAAGGTCAGCCTTCGTCCCGATAACGAGCCATGGTTTAATGTATATTGGGGGAAGACTCTTGGCTGAGACGTCCCTTCTCGACGGGACCAAGGTGGGCGGGGCAACCTGTGGGAAGCCAAAACGATCTTCAGACTGATCTGATGAGTTATGATCCAGCGAGATCCATGAGATGAGCCGCTGCTGTGTTTGTAGATTTAATTCCTGGTCTTGAAGACGGCTGTACTCGTTCAGCTCTCGCCAAAGCCCTTTAAGGGCCTGAACGGCGTCTCCTGCACTAAGATCGATGACGAATGCAAGAATTCCTGCTCGCTCGACGTGACGAAGAAATCCAAGTCCGAGGCCCCTATCGAGATGGGCGCCTTCTATCAATCCTGGGATATCTGCGATGATGAAATTCGTACGACGTGGGCACCCTGGCTTTGGCTCGATAAGAGGGCGCCCAGAGTGATTATCAATGACAACAGTTCCAATCTTTGGAGAGAGAGTAGTGAATGCCCAGTTCCCAATTCGTGTCCGGCTATTGGTAATTGAACGTAGCAAAGTACTCTTTCCCGCATTTGGCAATCCGACGAGGCCCACATCAGCTAGTAATTTAAGCTCGAACTCAAGCTCCAGTTTAATACCCTTTTCACCCCTGGTTGCAAACCTTGGCTTCGGATTTGTGTTGCTTACAAAATTCGGGTTCCCTAGCCCGCCAACACCCCCCGCAGCAAGCAAAATAGGATCTTGCATATGCTTGGATAGATCAAGATAAATTGGTGCCCTGGGCTGCGACGCAGCAAGGGCGGATCGGCGTGCTGGTGGTAGGATCGGAAATTGCTCAGTGAAGAAATCGGACGGCTGTGAGCCGGGATAAAATACCCATCGTTCCCGTCGTTCAGACGCTGCACGCAGTCCTTCTTCCTTTCCCTTCTCCCGGATCAACTGTGCTACAAATCGCTCTTCCTCGGCCAAAGGATCGTACCGTCCAACTTCGCGAATAACTGTCCCGACAGGTACTTGTAACAGCACATCTTTCCCCCGCTGTCCTCCTTGTGATTTCCCTTGGCCACTCCTACCATGTCCAGCTTTAATTACCCCACGTCTAGCTAGCTTGTGGAGACTAGTTTGGCCTTCAATTGCCTGTATATAAATATTTCCTCCACTCCCACCATCCCCTCCGTTCGCGGGCCCATCGTCAATGTACTTTTCTCGAAGGAATGAAACGCATCCATTGCCCCCTGAGCCCGCATACAGAGTTAATGTGCAGCGGTCTTGGAAAACTGAACGTGAATAATCGGACGGAGAGGGATTTAGGTGATTGGTGTTTAGAGATTCGTCCCCGAAATATTTTGTTTCACGAGATCCCGTCTCGCTGGCCGTATGCAACGTGCTGGTAAGTCGTCTGGGGACGGCAGAAGAGCTCCGGAGAAATTTGGTGGCTCTGGAAACTGTTGTCAGGCTAGACGTGGGTACAGACGTTGACAACGTGGGATAGAGAAATGGTATCAGGGCCTGTCTTAAATGCGACACGCCGCTCCCCCAGTTCATTTTCCTTTATAAACTCGTCTTGAGTACGAGCGACCCAGAGTTAGATTAGAATTGATACCCCAGCCCTGGACGCGCAATGATGGGTGGTGCGATTCATTGGAGTCGATTTCATAGCTTGAGCACTCGTAATTAGCCTCATGGCGGCCTAGTCGAGCTGTGGGATAATCTTCAATGCAACTCATCTTCGCTCTCCGATAGAGAAGACGTAAAGATTTCAAGAGCTGAGGTTCTTGTCCACGTGACTTAGCTTGGAATCTCCGCCAAGGTTGGAAGGCTTCTAGAATGTTGACATAACAGGGCGAACGACATCTCTTATAAGAACCAGTCCGACTGAAGAGACAAGTTTTCATGTTGTTATCATTCTTAAAATTTGTTATGTTTTCATCTTAAATACAAGTACAGATAATGTATGATTCTGCATTGAGTGCAGCTGAAACTTTTCTCCTATTTGTCAATGGACACTGCTACATAGTTTTTGCTGCTCTGGCGGCAGGCTTCAATTGAATTCGGAATGCAATATATTGCCGGCCTAAGAGATCTAGTTCCTCGCAGGCTGTAACCTCAATATTGCATGTTTGAATGATCGGCAAGATATTCGGAGTCCGCGCTGGATACTGTACTGGACCTGGCCCAGAGGGAAGACAGGGATGAAGGGACGGAAGAAATGGGGGTGACGTTGACATATTGGGCCATGACCGATTGTTCGCGCGGGAAATGAAAGGACATAAGATATTGCATCGCTATTGGGAACATGTCAATGGGATGCAATTATGAATGGTAGGTCAGGAGAAGCCAGCCTTGGGACGGTAGGGGGTGCCTGGTTATTTCTTTCCCCTCCTCTCGGTATAGAAGTTATTCGCCTTTGAGTTTAGTTTCTTTTTCAATTATTATTGTTATTCTTCCATCAGATCTGATCATCCCATGCTGGGCTCCACAGTGAAGGTTGCTGTTCTAATAGTGGTTTCGGTGTTCCCAGAACAGGGAAAGATGCCAATCTATCGTCAGCCAGGCAGTTCTTGTCACGGACCATCTGCAGGCTTCATAAGCTTGCAAGATGCTATCCGGGAAGATGTTGTGAGCCGAGCCAATCATATCTAGAGGCGTAATCGCCTCTAAGCCACTGACCCCAATCTGTGGGACGCTGAATCGATCAGGATCACAAAGACTTCAGAGGCCCGTAAAATATTTATGGCGGGATTGTGTCTACAGCAGATTGCTGCTGCCATTAATGCCCTCACACAAGCGGAATGCTACTGGGGGTTCTGCCTGGATGTATGAGCGAACCCCCGAAGGACGACGACAGTTAAAGACAGATGTATAACGATCAGAATAATGAGCAGAGTCTTCCTGTAGGCTCAATGACGTGTGCACGGCCAATTCGGCAAACGAACTTTTCAGCACAGACCTCAGGGAGAACTGGGGAGTGCGACTCACTTTGCCTTTACCAGTTAAGATTCTTCAGAAAATCTGCAGGAGCTAAACCAGAGCATCCAGCCACACGCAGCCAACTCATTTCCAGGTTTTGGTAATTCATCAGGATTGAATCACCCCGAGCCATGCGGGGATCAGCTTAAGGAGGAGGTGTGGAGTATTCAATTTAAAACTTCAAACATGTAGTTATATCAAACCCCTTCAAAGCCTGCTGTGAGCAAAGTTTTGTTGTTCGACGCCCATAACCATCATGATAACATTGGGGCATGCATGAGATCCCAGCCATATAGACCTCGCACAGTCAATTCTTCAATAACCTTGAATGGGCAACTCCCGCCCTTTTCCATGAGCAACTGATACACGTCAGGTGGGCTGATTTATCCCCACTCTTCTGTTGCTCTTTCGGATACACCACAGTTTCTGGTGTTGGCTCAAATATTCCTCTAAGGTTTAGGAACATCCCTCCGCTCAATCCCTCTGTTTAGCATCCTGAAACCTATAAAACCGGAGAGATTGACCCCACGGCAGTTGTTTTCTTAATCCTAAGAATAGGGTACCAACTCCAGGGAGGGGGAATTTCACATGCTGTGACGATAAACATATATTACTGGCGTGATATCGCAATCACAGTACACAGCGCAGCGGTTTGCTGGAGTTCATACACGGGTGGAGGTGCAGGTAGACTAATCTACTAGGGATGGTCAATGGCCTCACGTCACTGACTCACAATATAAGCCACACAAAGAACTTGGCTCCCTCTCTCTAATTAATAGCAATGCTATTTATGCCTGAGGCGGCATAAAAGTTTAGCTATGGATGGAGACAATAATGTTCATTTTTGGGGCCCAGACGGAACATCGGGAGGTGGATTCAATGTGCGGAATTTCAGCGGGTGGAGGAGCTGTGATGATTGGCGGAGGGAAACGATAGCGAATGAAGATGCCACTCTGCAAGATTAGTTCACCTTGGGTGGCAGAGTCTCAATGACAAATGAGCGCGGTGGTTCTCGACTTTAAGGACGGTTAAACTCCCAGGAAATCATCAAGTTCAACAGCCATTGTATGCCGTTGCTTTGCCGAAACAAAGCTTTGGATGCACGGTTAACTAGCTGACAGGATAAAATAACAGATTAACTATCATTCCTCGTACGATGAACTGAGCTGACATAACAGTAACGTTAGATAGTTAAGGACTACGGATCGGGCTAATAATACCATTCTCATGCAGAATACAACTTCTTACGCCGTAGATACTCCCACTAGTACCTGCACGGTACATCAATACATACATGAACAGGATCAACCCCTGACCGGAGATAAAAACACCCCTACATGACCCACTAACCCATAGCTGAGACCGTCACCGCGGGACCCGATCCCGCACCCGAGAAAACTTAAGGTTTTGAGGAGAGTTACCAACATCAAACGGAGTCGACGACGTCTTTCAAGACCGAAAAATATCAGTTCCTGACTGGTGCGATTAAAGGCTTAGCTGGGCCATATTCTACTGGATCTTGACTGATATTCCTGAGACCAAGGAGCTTTGAGTCCTTCAAGCAGCTGAGGTTCCAATGCTTCAAAGAACATCACATGCGTTCTTTTGAACGGCGCATTAACTACACTCTAACCTAAAATCCCTCTTAGTTTGTTGTATCTGAGATCTCCCAGGGATAACAGTAACTAACCGAGCTGGCCGTGCAGTTTGACGTATGATAGTTGGAAAATATTGTATGAGAAAAGCCATCGAAGCCCGGAGCTGAATTGCGATCTCTTTTGTTTAACGCACCAACTTGAAGATTTATCTTTTCCCTTTGTCAGTGCAAGAGATCGACGGGACGTTTCTTGGCGGCCCCATCGACCAATTTTTACACTCAAGGCATGCTGGACGGCCTGTCTAAGTTGATATGAGATTATTGTAGCAAACAATTATGCTTAATTTTTTGCCCCCCGACCCGCGATGGCGTACCTAGTCGACGCCCTTCCATGATAATTTCGCTGTAACACACAAACTTGTGCTTTGAGAGTGGAAAATGTTGTCCATTTCCTGCTCGGTAATGTATGTAGTTAGTTACCTGGTGAGAGGCTAGTTCGTAATCGTCCGAGCGTGCGAATACCTTCCATGTTTTCTAGTTATCCTGGTGGAAGAGTGGGCACTGATGATCTTATGCTACACTCAAATGATTAAATCCTAACAGCTCACCGCCTCGAGGAGATATTTGTGCACCAGTCACAAATGATATCTTGCGACGAAACAACGCAAACGTGGCGTTAAATAGAATATTTGCTAGCCTAAGATATGATATTACATATCTTAATTGGTTGATCAACGCATTTGAATCCATTCCTCTTCAACAACACACCCTCGTTGAAATCTGGATATTTACAAATGAACTGCACTGGTCAAATGGGCAGGCTTGATGTAGGCAAAGCAGGTTGACTAACTATCTGTGTAGCTGACCAGGGAATTTATTATTCTAATAAATACCCCCTTGTGACGCATCGCCAACATGAGTTGGAATTATAACCTTCGTAGTTAGAATGTTGCAGTCGAGTAGTATTCTCATGAATTAAACTAAAAGTCATAGGAACACAGATATTAGCTGTTCATCTTAAAGAAGAGGAAATATTTCCTATTCAAAAGTGAAATTGTTTCAGAGCCGTGTTGAGCTGCATCGTCGTTTGGAGCGGGTTATCAGCAGCCTATCCAGGATCATCGCTGTTGTAATTTTGTAAGAGCGGCGGATAACGCCTCAGGCGCACAGCGAGCGGACAGACAAATCAGCGGAATTAATTTCCCTGTCAACTTTGTGGTAACCCAGAACCAGGGCATGTAAGATCTGTTGCTTCTTCACCACTAAATATTATCCAGTGCCTGTGTGAATCAACCTTGCTCACAAGTCAGCACGTGTATCAAAGGCAAAGACGGTCAGGCAACTTTTCTAGTTCGTTTCAGGGATCAACCGGGACAGCACCCCCGAATCTATCTGGGATCCATGATTCCATGGCAACGATCCCATTGGCTCGTGATTGGCAAATTAAATTTTCCTCGCTCGTGAATTCCATCTATCCATCTATCATCCATTTGACTTGCCTGCCAGTCTTAAAAGGCCGGCATGTTGATTTTACTCCTCGATCCCCACTCACACAGATGAGGACAGCCACTTGTGTGCTATCTGTTATTCTCGCTTCCTAGTTATTCTCACCCAAGGCTCCAGCTGGTGGAAGTTGTACTGTACATGTAGCTGAGCGATTTAACTAATTAACTAGTCAGTTATAATCGCGGTGTGAAATGATCAGAAAATCTTTTGCAGGGTGTGCCAAGCCGATAGTTAACGTTATAACTATCGTCTCGTAATTTAGACGAGAGCCTCCAATAAATAAGCGCTGTGGTGTCCGCGGTGCATCACTGCCAACCCCCAACTCGGATTTCACGCACGCTGCGTCGTTGCAGCGGCAACGTTGCTTCTAGTTCTTCAACTTGATTGTCAGGCCATATACGTGCGCCATGACTTCACGTTTGCATCCCACATATGCAGGCCTAGGTGGCTCACAATGCATGCATGCACAAGA